AAATAGATTTCGGTTGAATTCATACTAAGATTGATTAATATTTAAAATAAATAGATTCAAATGATCTTAACAAAGTTCACCCAGACAAGAAAACTTCAAATCACAAAAAGAGTTACTGAAATAAAATAAAAATATAAATTATCCACCAGCAGACTCACTTTGCTAGTGGTAAACACAAACGATTAGGGTTCTATTTTTGTGCAAGGGCAGGGATTCAGACCCGAGAGAGCATGCTCTTGTGCACGGGCAGGGATTCAGACCCGAGAGAGCAACCACAAAGGTAGCGCTCGTCGCCCTCGAACCTGGGATCAAACGGTCGCAGCCTATTCCCGCATTGGACCAACTGTCTGTACTTCACCGAGGGTTCAGAAACAGACTCAAACCAACTCCCGCAAGCTCTCCAGCAGGATGGCGACGCTCGATGCTGCTGACGGATCTTCTCCGTATCCTCCCAGCTTCTCAAGCTTCTGGGAATCAACTTCCCGGATGTCCGTCGAGGAAGCATCAGTCACAGAGAGAGACAGAGACAGAGTGAGGACAAGAAATATTCCAAAGCTGGTTAAGAACAGCACTGTTCAAAAATATATATAAATATATTACAGTGAACCCTTGTAAAATTTAAATTACATTTGACCCTTTATGAGGAGGCCCCCATAATAAGCATTATTTCTTCTGACGAGCCAACTAAGAAAAACGGCCCATGAAACACCATATTTTGGGCTGGCATGTTTGGGCTTTCTTCCTGCGGCCCACTACTCCATTAGGGCCCCACCACCCAGCAAGGGCCGTCTCCACAGCCATCCGATGGCTTCCGGGATGGGTGGAAAGGAAGGCCCACGTCAGCTGCCACGTAACAGGCTCTTACGCCGACCGCCAGCTTATCCGGGGAAGGATAGCCCATGAATGGGCGTCGGGAACTCGCACGCCTGAACGAATATGCGATCCCCGCGGAGGATTATAGACGCCCGCCCCAGACAAGGCTTTGGCTTCTGCAGCTGGTAGTCTCTCCCGCGCGCTACTTCCGCAGAGCCTGCTCAGGAGAGAGAAACCTGTCGGCCGTTGTGGGGAAGTACGAAGGTAGCTAAGCACTTTTACCTCTCTCTCTCTCTCCTCTCTCTCTCTCTCTCAAATACGTCGCATTTAGGTAGAGGAAGACTCTCTCTGCTTCTCCTGCAGCTTGCAGGAGGATATAGCTTGTAGGCATTCTTCTCTCTCCCTCTCCCTCTCCCTCCCTCTCTCTCTCTCTTTCTCTCTCTCTCCCTCTCCTCACTTTCTCTCTCCCTCTCCTCACTTTCTCTCTCCCTCTCCTCACTCTCTCTCTCCCCCTCACTCTCCTCTATCTTTCCTTTCTTACTCGGCAGAGCAAAGAAATATCCCGCGTGGATTCTCTTCATATATATATACATATATATATCGCGCGAGAACAGTACACGCCAGTGGAGCCTAGAGTCAGGGCAATATGCCACGTGTGCACGTAGACAATTGTCAACATGGCATGCTCATTAGACGGCCACGGGGAGATAAGAATCTCCACGATTCTTGGAACATTATCGGGCAGACAAAAACAAACCAAATAGTTAAATATCAAAAAAGTATTTACACATATATATATATATATATATCTATAATATCTGCCAGATGAGCTGATGGAGACTGCCCGGTACATCGCCACCGCGGGGAAGGGCATCCTCGCCGCCGACGAGAGCACGGGGACCATCGGCAAGCGGCTAGCCAGCATCAACGTGGAGAACGTGGAGGCCAATCGGCAGGCCCTCCGGGAGCTCCTCTTCACCTGCCCCGGCGCCCTCCCTTTCCTCTCCGGCGTGATACTCTTCGAGGAGACGCTCTACCAGAAGACCGCCGCAGGGAAGCCCTTCGTGGAGGTGCTGCGGGAGAACGGAGTCGTGCCGGGAATCAAAGTCGACAAGGGCACCGTTGAGCTCGCCGGCACCGACGGCGAGACCACCACGCAGGGCCTCGACGATCTCGGCAAGCGCTGCGCGAGGTACTACGAGGCCGGCGCGCGGTTCGCGAAGTGGCGCGCGGTGCTGAAGATCGGGCCGGGGGAGCCGTCGGAGCTAGCTGTGCAGCAGAACGCGAAGGGCCTGGCGAGGTAAGCCGCCGTGTGCCAGGAGATCGGGCTGGTTCCCATTGTGGAGCCGGAGGTGCTCACCGATGGCGTGCACGACATTAAGAGGTGCGCCGTCGTGACGGAGACCGTCATCGCCGCCGTGTACAAGGCCTTGAACGACCACAACGTCCTACTGGAAGGGACCCTCCTCAAGCCCAACATGGTCACCCCCGGCACCGACAGCCCCAAGGTCCGTCCTTACGACAAAAACAACCGATACTTTCTGCAACAATATTTCCTACTGGGGAGTTCCTCGTCTCACGAATTTTCGGATGAGTTATAGTTTGAGCACGCAAATAGTTATGTGAGATTGGATTTTAGGTGGCGCCTGAGGTGATCGCGGAGTACACGGTGGTGGCGCTCCGGCGGACCGTGCCGGCGGCGGTGCCGGGGATAGTGTTCCTGTCCGGGGGACAGAGTGAGGAGGAGGCGACGCAGAATCTCAACGCAATGAACAAGCTGGAGGTGCTCAAGCCATGGACGCTCTCCTTCTCCTTCGGTCGTGCCCTGCAGTCGAGCACCATCAAGAAGTGGCTAGGCAAGGTGGAGAACGTCCCCGCGGCGCAGAAGGCTTTCCTCGCTAGGTGCAAAGCGAACTCCGAGGCCACCCTCGGCAAGTACGCCGGCGGTAGCCCCGATGGTGCCGCCTCCGAGAGCCTGTTCGTCAAGGGGTACAAGTATTAAGGAGCCCGATACCGCCGACGCTTGCAGGGCGAAGTGTCTCGACTATAATACTCTCTCTCTCTCTCTCTCTCGCTCGCTCGCTGTGTGATTTTCCTTGTTGCTGAAACAAAGAACATTTAGATGTATACTTGGGCATCTATGTATTGTGAAAAGGAAACAAAGTGGTACGAACAGCAACATTTTAATTGGGATCGCATGTGTTACCCTTTTTAGTATGAATGTATCCATACATATCAAAGACTATAAAGAAGATGATAATATTGAATCCAAATAAAAACGCTTTCGGAGCTTGGTGGATCCCAAGGTCCGCCCAAACATTGGATGCACCAAGATTTAAACTATTTTGAGAAATTATCCGTAGTCTACGTAGAGAACTAGAAGTATGTTCAAGACGTAAGAACAAATAGAATGAGAGCCATAAAAAAAGAAACCAAGATATATTTCCTTTATATTGATGTTGATTAACCAAACTCCTCAATTAATTCAAGCCCACCCAGGGGATCACAGATTTAGAGAGTTAGAGATTCCAGCAAATCAGAGTAAGAAAAATAAACTCATGAACTGATTGGCATTCAGGTAGACAGCCTTGATTCGAGGTTCTATGTCAAGTACCATGAAAGTGACAACCTCTAACAAAGGTTCGACTGTCACAAGATGAAAATTGATAGCGTAACTAAATTGAGGCAGGTTTTTTTTGATAAACGAGTGTCCAAAGTCAGGAATTTAAACCCTATAAGGACTAGGTAGATTAGAAAGATTCAAATCATGTTAGAGTTAGGTTGAGGGCTGAAGCTTATGGCATTCTATTCTCTATCTCATCAATCCTTCACACATCTTTTTCAATCATTTATTGGAAATGTATCAGAGGGGATTTGAGAGTTCTCCCAAGTTCAAAACTAGCCAGTACTTTGATTTTTCTACTCTCCACTATGTTTTCTAATTTTTAACATATTATCACTGTTCATTCAAAGAGTAAAAAATCAAAAATCAATCATTCAGTCATTTGAAAATAGGAATCACAATCAACCATATGTATTGAATCAAGAGAAATACAAATCATAAGTATTTGAACCGATTTTTGAGTATATTCATGCTTCAACTTTCTGATATTCTTTTCAGACTCTACACGTTTCAAAATGATTCAACATGCAACCTTCAATGAAAGATGATCATTTCTATGATAATAATTCTAGAGATCAGTCACAGAAGTATTAAAATTATAATATAATCTAAAGTGATTTTATTTTGTATGAGGCAATTTGCAAGCTATGAGTGCAATTTCGATCACTTACCACATATGTGCTGTACATTCTATTTTATTTTTTCAGTGATGTACATCTTTCTATGATCAATGGTTTGATGAAGATCTCGGCCGATTCTAATTTAGGATCAATAAAATTATATGGAATGTCATTGTAATTACCATGTTCTTGAATAATGATACTTGATATCTTAATCCTTTTTTTGGGAGTGATTGATGAAATTTTTGGCCAAACTAATAGCACTTGTGTCGTCATCACTTTTAGATTTGTCTTCTGAGTCAATTATATAATATTTGAGCTGCAATTTAACCCCAAACAATTCTATTACAACAAAATTTGGCAGTTGTAGATTCATTTTCTGATGTTGTTAGAGCAACAGCGACCTATTTCTTAGATGTCCATGAAACGAGGCATCCTCATAATGTTAAACATGATTCACAAGTACTTTTACCATTTGTTAAATTTCTAGCGAAATCAAAATAATTTTATGCAACTAAACTCATCTTACACTACTTTAAAAACCAAATTCTCAAGCTATACATGCATTTAATATATCTGAAAATTCTTTTATTTTGTTATTAAGTGTAATTTCTTTTGATCACTAGCACAGAAACAAACCTTGAAGATAATGTTGCATTCCCTTGCCATTAAATATAGGACTAACCCTATCATCCTTCTATTCATGTTGCACACTTCCTGATCAACTGATTTTCAATCAGCACCTAGATCAATTTTGATCTTACTATCCATGGGAATTTTCTTTTCTCTTTTGTATGCCAGATAATTTTTATCTACAATTTTCTAGCATCTATTTATCTTATCCTTATAAGTATTTTATTTTTAGTTTGAGAAAAATAGCTATGTTCTCTCAGCATGCTCATTTTAAATTATTTCTGCATTATTTCTAAAGAGTAAATACACAGATTTCATCTAAAGATGTGAAAACTATGTCACCAACATATACTTGTGCAAAAAATATATGTTGTTCCTTTTTCTTAGTAAATAGAGTAATATCAATATTGCCACTATTAAGTCTTGTATCTAGAAGAAACGAATGAAGTTTTTGGAGTTTGTTCCCTATATTGACCATATAGGGCATTAGACAATGTTAAAACATGATTAGTAAGTTTAGGATTTATGAAACCTAAAGATTGGTCACATATACCTTCTCTTTAATTTCTTGATTGAAAAATACACTCTTTCTACATGAATATACCAACATTGGAAGAGAGTTTTAGAGCCAACTTGTACGGTTCAATTTAGGTTTACTTCAGATATTTTATCAATTGTCATGATAGGTAGTTGGGTGTTTCCAGAGCAGTAAATATAGATCCACTACCTGCACTGGGTTCTATCTGAATGTATAAAGTTGTGTACTTCAAATTGAATGCTGAAAGCATTTAGGCTGTTAAAGCCCAAGTCCGATGTAATCAAACTGATGTATTGTAATTAATTGTTGCACAATTTGCCGATAGTAGAACTCAAAGAAGATAACTTTAAAGGTAGAGTAGGCTAAGAGTGCCAACCACATAAATTTCATATCTCTTATTTGATTACTTTAATCATTCAAGGAATGAAGTTAACTCAATTTAATTGTTTCTCATTGATTATACTAGTTTTCTTTCTATACTAATTAGAAAAATAAAGACCACTTCACACCCACTCTTTGTTTTCCATTCATGACCCCATTAAAAATGATAGTTATCTGGTGTCAAGTGTTAAGATATTGGAGTAAGACTGAAGGAAAGTGATTTTCAAGGTCTAACATCAATATTGCTCCCACCAGACCATTCGAAAACCTAAACATAGAAACTAGAAGAAGATGAGGAAAAACAAAAAACTAGAAGATGATGCTCTTAAGCTTGTGTTGGCTAGTATTCTCTTTTGGGATATTTATAATGTGTGGTTATTAAAAAATTATGTTAAATATGATGACAAAACTGAATTTTATTTTGATTTTTTATCAAAATAAAATAAATTATTTTAATAAGGTCAAGCCCAAGAGTAGCTAGTTGTCATTTTAGACAAGATTATATCTATATGTATTTAATAATTGTGTTGAATAAGATATAGTTAATGCAGAGTATTGGTTTGTTAATTGGAGTAGGGAGAGGCTGACCTTGCAAAGTTCAAATTGATTCAGATCATGCCTTCAAGAGCTGGAGAAAGAAGAAAGCTCTGAAAATGAGATTCACTCCACACCTGTCGAAGACTATTAGCAATTCAGATATTAGTTGAACCTATCTTTCAATCTTCTAAATTAAACTCAACCTTGTTGAAGTCAGCATCATCCAAGTCAAAGAACATCTGCCTCAGAATTATTAAATTTTCAGTGAAATCCGTCTTCTAAGTGGAAATAAATGTTAGAAAATTTACTGGTAAAGAGTGGAATTATGAAACTTATTTAGATTATTATTGGCCGTGTCGGCAGTTTAAGCTTCAGGAAACCAAGCCATGCTAGCCGATCATGCCACACGCACGCTGGCATAGCAAGCGTAATAAGTTCATACGATGCCGACGACAATGGGGCTACTGACGTTGTGAACGCCGTCTGACCATGTTAGAAACCCATAGACATATATGCTGGCCTGAGCGCCGGCCACCGCTTCTACTGTGACCTTGAAGGCCTCCTCCTGGCCGTACTTGCTGAAGACAAGGGTTGCCGGGGTCACCTTTACCAAGGTGCCGGGTGGCGCAGTCACCTGTGCCGTGTACGTGCCCGGCGAGCCGACGTTCTTCACCTTCCTAGTGACGATCGTGGGAGCGGAAAGCCGTGGTACGCTGATGGAGGGGTAGTTGAGGTCGAGAACCCGGGGAGCAATCAGCGGACACGCGAAGGGTGCCCCGTATAAGGTGGCAACCTGTCCGGAGGTGTACCCGTGGGCGCAGAGAAAGTGGAGGTAGTCCTCGACTGTGAGGTCGTAGACAAGGCCGGGATCCATGGCGAGGTTCGGGCGGACGTGCCCACTTCCATAGCTGAACGGGGTGGCCGTCAAGAAGAACGAGTCGAGTATGGGCTGCCCCAGGTTATCTTTGGTCGTTGCTGCATACCAGTAGACAGCAATGGATCAGTATTAGTCGTTGAAAAATTGGGTAGCCTTTCTTTCAGCGCCGACTCGAAACTCACCCGTATTCATGATGGCGGACTTGATCGCCGCCGGGCTCCAGTCGGGGTGCAGTGTTTTGAGGAGGCCAGCAACTCCGGAGATGTGAGGACACGACATCGACGTTCCCGACATAATATTGAATCGAACCCGGCGGTTGTCGAAGGAGTCATCAGATGGTCCGACTGCCTCCGTATATGCAGCGAGAACGCTCACCCCTGGAGCAGTGATATCCGGCTGTAGGCCATTCAATACCGATCAGAGCCGGGAAATTCGCTTAGCAATGGCCATTTCATCAGTTCTGCGGAAGGTCCTGGTAGGAGGGAGGAGAGAGAGAGTGAGAAAGAACCTTAAGGATCTCTGGGTCGACAGAGTTGGGTCCTCGAGATGAGAAGTAGGCCATGAAAGGCGCCGGCTTGGTGCCCACCACCGTAGTAGGTGCAATGATGCCGGCGACAGGGTTCCTGAAACAAAGTCAACGGATCGATCCTATCTTTTGAAGAAACAATCTAGTCAAACTCCGTAGGGTAAATGTTAAGGCTTCAATTTAATTGGCGAAACAAATCTAGCTGCAGTTTGAAACTAGGGCTTTGCAAATCGACTGCAAACTAAAAGGACCTTGAGCGTTAAAAAATAGAAAGAATATTATTAATACTGAAATAACATAGAATATTGATGAAATGAAGGAAAAGGGGAGTTTTCTCATGTTTAACAAAGATTTTCCAACTTGATTCCGGACTTCTAGTGTTGATTCTAGCTGACCTAGTTCATTGTTGGTGTAGATCAGTACTTCGAGTCCTCTAAAGTTGGATCGTTGGGTTTTTGGTGTGGCTTGCGAGTTCTCAATTGTACGCCACGTCGAGCGATCGAAAAAGTTAAGACAGATTAGACAGATTAGGTTTGGGGATGGTTTGGACCGTGGTGTACTAGTAAGGTCAGTGACTCTCGCTTGCGCTTCATTATGGCTATGGGTTGGAAGGAAGATTTACTGAATTACTTACGTGAAAGAGTTGATGTAGTTGTAGAGGATGAGGCTGTTGTCATATGATAACGCTACGGCGGGGAGGACGTGAGGATCGGCGGGGACATGGTTCCATAGGGTGACAGAGCTTGTGACGATCACCCCGACACCGCCGGCGAGGAGCACTGTCTGGCCTTTCTCCACGTTCGAGACGTTTCCCAATTGGCAGACCACGATCTTCCCTTTCACTTTCTCTGGATCCAGCGAGCCCAAGGAGCAGATCCACCTGAGAGAGACCCAAATACCGTTCAGTCGGAAGAGTACAAGATCAGAGATACAGGAAATGGGATGGTCGTCCTTACGCCTCGCCGACGGTAGAATTCGCAGCTCGAGCGCCGGCGCCACTGATCAGCGGATAGGATTGGTTCGCCGGGAGACTGGAGGCGGAAAGGCTCTGCCCCTGGAGGAAGCACGCACGAATGGAGAAGACGACGGAGTCAAGTTCGAGAAGACGACCGAGGAACGAAGAACTGAGGAACAATTCTCAGGGGTGACCCAACCTCGAGTTGTACCCCGCTTCCGAGGATGGCGTAGGAGATGAACTGCCGGTCCATTGTGCTGGCTCCTACCGTGAGGATCCACGGCGCGACGTTCTCCACCGTTTCCCAACTGGGACCCGAGTTGCCGCCGGAGCACACCACGGTGATCCCGTTTTTCACGGCGTGGAACGACCCGATGGCCAGCCCATCCCTAATGTAGTCACCGGCTGTATGGCCAAGAGATACCGAGAGCACGTCTACACCGTCTTCGATAGCTTGGTCAAAGGCGGCCAGGACGTCGGCACCGAAGCAGTCTCCACTCTCTGTGGGGCCCCAGCACACCTTGTAGGCCGCCACCCGGGCGCTGGGCGCCCCACCCTTGGCCGTACCGTTCCCGAAGCCGAAGAGACTGGCGTCAGGCACGAACCGGCCAGCGGCGGTGGCAAGGGTGTGGGTGCCGTGGCCGGCAGAGTCGCGGGAGGTGATCTGGCTGGCAGTTAACGTTCTCCCCGCGGCTATATAACCCTTGTAGAAGACCCTAGCTCCAATCAGCTTCCTAGATCATGGAAATCACGGCATTTGTTTATCTCATTGACGGAAATACTAAAACATCACATCAAAACCTCAACCTTCTCTAGGTAATCCGAATCGTCCTTATGTTAAATCGAAATCATGTTTACAGGAAATCATGCGTGGCTGTGACCATGGTAGCACTGGCGCACAGGGTGGGAAGAGCAACCGCGTGGCGATGTATGGATGGAGGCAAAACGGTGGCCAAGCCGGTGACGGTAACTGGTCATTTATTGGGAGTTCTCTCTAACGTTCTATCTTTAGGTTTTGAGTTGCCGGTGATGGCGATGTTAATGACGATGCTGCTGCTTGCGTGTAGTGGCAAAGATCAAGTTGTAACCGGAGAGAAGACCTTTCGAGGTCAACACTTTGAAGAGTCGAACATACCTATTGCAACGAATAGAATTGCTGGGACTACTCTCGCAAGCCCCCTTCCACCTCGACGGGATGGGCCCCAAGCCCTCGTCGTCGAAGCTTGCCGACTCCGGCCATACCCCTGCGCAGAATCAGGTGAGGAGCCCAGTAGAAGAGAAGTTTTGCGCTGTTTTAATGGAGCCACTAGTCTCCTCTCAGATAATGAGTAAGATAGACAGATAGATAGATAGATAGATAGATAGAGCGAGAGAGAGATGCATACATAGATAGATCGATAGATAAGTAGATAGGTAGATAGATAGGTAGATAGATAGAAAGACAGATAGGAAGATAAAGAGAGAGATGGATATATAGATAGACAAATAGATAGATAGATAGATAGATAGCGAGAGAGAGAGAGTAACAAGGCGGGGAAAACAAAGCGACGAGATTAGAGGTTGGGGTGTATCACCGCCATCAATACTCCCAATGATTGTGTCCTCCCCGAGCCTCGCCTTCCTCCATATGGAGTCCTCAGGGACAGTCCCTTCGCTTTCTAGTCCTAAGAATTCCCATGAGCGCGTCGTGTGCAGCTTATGCTTCTCGTTGGGGAACACGGCCATGACTCCCGGTGACTCTACGAATATCAAAAGAGAAGGATAATAAGCTGGCCGCGGTTTAGAGCTGCCATAGAAAAGAGACGGATGAGGCCGGTCGAAGAGTCCAACTAGATATCTCTATCGCCTCCTCCTCCTCGAGATGTGCAGCGAACCCATTGATATGCCTCGTGTAGGAGTAGAAGATGGCGTCTCGCGCCTTCTTCTTGCTGCAACATCAATCGATGCCCAAGAAATGGGTAAGGTTGACTAAAAATGAGCTGATCCTAGGATGGAGAACATATGCCTAATATTGCAGGATGAACGTTCAGTTACCTGCCCACGAAGGTTTCCAGGAACTCGTGGTGGGATGCTGTGAGCACATCCGTCTGTACCGAGGACACCTCTTTCCGGCTGTGAAGATGGCCTCCCATATACACAATATACGACTGGATTGGAGAACAGAAAACCCATCAGTATAGGGATTGATGAGGAGGCTCGAGGAAAAAAAATAAAAAGAAAAACCAGGAAGGCCAGATCAGTGCTACTTGCCTTCCTGATGGCGGAGGTGGGGGTCTGCAGCAGTGCACAGACAAGGAGCCATAGAAGCGAAAGAGGGACCTTCCGAGGGAAAGAACCCATTTGCAGAGCTCTCGTTCTCCTCTGGGGTTCTCTTCTCCGCTCGGCCCACCGTTCTGAGAGGGGATACCTAACTGGTTCTGATTCGTGAGGACGAAAGCCCTATTAATAATCGTGAGGCGAACGATTACTTATCAGGATACGCCCCGTCCCTCAATGAGCCCTGCACGATATCCTAGAACAAGGTCAAATCTTCCCGAAGTCAACCAATAGAAGGAAAAACGGAAACGAGAAATGGTGCATCTGCTACATTCTCTCGTTTGGGGGGGACCCAGGTTTACCTCACGACGAATTTATCTTACCCCGTGTTGAAGTAGGACATCTCGCACGCCAAGAGAGCACGACATCTCAGACACCTTGTGAGCACTCGTCACGTGAAACCGGCCAATGGCACGCTAGTGGTAACCGAAAGAATCGACGGATGCGGGCTGCGACGCGCTCTCGCGGGTTGATTTCTACCCTGACGAGTCGAGACCCGGATTGTCCGTGTGGAAAACCGGGGATCGACAATTGAAAAATGTTTTCGCGCATATATAGAAAATTAAATAGCGGTAGAGAATCTGATGGGATGGTTGAACCGAATCATGCCACTTCTCAAGATGGTGCAATGGAATCTATCCAAGAGTAAAGTCAACTTCACGCGGGGCGTCCATCAGCAACAAGAAGTCAACTCCCAAGAAGGTTTGCTAGGATTATGGTCAACCCTAATCTTCAACTTCGTATGGGACAAGTCAACTGGAGGCTACCTCCATTTTTAAATCCCACGTTGAACCTTGGGTTGACATCTTATGGATCTATAGGGATCAACAAGAGGGTCCATCCCATGTTGTGGGCCCATGAAGAAGAAGAGGAAGAGGAGCCAATGGAAGAAGGCCCAATGAAAGAGGGCCCATCTTCCTATGGACCCATAAGGGATAGCTGAGACACGTCCCTCTCCAAGAGATGCCACCTCTTCAAGAGGTGTCTCTAAATAGGGACGTGTCTCTAACCAGTTAGGGACGTGGCTCTCCTTCTCTCCTCTATAAGATGGAATTCCATTTAAACAGTATTCATGGAATAATTTGGAACTTTCCTTTCATCTAATCTCATCCTTCTCCCGTCTTATTCTCTCTTATTCCCCTTCTTCTCCTCCGGCGGAACCCCTTACCCCTTCGTTCCCCCTTCTTCCCCTTCTTCTCCTCTGCTGGAACCCCCGTTTCCACTGCCTTACCACCGCCCGTCGCCGCCAGCCTGCTCCTCGCCTACTGCCTTGCGGCCCTCATCCCCTCCTCCTTGGCGTCCGCCCCGACGTCGTCTTTCCGCCTCCTCGTCGTCCGCCTTGCCACCACCGTTCCGCCTCGACGCTGTCCGCCCCGTCGTTCCCGTTCCCACCTTCTGGCCGCCGCCCGTCGCCACCTTTCCGCCTCCTCGTCGTCCGCCTCGCCACCACCGTTCTGCCACGTCACTATCCGCCTCGTCGCCGCCTTCCGTTTCCTCGCCGACCACCTGTTGCCCCCTTTTCTCTCTCTTCCGCCGTCCGCACGAGAGCCGTCTCTTTACTCTCTCCCGCTGGCGCCCTTGTTTCGCCCCTTTTCTCTGTCCCGCCGTCAGCACGAGACCCACCTTTTTTCTCTCTCTCCCGTTGACGCGCCTCATTTCGCCCCCATTTTCTCTCTCTCCCGCCGTCGGCACGATAACCACTTTTTTTCTCTCTCCTCTGTTGAGGGTACCTCATCTCACCTCTCTCTCTCTCGTTCGTCCTCTCTCTCGCCTCATCTCCCTCTCTATTTTCCATCTCTCCCTTACCCGTTCATTCTCTCCCTCTCACTTCCGTTCTCTCTCATCTTCTTTTCCTTGTAATACCGTCCTTGATCTTAACTTCTTCCTCTTTCTTCTCCATCTTCCACTGAATTCCCTCTCTTCTTCCTCTTCAGATCTAGGAGAGTCTTCTCCTTTATTCTTTACCTCCTTGTTTCTTTTCCATTCATCCTTCTCTCAAAACGTGGAACTCCTAAGGAGGATCAAATCAACTATTCCAAGAATCATCAAGAGTTTTCATGTCTTTTAACAACGTACCTTTTCTTCTAAATTATTATAATGATTGATCAAAGTTTATAACTCCCTTGCTTGAGAACTGAGTACCCATAGGATAGCCACTAATTCCCAAAGTTCAGTGATTCATTCCCCCGAAAGAAGTTTTCTCTGATTCATCGAAAGAATAACCCTAATTAGAGTGGTTAAAACGATCCCAACTTTCCTTAATTGTGGGATTAGGCATAGACACTTAAGCCCCACTTTGAAAGTATTAAAGCCCCTTTTTTACAAACCTTAATTTAATGTACCTCAATTTAAAAGGATAAACTAATTTCCTAAATTTGTCCCGCATCAGAATCAGTGGGTCAACTCCTGAGCCCTCTTATCAGATTTTCTCTCTAGAAAGGTACACAAAAAGGGCGAGTCTGGCGATCGTACGTCAAAGAATGTTGAGACTGGTTAGCCATGCGAATCCAGGCCGTCTTCACGTCTGGCCAAATCCTCCGTCCGCATGCGCCACCACAGCTTGGAATTTATAAACGAAGGATTCCAGGAACTTGTGGTGGGATCCTGTGACCACCACAGCTTTGTACCAAGGACACCTCTTCGCGGCTGTGAAGATGGCTCCCCATATACACAACATACAACTGCAGCAGAATACCCATGAATAGAGAGCTTGAGGAGGAGGCTCGAGGACAGAAAAAAATAAAGAAAAACAAAAACAGGAAGACCAGATCAGTGTTACTTGCCTTTCTGATGGCGGTGGTGGGAGTCTGTAGCAGTGCACAGACAATGAGCCATAGAAGTGAGAGGACATTCCGAGGGGAAGAACCCATTCGCAGGGCTCCCGTTCTCCTCTCCCGTCCTCTCCTTGGTCCGCCGATGGGAGAGAGGATACGTGCCTGTCTCTGCTTCGTGAGGAGGAAGTTATAAATTGCGTACAGACCACGATTACTTATTAGGACAGGACCATCCCTCCTCAATGAACCCTGAACGATATCCTAAAACAACATCACGATGTCCCGAAGCAAACCTTGACGAGGAGAAGAGGAAATAACGAGGAACCACACGAAGAGAAAATGGCGCATCTCATATGGCCCCTCGTTTGGGGATCTCCCATAGTCATCTCATGACGAATCTGTCTTTCCGCGTCGCAGTACGTCATCTCGCACGCCATTGACCACGACATCTCACACACCAAGTAATAACTCGTGAACATCTTGGAAGCAACTCTGATAGGGTCTCGTTTGTTAGGGTAGGAGTTGAAGTGTTGTGGCCCGATTTTGTCGCTCTAAATAGCTAACAGTGTTGAAGTCTATACAAATTCAGCTATTGCCGCCACCCTTACACGCACCCACAGGGTTCATTAATGCCTAAACTTGGGGAGACCAAACGCTAGTGCCATGACGTATCTATACAGACAATGAACTATGAGACTTGGAACAAACAAGTTGTATTCTCCCCTTTGGCTTGGATAACACATACGTTTAAGTAGAATAATTGTAATGTATTACGTGAGGACCTGAGTGAACACATAGAATACATGCTTTGATGTGCTTGCAAGACAAGCTTCAATCGTCCTCCTATACCAGAATTCGACAGAAAATTGCAATTTAAACAATGAGAATTCTGCGTAAATGGTGTAAGCCATCATTGTTTTTTCACCAATCCTGATTATCCTCCAAAATAGCCCTCATATTCATTAATATGTGAGCCTCTGTAACAAAGTACTTGAGAGTATCAAGACCAGGACAAAGGGTACGAAGTCTAGTATTAGCCTCATTGAGTGACACCAGAATATCTAAAAAGACCAAATTTAACTAAGGAAAGTAGCCTTGTAAATACTCAATTAGATAGTCTATTGAATTCAAGATTGTTCGTCCTCATTCTTCATCACTAAAACATCTTGTTTCTAGGGATCACTTGGTATTTTTACTTTTAACTTATTTCAATTCTTTACATTGGGAAAAGTGAATGAATATGAGTGATAATATTTATTTTTATATAACCACAATGGTAAAATTGAAGTAATTTCTGCATGAATCAATATAAAGCTAAAACATTTGATGTTTTATTTTTGTATAACAACAATTAGTTCTTGTTTGGGAATTATGTTATGAACTTATGTCTAATTTCATAATTTGTAAAAAAAAATATGAATATATTTAGTAGTTTTGATATACTTACTAATATGATTAAACAAGGTTTAACCTTGAGAATTATTTAAAAATTGAAATAATTTAATCATAAAGTTCGAATTTGGAAAATATATTTTCAAGGTTTAACCAAGGTTCAACATTTTTATGTCACATCATCCATATATACATCAGTTTCCGTATTTGTTTTTGGGTAGTGAAATGAATGGGGATAATTCTAGATTTTGCAGCAATTCTTGAGATATTTTTGTGTAAGGATCAAGGAAGCTCCAAGAAAAATAGAAGCAGGCTTTTGTATGGATACTACGAGGTCAGTAGAAGAGAGGGGAAGGTTTTCTTGGCTGAGTTGTCTCTAGGTGACAGCAAGAAACGAACAGAGTAATAATGGGTGACTGAAATTCGATTTCTATTTTTATTGCGTTTCTTTCTCATTTTCGTTTAATATATCATCTGAGTGACACTTAGAATATAAGATTAAGCCCTTAGATTCATTATTTTTCAACCTTCTCAATTGATTTCTCATTCATTTTTTGGTACTCTATTTTTGCGAATTTGATTTTAGTTTCCTTTTTTTATTCTGTCATCTCATTAACATGAATAAGATAGGATTAAGATTTTTAATCAAATTTTTTATCACTTTTATAATTTATTTTAAGGTTTAATTTCCATCTGCAATAATACTTTGTTCCTAGGTGATGGACACAGATAAGTATGTACTATGATTTCATTATTTTCCAGTTTGTATTCCTTCAATTTTGATTTTCCTGATGAAATTTAAGTTGGTTAAGATTTTTAGAATTTTTTTACTGTATATGTTACGTAAACTTTATAAGCATTTGAACCCAAATCGTTTCCGTGTTTTACCACTAGCAAACTGAGTCTGCTGGTGGAAATTTATGTTTTTTTTAATTTCAGTAACTCTTTTTGTGATTTTAAGTTTTCTATTTGAGGTTAACATTGTTAAGATCATTTGAATCTATTTATTTTAAATATTAATCAATTTTAATTTGAATTCAACTGAAATCTATTTCCCATTTGACTGCTAGTGGGGAGATCTCATCCCAACGACAATTGTATTCTCTCTCTTGTCCTATTTTTTCTGATTTATGTTGTACTTTTTGTCATTATGTTTTCAATTTCTTACAACATTTTAGTTGGAAAATTCTGCAAGTCTTTAGTCATCAATTAATCTTGAACATCAGCACACAACAAATCTTTAAGATTTCAAGCTCAACAACATCAGAGGACATTGAAGGAGAACAAAACGAGGAGAAGATTAATAATTATTATTTGTATGGTAGTAAAATACTTGGGACAAAAAAAATGATATTGATGACCATCATCTCAATCGATGACCTGATTTCACCAACTTTAATTTTAATGGACTTCCATAAACACCCAAGTAATATTGTGTGGTATGAAATTTTAATTAAGATTTAACTTAAACACACCAAGTAAGGTGAGCATTGTGATCAATTTTCTCCCACATAGGTCTATGAATATAAAAGAAAATTTTGAGGTAAAATTTGAAGGGATTTGAGCCAGGTAATTGACAATTGGTGCAGAACATTGGTCTAGTGGAACCCAATAATGAATTATTCTTACATAGTGGATGTTCGTAGGGGAACAAATTATTATAAAAAGCTTAGAGTGGTCAAGATTTAGATCTAGGAGGTTCAAAGAAATATAGGATCAAAAGAAAGGACCACAAAAGTTATAATAGCCGCAGTCAACAACAATAGTACTATGCCTATAAGAGGTTCAAGGGAATTTAACCTCTTACTTCTTGATCTATCTGCGGTCTTAAACCCAATAGTACTATGCCTAAATGAAACTAAATTACATGTGTAAACTAACAAGGAAGCCTATATTAAATTAAATATAGACTTTATCAGATTAGCTAGTGGAGACATCTTAACGAGATGCTGCTCAACCATCAAGGTTTCATCCAGTTTAGGCTTCTCCAAAAACAAAATCAAAAGATCAATTTATGTGTGTAACAAAATCAAGAGATCCACCTTAGGTTTTATCCACTAGCTAACCTTAATGGTGTGTGTGTGTGTGTGTGTGTAATTCTAGATATTTAATTATTTAATTTATTTTTATTTGCTGAAAAATGTTCTGAATCATGGAGATTCTTATCCGTCATTTTTTAGCATGCCACGTCGATTGTTCTAGGAGTTGCAACGTGCACATGTGGCATGGCTGCATTGAGATGCATTGTCCTTATGTGGGTATATATTTGTATATATAAATATATATGAAGACTATTCTCATGCAAGTTGCTGCAGGAGAAGGAGAGAGAGGTCCTCCTAATGTGGCTAATATGCAGAACATAAATAAAACAAATAACTGATGGAGAAACTTAAATCAGGCTCAAACTCATCCACAGTTAGGGAAGTGGGGCTGGGACCAGGCAGTTTAGGCATTAGCGACAATGAGAAGAAAAATATATTAACAGAATAGAGAATTCCAAGCATAAAAATTGAGAGAACTAGTTGAGGAAAATGTCACCAAAGAGACCCAGGTCAGTCGTTGTCCGTTGACCATATGGAAGTCATTGATTGACGGAATGTTGACCAGTGACTATCATATGGTTGACCATTTTCCACACAGAGGCCATTGGACGCTGGACAATTGGAGGGCTTGCTGTTGGGCAGCTATAGCTTGGACCCATTAGAGCTGCCTGGCAGGTACAGATCCAACCCAGAAGTGATCCGATGGGTGGTGACGGGAGGAACCCGATATTCGGCCGTGCCTAGGCGGCAACCCAACAATGACCGAGTCCCAGTAATTGGCCCGTGGAAAGGCGGCCCAACAATGGCTCGTCGGCTTTTAAGCCCTAACTGTTCTGAGAGCGCCGAATCGGTGGCTGACTCAAAAAACCGGAGTATCAGTGGAGGAGAACAGTCGGAATGACGGAGGAGGGAGGCGATGGCAGAGATGGCCAGGAGGTGGATCGCCGGCGGCAGCGGAGGTAGAGGCGCAGGTGACGGGGAAGCAGTGGAATGATAGCAGCAAAGGGAGGTGGCGTCGACGGAGGTGGCTGGGTGGACGAGAAGGCGGCAGTAGAGGGAGATGACAGGGATAAAGACTGGTGGAAGGCAGATCGGCCGAAAGAGATGGTGACGGTGGAGCTGGTGGACAGCTGAGCGGCAGTGATGGAGGGAGAAGACGACGATGGGGTGGCAAAAGGCTGAACGGCGGCTTCAGAGGGGAAGACAATGGAGGAGGCGGACGTAAAATGAGCCGATGGAACGGCGAAGGATTGCGGTGGTGGAGGGAGATGGCAACGACAATAACACTCCAACTGGGAGCACGAGGCCCTCACGGCCAAACCTATTGGGGCGACGGGGTCCTCACGACCAACCCTAACAGGGGCGACGGAGTCTCGCAACGAGCAGCAGGTGATGGAGCTTCTGCGAAGGTAAACTATTCTTCAAACTTTGATTGTCTCCCTAATGACGACGAGACGAACCTTTTAAAGGCCATATAGAACAAAACAAAGCAAGTAAAATAAAAGAAAGCTCATTCAGGGAGAGCCCGTTAATAATAAAAGATATCTTCAACTTCCAAGCGGATGTGTTGGTGTCGGTGTTGGTGTCGGGATCTCCAGTGGTCCTCTAGGCCCAAAGCTTCTGGGGATGAGCTTGAGTCCTTTGCCACTGGCTAAGTCTAGATTGGGCCCCTGTCTTGGATCACCTCTACATGCGACATGCTTCTACTTGAAAGAGAGAGAGAGAGAGAGAGAGAGAGCGGGAGATAGCGAGAGAGAGAGAGAGAGAGAGAGAGAGAGAGAGAGAGAGAGAAGGGAGAGAGAGAGAGAGAGCCGGAGATAGCGAGAGAGAGAGAGAGAGCGGGAGAGAGCAGGCGAAAGAGAGAGCGGAGAGAGGCAGGAGAGAGTGAGAGAGAGAGGGAGAGAGGAGAGAGAGAGAGAGAGAGAGAGAGAGAGAGAGAGAGAGGAGAGAGAGTGGGAGATAGCTAGAGAGAGAGAGAGAGCAAGAGAGAGAGAGAGAGAGCGGGAGAGAGGCAGGAGAGAGTGAGAGATAGGGGGAGAGAGAAGGGGAGAGAGAAGGGGAGAGAGAGAGAGAGAGAGAGAGAGAGGGAGAGAGTGGGAAAGAGCTAGAGAGAGAGAGTGAGAGAGAGGGAAGGAGTGGGAGAGAGTGGGAGAGAGCTAGAGAGAGAGAGAGCGAGAGAGAGAGAGAGAGTGGGAGAGAGTGGGAGAGAGCTAGAGAGAGAGAGAGAGAGAGAGAGAGAGAGGCTACAAAGAACCTACAGGAGAAGAGCAGAGAGATACAAGTGCTTACCTACCTGCATACTTCCCACGATGGCCAACATGTTTCTCTCTCCTAAGCAAGCTTTGCTGAAGCCACTGGCCGGAGACGCTACCTGCTGCAAAAGCCAAAGCCTTGTGTGACACCCCTGGAACCTCCCGACCGGTTTGAGGTCGGGAGGCCACATGAGACACATGCAGACAGAGGCAGGTGGACCTCTCCCTCTGTAAAATGGGGGGAACTCCGCCCGCTGGAAGACAGACCGGAAGAAGAGGAAGAAGGGAGAGAGAGAGAGAGCTGCAGAGCGAGAGAGTGTTGGGTCTCATCTGCAGGAGAGGGGAAGCTCCAAAGCGAGCATGGGGAGTGCTCGGAGGGAGCTGAGGTTGCTACATTGCGTCAGCAGTAAGTGAGGAGTCGGCGGAGAGCTGTTCCATGAGACCCTCGTACACCCTTATTGAGGTAATATGAGTACCTCGATGTTCCATGATCGCAGTAGGGTCTTGGAGAGTTCTGCAGGTGACGTGGAGGCTGCTCGACATTGAGGGAGTAACGATCGAGGTCGGCAGTTAAACGGAGAACTGAAGTATCCACCCATGAAAAAAATGGTATCAGAGCGCGCTATTATAGGAGAGAATGACATCAATGGAGGAGCAGTAGAGGAACGGTAAGATGCAATGGAGCCAGTAGTGATGGAGGTTGTGGGCCCCTCAACTGGAGGAGCAAATCACCCGTATCCTTACCTCCATCAAGGCCTTGGAAGCATGCATCGGAGCCGTAGAGGAACGGCAAGATGCAATGGAGCCAGTAGTGATGGAGGTTGCAGGCCCCTCAGCAACGTCATCAGCCGACGCCGCTGATAAGGTAGAACTCCAAGCTTCCGTGAAAGCTCTGGTGGCAGATGTGTGCCTACTAAAGCTGCCCTTCCAAGAACACAAAAGAGCGGCCGCATCTTGGGCCAAGGTCCCTCAGCCCAAAGTCTTTGCATGTGCTAGGAACGCCAAGGAGTTCGAGAACTTCCTTTGGGACCTAGACCATTACTTATGGGTGATACACTCACCTGATGCGGAGAAGGTCACGTTGGCAAACATGTACCTCGTCAATGACGCGAACCTGTGGTGGCGCATGTCGACGGAGGATTTGGCCAGACATACCATCAAAACATGGGAAGAAACCTATTATAGGATCTCTTTTTTTAGGGTACGAATTGAAGTGTTTTAGCTTGATTTCATCGCACTAAGTAGCTAAAATTCTTGAAACCTATACAAATTCACGCGTCGCACTAAATAGCCAAAATTCTTGCGTCCACAGGTAGACCCGATGTGAGTGCCAGTTGTATCCTCCCCTTCGGCTTGGATAACACAAATGTCTAGGTAGAATAATTGTAGATTACATGAGAAGAAATTTAGCAAACACATAGAACACATGCTTTGATTCGCTTATAAGTTGATCTTCAAGTGTCTTCCTATATCAGAATTCAAAAGGCATTGACAAGTTAAACGAGGAAGTAAAGTGAATTCTACATAAGGTGTAAGCCATGATAGGATTTTTCCCGATCCTGATCATATCCTCCAGAATATCTTCTCTTATTTAATAATATATCAGCCTTTCTAGCAAAGTACTTGAGAGTCTTTGTTATTTGTCGTTAGGGTAGACAATCTAGTTTTTGCCTCATTCTATGACTTGCCCTTTTATGGTCAATATCTGGAAAGACCAACTTTAAGTAACAAAAGTAGCCTTGTAAATACTCACTGGATCTTCCATCAAATTCAAGATTATTTGTCCTCAATCTTCATCATTAAAACATATAGACTCTTCAGATCACTTGGTATTTAATTTTTTTATTTTAACTTAGTTCAATTATTTATGTTGTAAAAAGTGACCTGAATATGAATATGATGTCACGGTAATGTAGTTGAAAAGGCGCATAAGCTATATCATATCCATAAAGTAATAAATGACATCGAGAAGGAAGAATAAAGGGGGAAGAAGGCAACTCAAATTTAATTTAATACGAAGAGGTTAACACAGAAATAAGAATATCCACAGAAATGAGGAAATAAAATATATAAATTGAGAGGAAAATAAATCATACATAAACCACCAAAAGGGGAGACGTTCATAGATTGTGCCACCAGAGAGAATGGGCTTTGATTTTTCTCACCTTTTTTTCTCTCTCCACAAGCCCCCCTGTAATATTTGTATTACACTTGGGCAAGACTGGTTTCGTACCTTAGAAGAGTCCCTAAAATAAAGAAAAGAGAGAGGGTAGAAGTCAAAGTGGATCTCCCCCAATGGGTTGACAAAATTAATCTTACAAATCTCTACCTTGGCTTGGTCAACAAAAACATCTTTCTAGCTTGACACTGACTCCTCCACGAGATCCTTTTAACTATGACAACTAAAATAGTTCATGCCTTCTTCAGATTAGGAGGTTAGCTTTAAGTACTGAGAACCCTAATTAAGTTTAAATAATATTATAACTTAGAAAATGAAAGAGATTTTTCAATATGTCCTCAAAGTTCTTTTTGATATCAATCTTCTACATAATGATCACTTCTTTGGAAATAATTTCATGAAGGAAGTGGTATTTAACATTAATACACTTTGTACTCTCATGATACATCTTATCTTTAGTCAAAATGAACAGAATTTGGACTATCACAATGGACAACAGTCACCTTTTGATATGAATTAAGCTCAAAATAAGCTAGTTAACCACAGCTTCCTTAATCACCTATGTAATTTGTATAAACCTACTATTGTAGTGGATAATGGAATAATAGGTTGTAATATAGTTTAAAAATTAACACCACAACCACCAAAAAAATATAAATATTTCAAATGACCTTTTTAATTATAATCTTCTGTAAAATGTTAATCAATGGATAAGTAGTATTAGTGACGGGGTCAATAGTCCAAGCATCCATGGATGCAAAAGTCTCAATTGGGATCCAAGATGGATGTAGATCCTATTCAACCTAATTTTGATCAAGAAAGGACTGATCCAAGAAGAGAATTGGGCTTTGATCGTACCCATTTTCAAAGGAAAGGATGGGCCCAATAGAAAGGAACGTCCACCCCTTCCATTTCTCTCTCCCAAGCAACTCTTTAAGGCATCTATTAGAGAGGCATCCATAACTACCCAAGCAACTTTTGATAACACAACTCATGGGATCAAAGAGCCTCATTCAGCCCTTGATCAAGGATCAAAATTTCAACAAGGATCAAAAAATTCATCAAGACATCCATTGGGAGGGTCAAAAATTTTAAGGTAGTCAACTAGGAAGTATGAGGCATCAACTACTGAGCTTCTACATGTAACTTCCCTTCTCTCTTATAACTATCCCTAAAATTTCGTCGAAGGAGATTTCATGTATTATTTGAGGAGGGAAAGTAATGAAGTTTATGTTGAAGAATTTCTCTTCAATTTTCGCTCTTTTCTTTGAGGGAGACCTCAAGGATCAATTACTATTTAGGAAGAGGCCGTGAGGATCAACACCTCATTCTTGGGAAAGCCATGAGGGTCAGCCACCATTTTCATTCCACCCATCCTTCTCACCCTTTTATTTCATCTTTCACAACTTTCTAGAATCATTGAAAATCAACTATGAAGTCTGCTCGTCAACAATTGTGGGATTGCATCTCTCCATATCAAAGTACCATTGACTTGTTTGGTTTCAATGTTTTCTTATTTAATTTTAAATCTCTGTTGTAAATTATCGTTGAGTGAACCTAGGATTAGCCATAATTTGTCTACTTGGTGATCCATGTACCTTGACCTAGATTTTGATCCAACATTTTAGATAAGGTCAAACCCTAATTATTGGACGAATAAAGATCATAACTTATGTGATATAATATTGAGCGGTAAGGTTATGACAATCGATGCCCAACCTTTTTATGATCTTCCTCTCTATCTTGACTCTTGACACTCATAGGTTTGGAAATAGCTTGCTTTGGGGATTGGTGCACGCCCATCACATGATCAAACCAAAGCATAGATCCTTATGGGTTCACCTCTCTCTCTCTCTCTCTCTCCCCTTCCCTCCCTCCCCGATTGGGATGGGTCTTCGCCCCAAGTAACGACAACTGTCCCGTCCCTCCGTTTTCTAAATTTGACCGGGTCTTCAAGACCCACGGGGGAGCTCGCCAGACTCGTCCAAGTCTGTGGAGCCCCGTAGAATCTGCGCTGGTCTCCTTTGGCATCCCGATGCCCGCATCCCCCTCCCCCCCTTCATGGCCGACGTCCCTAGTCACCCTGCAACCACGAACAAGACTCTCCGATTAATTAGCCTCGAACTCTGCCGACGGACGTAGAGAGAGAGAGAGAGAGAGAGAGAGAGAGAGAGAGAGAGAGAGAGAGAGAGAGAGAACTTCTTCTCGCGTGGAGATCCAGGAGACGCCATCGTCGTGACAGCGAGCTATCCACGGAAGAGGTAACCCGGAGAACCCTCTCGTGCATACCATAGAGACTGACTTGGTTCAGGGTTCATGTGGAAGAAACACTTCGTCGGAATCCGCCATTACATGTAAAGACAGATCGACCGAATTTTTTAACACCATCCCCTGTGATTTGGGCAGGGAAACGGGTCAGAGAGAGACCTGCAATTGGGAAAGACGGTGGAGGTTGCGGTTTATACGTGTTCTAGATAGAGGGAGCGAGCATGGAAGGTGAGGGCCCCAGCAGGAAGGACCGCGCGATCCATGCAGGTTATCTTGTATCACTGTGATGAGCGGCGGCGATGGACGACGCCGGGTCCAACCATTCTCTGGCATCCTCCAGCGAGAAGCAACAGGCAGAGGATCTCCAAGGAACCAAGACAAGTCAGTGCTCCGTCACCACCGTCTACAAGGCCTACATCGCCGGCGGCGCCCGAATAGTGACGGTGGTCTGGTCGAAGACCCTCATCAGCCATTCCCTCTCCGTCGTCGTCGAACATCTCGACGGCAGCGCCGCCGCCGCCCCCCCCCTCGTGTGCAAGATCGACCTCAAGCCATGGCGGCCATTCTGGAGCAAGAAGGGGCTCAAGTCCCTCGAGCTGGAGAATCACCGCGTCGACGTCTACTGGGACCTCCGCTCGGCCCGCTTCTCCAGCCGGCCGGAGCCCGCCGGCGGCTACTACGTCGCCCTGGTCTGCGACGAGGTGGTGGCGCTCCTGCTGGGGGACTCCAAGAAGGAGGCCTTCAAGAGGACCAAGGCGAGGCCCTCCTTGGCCGACGCAACCCTAATCTCGAGGAGAGAGAACGTCTTCGGCAGGAGGAGCTTCTCCACGAGGGCGAGATTCGGGGACCTGAAGAGGGAGCACGAAATCGTCGTGGAGAACTCCATTTCCGGTATGGCGGAGCCAGAGATGTGGATAAGTATCGACGGCGATGTCGTCGTTCACGTAGACAACCTCCGGTGGAAGTTCAGAGGGAATGAGACAGTGGCGGTGGAGAGGACCCCGGTGCAGATCTTCTGGGACGTCCATGGCTGGCTGTTCGGCGCCGCCGTAGGCCTCGGCCACGCGGTCTTCATCTTCAAGCCGAGCCCGCCGGAAACGACGGAAGCGTCGGGGGAAGACGATAGACAGCCCGCCGCCGCCGTGGTCTCCTCCTCCATGGCCCCGGAGTTCTGCTTCGTGCTCAACGCTTGGAAGCTGGAGTAGCTGCAAAAGAAGAAAGCTCGCCATCCCCGCTGTTTCTACCAGATGAAAGCGCCTGTAAAACTGTCTTTCTGAATACCGGGTTGACTTTGTAATCTTCTTCGGGAAATCATATAGAGCATTACTAGATCGAACCATCGAGATGGAAGTAAACGGGGCCATATCAACGCACTTGGAGATCTGAAAAGAACATCACCAATATAGATTACATTACAATTCAGAGACGATGTTTTTATATTGAGTTGTTTATATTTGGCCATGCTTGAAATTGTTTATATCCTTGTAAAAGTATTAAAATAAAGTAACCATATATATATATATATTTAGAGAGAGAGAGAGAGAGAGAGAGGGGGAGGGGAGGGAGAGAGAGGGAGCATCCAAACCTAATGCCCACTTCACCGGAGCTTGTCAAAGGTCAGTGAGGGCGGTACCTGCTGGTCAAACACTTTTCCTTGTTTGCCCCTCTTTGACTAGTTGTCTGACTTCATACTGCATGACAGTAAAGACCTTAATGTGAACTCCGTCCTCAGGACGTCCCCCGGTCCTCTCGTTGACTCCCACGCCGGCCTTATTGACCCTTGGTACAGTCCACCTTGGCATTGACTTTCCTCACTACATTTCTTATTGACTCGCCCACTGCAACGCCACAGACAGACAGACAGAGAGAGAGAGAGAGAGAGAGAGAGAGAGAGAAGGGGGCCTGTAGAAGGAAAACTCTAAGATCGTACACACAAAAATGAGTCACTTGCAATCTGACGCCAGAAGCAAAGTTTTACACCGAGAGGATCACTAATAAAAGAGCCGCAGCAGGCGATGCCGTCACCTCCCGAAGCATCTCAGCACAGTAGACGTGAGAGTCGAGGAGAGGAACTTGAGGCCGGTGGACCCACCGGGGAAGTACGAGATCGCGTAGTAGGAGAGCGCGAGGACCTGCAATTATGGAGTGAATGGCCTTTTAAGTAATAGGACAACCAACGCGGGCCCCACTGGAAGAAAGTTTGTCAAATTAGACCGAGGGAGTTGACTGGCCAGTCCCGGGCCGGAGGGGGAAAAGCCCGATACCGGAAAAGCCGATGCCAAGCATAGGTACAGGGACCAAGAAGGGAACCTTTATAGTTGGACCAGGTATATTTCATTTATGGGCCTAATTTTAAAGCCCGATACCGGAAAAAACCCATGCCCAGCGTCGGTATAGAGGAACCAGGAAGGGGACTTTTATAGGTTGACCAGTCTATTTTCATTTATGGGCGTCAATTTACAGCCCGAAACCAAAAAACGGGCCGGACCGGGATCATGGGCTTTCGGGCTTGGGCTCTAATTCTAGACAAGACTCGAACCTTTAGAAAGTCAACGGGCCCACCTGTCCGAGACCAGAAAACGGGCCGGGCCAGCGTCCAAGCCGAGATCAGTTTGGTCAAAAAAAGAACATGTGAGGAATGAGAAGGATGGATGGAGTAGAGTACCTGAAGCACAGAGAAGAGGACGGAGAGAATGTAGCTGTGGAGAACCATGGACACGTATATCGTCCCCACCATGCTGCCGATGAACCCTAACGTGAAAGGGAGTCTCTGCAAAGCGCATCAGCGACAAGAAGATCAGCACACAGAACGCGACTAGCATCTGTTCATCCTCGCAAGCCAGTGATTCAGAGCTAATAAGATCTGGGCTACCCAGATCTTCTCTTGCATGCCCCTTATGGTTTTTGGTACATAAAGTTGTGTGTGTGTGTATGTCTAGAGAGAGAGAGAGAGAGAGAGAGAGAGAGAGGGCAGTTGTTCTGCATCAAACAAGCTGAGAACGATTTCCTCTTCAAGACTTTATAGGAAAACTCCAAATAATTAATGGTAGTCTGATGTCTGGTTTCATATTTCTTTGATAAAACAGAGAGTAAGATCATGGTCCAACATAAAGCTGTGTGTGTATGTCTAGAGAGAGAGAGAGAGAGAGAGAAAGAGAGGGGGGGCAGTTGTTCTGCATCAAACAAAGCTGAGAACGATTTCATCTTCAAGACTCTATATGAAAACTCCAAATATTTAATGGTAGTCTGATGTCTGGCTTGATATTTGTTTTATAAAACAGGGAGTAAGATCATATTCCAACATAAGATGAGACATCGTAAAGTTCCCAGATTTATCAGCCACAAATGAAGCATCTCACCCCTTCGAAATATCTCGGCTCATCTCCATCCTCAACCCGTTACTATTGCTGGTTTAGAATGAGATCATTTGGAAGTCTGACTGGAGCCGTGAGAAGTCAACTTTCTATCAGGTGGTGGGAAAAGAGGTCTATCTGAAGAGTCAACCAGATTTCTGTCAGAGAAAGGAAGGAATAATATTTTCTTTATTGGGTTGACTCTAGAACACATCCAATATCTTTCTAATCATGGAATGAACCAGAGAGCTACATATCGGTAGAATTAAGAAAGAATAATATTTTCTTTATTGGGTTGACTCTAGAACACATCCAATATCCTTCTAATCATGGAATGAACCAGAGAGCTGCATATCGGTAGAATTAAGAACTCCGTGGGGTGACATCCCTCATGTCTAGAGTAATGATCGGTCAAAGAACACTTGGCCACAGGCAGAGATCATCAGAGTCAAACCGTCTAAGATGTCACGCAGTCAAAGAGCCCCTAGATTCATGCACTGTGACATTATGAGACAAATTATTTGTTTTTTTTCTGCTTCCCAGAAATAGCATCCATCTTGGATTGAAATGTAGATCCTTTGCTTCATGCTCTAGGTTTCAGGTAAATATGCACAACAGATAATTCTGAAAAGATGAATATCACTTAGAATTCACGTAGAACCCACCAGAAATTCACTTAGAAAAATCATTTGCGTGGGTTGCAAAGAAATTATTTCCCCTAAACGTTTTGAGAACGTCGTGACTACCAGGTACTACATAAATATTATATTAAGTGACAAGGTGAAAAAGGATCAACAGTTCAGGAAATTTCAACGAGAAGACACAGTGTTAAAACAGCGAGAAAAGATTGAACGATTTTTCTTTGAATCGAAAAGAAAATAATAAGAAATGTAGGCTTTAAATTGAAGAACCGAAAAGATTTAGCACACTTCATGGGTGCTCTTGTTTAAAGCATGAGCATAAAATTAGAAGAATTATTTCCATAAGAGAAAAAAATCTACAAGGAGCACATAAATAGATAATCAACCTGCAGCTCTTAAATGAATGTATAGGAAAAGTTATGAGTCATAAAATCACAGATGGGTAGAGGATGATGCATCAAGGTCAGAAAGAACATCGGAAGCCCAATACCTCTTTAGACAACATGTGAGAAAGCTGGTTCTTTGGTCCTTTGAGCGCAAAGAATGACCCAATAATTAAGGCACAGCCAAGCGTGAAGCAAATAGCAAACTTCTGTGGCATCAGCACCATGACAGGGAGGAACATTGTGAAAGCAACGAAAATGAAGAAAACGCCCGTGGCCAGGAGCAGCCCAAAGTACACGAGAGATTTTCCAGATGGGACATTGCTAGTAGCAGATTGGAAACTGCCAGGTAATTCTCTTACTCCTTTGGAAACCCTGGGCAACATAATACCAAAACAATAAGCTTAACTGCACTGTTCAGACAGAGATGATAAAGATCAAAGGTGGGAAAATACAAAGGATGATGATTCTTTTTAGCCTTGAGAAAGCCATGAAGTACCAGAAGTTAGAAGGCGAAAATATTTGAAGAGACTACAAGAGAAATGGATGCATTACATGTCCACTACCCATTAATTCATCCGTGGAACAGTCTATGATAGAAATAATTGCACAAAACTGTTAAAGTGTCTTGAATTTCGTAATACAAGCTACAATAAAAAATACAGCACAGTTCTGGCTTACTCAGAATTAGCCTCTACAGTTTTCCTCTCCACATATAGATTACCCGGTTTATATTTTTTCTGTTTGTTTTCTTCGTACTTCTTGTTCTCGGATCATAACTTCAGATGTAAATATCGAGCCATCTTTCTCCAACTAACGACACCTCATTTTCTTTTAAGTACCTTGGCATGATATGAAACCATCTACCAGTGGTACTGGGAGACTTGAGCTAGGCAAAACCTTAGAAAGGGCACGCCATCCACAGACCATCAACTGTCACGATACGTTTTCAGCATTGAATATAAGGTTTTGATGCTCGGTAGATAGTCATCAAGAAAATTCAATTAATTCCGTGGTCAGGAAAAGTATTACCTCTTGTTCAGGGATTAAAACCCTAGTTCCTATCTAATCCAGATTGATGAGATAAGACAGAGACTTAAACCATGATGAAGATGACCCTAGTGCAGAGAAAACCTTCTATTTGCGAAGAAAATGACTGTTCCAGATACAATGCATTCATCACGAAAACGAATGTGACCACGACCATATCACTCCCCGTAAACGAACCCTCACAAACACCCGAAGGTTATGAAATACATCCAAAAGAAAGTTATCCCTGAAGCGTACAAAAAAAACATGGGCACAGATCCCCCGGATTCTATAGATTTAACTGGCTGTTTCCCTCTGAAAGGACAAGAAGGATAAACTGGATAGAGAAAGAGATGAGATTTCTCGAGTTAACCAGACATAATTTTACGTCCGAGGAAAGATCTTCTCCTAAGTACTGTTTGGCAAACTTAGTAGATAACACAAACGCAGACGAAAATCATGATGCCTGGATAGATCCAGAGGTCATTTCAAACACAAATGCATAACTTCAACAAATCTGAGCTTAAATTACGTTTACACTAACCAACTCCACATAAAATCGGCACGTAAACTAATGGTAATTACACCAACCGGTCCAATTAACGACTATGCTCGCCGTCCACCAAGACAATGAGAAGCCATATGAGAGATGAAAACTGACAACGGTAATTAAAGCGCAGCGCGTGCAATAACTCCTTGGAGAATCATCGTAGACTGTCACGGTTATAATCTGGCTCAATAACTTTGGATTCGCGCATAAGGGAGAAATATAAGACGGATCCTTAGCGCGAAGTGCCAAATAATCCGTTATCCGAGAGGAACACAGGAAGAGAGTGTGTGTGTGAGAGAGAGAGAGAGGGAGAGAGAGAGCAACGGGGACAAAGATCACAGATCTCTGGATTCAGATCAACGAGACAGCAAAAACCACCAGCAGCAGCCCCGGACGGTGGAAGCGAGAGGCAGAAACGGAGGAATCGAGCAGGAGGGGGCCCGGGGATGTCTTACACGTTGAAGGTGCCGGCGACCTTGTCGTTGGCGGTGCGCACGGCGGACTCGATGTCGAAACCCAGCGCCGACGACGGCCCAGTTTCGTCCGCCGACTTGGAAGAAGCGTAGGAGTTCCAGTCGGCGAGGAGGGAGGGCGAGGACGACGAGGACATCTGCGCCTCCCCCGAGCTCGGACCCCCGGAAAACCAGGCCTGCGCCGTCTTCTGCATCCCCGCTCTCCTCCCTCCCTCAATAGCCTGCCGACGCCGTACAGAAAGGAGTACCACAAAACGACCACCCATGGGCTTTAAGGCCTCTCGTTAGGCCGAGACCCGACCCAAGACGGCCCGCCACCTGCTGCCCCAGAGCGAGGGCCCAGCTGAGAGTGTCAACGGGCCGGGCCGGGCTTAAGCCCGGTATAGTCTCATTTTATAAGGATTACGCCCACTTATATCCTCTTAATGGGCCTGCGAGAGAGGGATCGAGAAAGAGAGAGATAGAGAGAGAGAGAGAGAGAGAGAGAAAGATAGAATCTAATCTATCAGAAACAAGCTACCCAAGATAAAATCAAGATATTTTAAATATATATAAATAGATATTTGTAGAGAGAGAGAGAGAGAATCTAACCTATCAAAAAGAAGCCATCCAAGATAAAATTAAGATATTTTTAAACATATATATAAATATATATATATGTAGAAGAGAGAAAGAGAGAATCTAACGTATCAAAAACAAGCTATACAAGACAAAATTAAGATATTCTTAAACATATATGTAAATATTTATATGTAGAGAGAGAGAGAGAGAGAGAGAGAGAGAGAGAGAGAGAGAGAGAGAGAATCTGACCTATCAAAAACAAGCTATCCAAGAGAAAGTTAATTTTAAAACATATATATATATATAGATATATATAAAAGAAAGGGACCCACGTGGGTGATTGTGAGATAACCATGTGGCATAAGAACAGCAGCCCGTGTCATTGTACCTACATGGACCCAAAAAAGGGAACAAAAAGGCCTTTTTTGAATTGAGCCGCTGCCGCCGATCACCGCCTCCAGTGGCGGCGGCCACTTCTTCTTCAGAGCAGCTGGTGAGCTTAAAACCTAGTTCTTGAGGTGGAAAGAAGGAATTGTGAGAGAAATCTTAGTCTAATTAGCCCTTCAAAGACTGATCGATCCACCACAATTAAAAAAAATAAAAACAAAAATAAATAGGATGAAAAAAAGGGAAGAACGATCAAATCACCACTCGCATGTTATACTAAATAATCCCCTCGAGTTGCTGAAATAACCTCAGAATGAAGATCAAGCACTGAAGAACACATAATGATCGCCGTGCATGGCCAGAGCTCAAGAACACCCCCGCTTGGGCTGCTTCAGCTTGGCCAGCTCGGCCAAGGCCTCCCCAATGGGCCCCATGTTCTTGTCCCTGTTGTCCTGAAGAAGAAAGAAGAAGACACTGATAGGCAGACCAGGACCCAGTGCAATGAGGCTTTCCAAAACTGGAATTGATCTCACCTTCAAGGATGGAACTAGAGCATAGACCTCGTCTATGGTCTCAGGGCCGGCGTTGGAGATCATGCAAATCTGAGCCAACAGATGAAGTTCAAGATCGATGGGAATTGCCTGTTTCAGAATGATCTGGGATTGGGAAGGAGCAGGGTTTTTCTCACCTCTCCATCAGTAGCTCCAGAGTTCTTCAGTTTCCTTGAATTGAGGTCAAGGGTCCTCCATAAGAAAAGATTTTTCTTGAACCCACAACCAAAATAACCAACACGCCTTGAAAATGATTTAATTATCTAAATATTATCAATAGACCACTTGAATGTTTCTTTAGATGATTGATTTCATAAAGTTGAAGTTCGGTGGAAACCTATTAGAACATGGGCCAATCACATAATATGAAGAAAAACTATTGATCATACTTACTGTTCCATAAATAGTTTATTTTTATAAAGTTTAAATCCATTAGAAAGCCATTCAAGAATGGGGGGGTTTAAGAGAGACCTCTCTTGAACCCACAGACCAGATTCCACGGCATAAATGAAATAATCAATAAGTGAAGAAAATGATAGAATTATCTAACTTTTATCGACATTCCACATGAATCATGCCATCGATCATTCACTTTATTAAAGCTTAAATCCATTAGAAACCTATGAAACAAAGTTTTTAGGAAGATCTCTCTTGAACCCGGAGAACAAATCCCACAGCATAAAAAACCGATTCGTAGGAAAAATGATTCAATTATCAAACTATCATCAATATTTCCACTTTGAATTATTCCATATACCATGCATTCAACTTATTTAGTTGATGAGTTACCCGCATCAAATGATTGCCATTGACTTCTACTGAGGAAGGATGGAGACTGATCATATGAGGCTAGGCTCGGATACTCTAAAGCTTGTGCCACATCCTGGGGATTGGTATAGCGTTGAGCAAGATTTTGGGTGTACTTCAGCGCCTTGCCAAATGACCTGCAACGGAAGATCATATGTATGGTCAATGGGTAGAAGATGAAACTCGGTCGCTCTAGCAGTTTAATTTTGAAAATATGACACAACCACAAGGCTCACTCTGGTATCTTGATCTTCGGATCATCTGATAGTATCAGGAGATGGTCTTGGATTCCCTCTAAGATGGTTGCTGCTTCACAGTCCTTCAGGATTTTGACGTTCTTCGGGAGATCTGAGATGAACGATAAAGTCAACCATGATCGATGTCTTCCCTCAGAGAAGATGCATCCCAAATATACAGCAAAAACTGTAAATCTCTACATAAATTAGCTTTGTCTGAGAAAAAACCAGCAGAAAAATTATAAAAATGGGAAAAAGGAATCCACATCGAAGCTTAAGAACGATAAAACTATTATTAAAAGAAAAAATCTATAAATGAGGAAAATTCATTTGGACCATTTACTTACTGACCGGATTCTAGCTTCAATTCTACCTCAGACAATATTTTTGCAATAGGCGATTTTCCCCTCTCTCCATCTTTCCCAGCCTTGTCAGTGTCTCCCCCTTTGCCCCAATCACCTAAAGATCAGACCTGACATCAGTCAAACAGTAAACCAAGGAAGAAAATGCCTTGCACAATATAGCTCGTACAGCTTTTAGATAATGTCGAACTTTGGTGCATGGACTAGAACATAAAAATATTTTTAAATAATTAGGAAAAAAAATCGGCTCAGGAAAAGAAACGGGGAAATTTTAGTAGTGAAATCTGAACCGTCACCTTTCCCAGAAGGGGATACGAAGGGAGACTTCCCGTCGGTCTCCAACTTCTTGGGAGCCTTGGAATTCGCAGATGAACCCTTTCTGCTTGCCTTTGAGGAACCTCCCGAGATGTCCTTCACAGAATCTTAGCGATGAACATTGATAAGTCAAAAGCCAACCCAAAAAAAAATGGATGAAACAGTGATCATATAAACATAGAGTTGACTATAGGTTCAGAGAGATGATAATTCGAAAAAAGAGAAAGGAAGTTGAGAAAGGAAGCAGGAGCCGAAGCATTAGAACCGGAATATAAAGATTCAATATGGGTTCCACTCCTACTCCTTGAAGAGCTCCCATCTTTTTCTTTCCGATTCCATGATGATCAAGGTGTTCATAATTCGATAAGCTGTGATAGTTTTCGGGGACAGAGAGGGAGATAGAAAGAGAGAGAGAGAGAGAGAGAGATTCCAAGCGCATTGACTTGTAAGGATCAATCTGATTGTGGAAGAGTCAGAACTCAGTTCCAAGGCCTAAGAGCTATCCGGGCTCTCCATCTTGCTCCCTTTCACTACAGTATTGAGCCTGATGAGCCTCCAGCGTGCATCTCGAAGAATCGTAGATTCAAACCCAAAACTCAACTGGGCGAGCGCAGTACCAATTCATGCATACTCATCACAGAAAAAGAACAGGTGGGGAGGAATGGTTGCGCAACCAAAAGTCCAAAATCTCGGGCAAAAACTCGGACGATATCCGAAAGAAGATATTGTAAACACCTTCCATCCCCAATTAGTGAACCTCAAAGGAGCAAATAGCCTCCAATATGCAGAAGGCCTCGCGAAAAGCACATGCAAACCAAGTGCATTTCATGATCGACGCAAGAACCTGAATCTCTACACCGAGGAAGAATGGATATCTCAATTCTCGGAGAGTCAAGAGACCGGTGATGCTCCGCAAGCCAACGAGTCATAATCCGCAAACTTCCGAGTCACCGAGTCCGAAAACTCTACCGCAATGAATCTACCAACGTGCGGCGGAGGACGAGGGAAGAGGAAAGGACCTGCTTTTCCCGCCGGCGACTTCGACACGCCCTTCCCTCGCGGCAGAGCAGACCCTTTACCGCCTTTCTCCGCCATTGTCGCCGCCACAGGAGGAACTCCGCCGCAAAAGCCCGTGGGAAAGGAGCGCGCCTCGAGAGCGCCACACTCGGAGATAGCGCAAGAAAGCTACTTTCCTAGTATGGAAAACAAGGGCCGGGCTAGGCCGATCCGGGCCTAGCCCGTACGCGAGCCCCGCCCATACTTTCATAACACTCCGAGATGCACGACAGTAGCGCACGCTATGCAGAGGCGCATAGGGCATGCATGCACGGCAAGCGACAGTGCAACGTGGTCATCACAGTGACCGGTGTGCTAAGGCGTGCAGGACGAGGTACACGAGGGACAGATCACACATCAGATGTGGGTGCAAGCAACATTCTGCATGCGCCATTATCTCATGTGAAGTAGGAGAACAGGGTATCACATCACCACTTACTAAAGAGGTAGGGCGACGCCTCATATGAGGCAACCACTCCTCATATGTCAAAATAAAACGAGGAAAGGTCAGGGGACTCACCCCTATGAATAGTGGACGAACTGGACCTCTGAGAGAAGGCCATCATCTTGCAAGTTATTGTATTCTCACTTGAGAAGTAGAATACCTACCTAGAGCGAGTAAGAGTCTTCCAAAGTACAAAGTAAGATTATTGAATCATTAGTGAAGGCATCCGAAGTTGACATGTGGTATTAAACATGAGGAAAGTTGACATGGAAGATGCATTGGTGTACTATTAGAATACCAACACTAAGAAATCAAACATAGGCATCAAACATCAAGACAATTCTCAGTTAAGTCATCTGTGCAATAGTAATCATGGGGAGTGCTGAGGTGGAGGCTGTAGAAATGATTATAGGTGAGAGTGAGATAAAGGTCAAGGAGGGCCCAAGTCCAAAGCAGCAATGCAAGCAAAAAGTCCTCTAGAAGACAAAAGTTTTATTTTCCATGGACCCAGATTGGGAAAAGGACTATTTAGCTTGTGCAGGTAGAGGACAATTAACTCAATGAGTTAAGCATGATTAATGGGAGCTAACACCATGTTGAATCCTCTTCAATTTTCGAAGACCACATAACAGCAATTGGAGCCCAAGAAAATGAATGAGTCATAACTAATTTATATCAAGAGGAACATCCATAGTTTTCTAACAAGAGAGCAATTCTGAAATCTTAGAGTCAATTTTGATAGATTTCATCATTGACCTACCAAGGGTGAAGGATCATGATGTGATCTTTGTTATCATAAATTATGATATGTTTCTAACAAGAGGGTGCATATAACTTTGTGATTGCATTATATGGGTAAGAGGGTGTAGACTCATTTTGACAACTCTAACAAGAGGGTTTCACAAAACCACCCTAACCACACTTTAGAATGCTTTTGAGAGACTTTGAAACCTCAAGATACAAGTTTTCTCCAAACAAAAGACATCATTTCTTTTTTGTAGGAGGTGCCCTAATAGCACCTCCCTTACAGTTATTGAATAATCCCTTCTAATGACCCTTCTCTCTTTCCTCATTTGCCTATGATACATGACAATCAGTGTTGTACCATTACATTCATCTATGGTCAACACTTTGTCCTCAAGGTAAACATTCGGAAATTGGAGATGAATTATGACTGTTGACTATTCGGATGCTTCAAAAGTTGATAGATTCTCATTAGATAAGAACCTCTAGACAATGGTGTTGTTCATATGCCTAATATGGCTTGAGGCTTAACATTCTATCAAAGCTCGTAGTTCAAAACTGACAAAAAGGGTTGATTACAACTAGTTAATTCTGAACCTTACATAGTTGAAAAACATCATATATAAGAAAAAGGAAGATAGGAGGGGAGATACATTGGTGATAGATAAGCGTTCTAATTTTCTTTAAGATCTTTTAGGGTTCAAAGTAGTGATCCTTAAAAGGTTGGATATATTAATAATGGGGTGAGCTGACTCCTAATTTTTATTTGATTGAGCATAAAAAATTATATAGTAATATTTCAATTATATTTCTAACTAAATACATGAATAAGAAGTAATTTAAGGAAAACTGATGCACACCAGATTTTATTGTGGTTTGATCAAGCTCCTTTGGCTTACATCTATTTTCAAGGAATCTACCTATGTTCCATTATTCCACCACTAAAATATATTTGATTTTTCTAGTATCATAAATCGTTTACATTATTACCTCCATAAACTTCTTATTAATCCACCCAAAATTAACCCTTGTAATCCTAGATCTCCCTATAATAGGCATGCCACATGTGTCCTAAATGACTTAAGTGATTGTGTTGATGACTTATCATTAGTGTCTCAATGAATTTACATTCAAAAATCTCAATAAAAATAAGTAATCAAACTAGAACCAATTGTTTGACGTAAAGAATTGTTTTTCAAGTAACCACAATTAACTCTTAACTTTCCATTTGATGCACCATGAGTCATTCAAGGATTAGAGAGCAGTTGGGCTGATGAAAGGAAGCACTTGAGATTCTAACTGACATACACAATTTTCTTGAAACAATTTAGTCTTGCCCTTCAATCTTCAAATTTTGAGAGGTGGTAGATAAGAAAAAATACACTTTGAAGCTGCTAGTGATGCTTTAATGTTGTCTAATTTTCTGCCACTTCAATCTTTTATAATGAGGCTAAACTACCCCTTTTTAGCTCTTTTCAAGTCTAACAATTGAGTTTAGGTGAGGTTAAATGGATCACACATAGCTTTTGAAAAATATCAAAAAAAACTATAAAATTTGTAAAAATCATCTCTTTTAATACTTTGAATTTTGATGCACAATTTTAGATTTGTATTTCTTTCTTTACAGATTTTTATTGATTATGTATGTCTTGACATATTTTCTTAAGTTTAAGTTATTTTAGTTAAATTGGTCAAACTTCTTAACAATTTGACTCGTTGGTCAATAATATTTGTTCATTGGTCTTATAAAATCAATAATAATTCAAAATATTGATAACTTTCCTTCAAATTTATTGTATTTGACTCATCATCAAGAGATTGTTCAATGCTTAATCACATGACTCTACATGTATAGTCATTTGGTACCTAAAACTAAACTATTAGGACTTTCACATAAGATAATAACATATTTATTTTTTGCAGCTTTATTGCATTTATACTCATTCATCTTTAGTGTTTCTACCCCCTAGCATGATAATATTATATTAAAATATTTCACATATCACATGAATATTTTTTATAGTAAAAATCATTAATTTTATTCCTTCTATATCACATGAAGTTACAATAATGTCATTCAATACATATTATTTAACATAAAGTTATCATTTATTAATCATCAAAATATTATTTGAGCTACTCTATAACTCAACACAAAGAAGTATAAGGATAACTTGCCACATGTTTTTAATAAACGATTGCATTATGTAGAGCCAAAGGCACAAATAGATCAGTTCGTTTTCCAAAAGTGGATAGCCCTCTTATGTTTATCAACTTTGTGCTTCATGTACAATTGAACCTTGTTGAGGTGGTGTTGAGTAATTTTATAATCTGATATTTTTTCTAAAGATATTTATCTATTGCTGCTAGTGGTGTAATTTATATAATAGTAATAATTATGAATAAAATGAAGTACCATAAAAAAAAATTGCTTATTGGAGACAATGTCTCCAAGTCTTTAGTTTCTTTGATACAAAAATAATATAGGTAATTCTCTAGACCCATATTGACTACCTTAGTCTATCCATCAATTTAGCAATGGTAAGTTGTGCTCCACCTAAGTTAAGTTCTTTGCAGCTTACATAATGACATCCAAAAAGTGCTAATAAAGATTCTGTTGTTATCCAAAAGAATTGTAGGTATACCAACTAGGCGAACGACTTCATGAGTAAATGAATTTGACACTTCTTTCTATGTAAAAGAATGTTTGAAAGGTAAAAATACTCAATTTTTCACAACTACTAATATCACATTGTAGCCCTAGATTTTGATAATCACTCCACAAAAATCTAAAAAAATGTCTTCCAATATTAGCTCTAACATAATAAGTAGTTGAAAGAAAATTTATTATGTTGGCAAATTTGATGCTCTCTAACATTTTACTTATTCTCTATTTTATGTCTAATTAGTAAACTTTCTATGTAATTCTTGCATATGTCTTGAGATAATCGATATGGCCTCTTATGAGAGTGTCATGAAAATTCTTTAATTTTTTTGTAATTACTCTAGAGTGAGATGAGATTACCAAATGGTCATTTATATAAAAGTAGTCATTCTCATATTGAGTAATGGGGTTTAACTCTCATTCTTTGTAGGAGAGAGTGTCAAAATAGACCCAATTGGTAAGCATCATCCAACCTAGTAATGATTTGTGTAATGTCTACAAAAGAAGTTTGCAAAGTAGTTATGTTGCTCAGTTCCATAATGATAGACACATGAGACACAGAATTAACCACTTAGTTGTGTGCACCTTCTTTACACTTGATTTCAAAATCATAATCCATAAATTTGTTCGACAACTTTTGGTCATGAGAGGTATATTGTGCTGCTCCAACAAAGATTTGATACCACTTTGCTCAAGATATATAGTAAAGCACATGTCCAAAAAGGTAATGATGTCATTTTAAATGACTAATATAATGGTTCTAAGTTTTCGCTAATAAATTATTTCATATAAATTCTTTTCAAAGAGATCTAGACTGACATACTACCCTGCATTAAAATAACTCTCACTTTGCAACCAAAGCATCAATTTCTGACAAAAGGACTTGGTGTCATTGGTTAGGGTGAGAATTAAGGTGACTGTCATTGCAACCATTACTAGGTTGAGTTGTTGTGTCAAAGGCCACATTGTCCTTTCATAACCTACACAAAATTAATGGTAACCATTAAATCATTGTCATAAATTTAACTCACATAAGTTAGTTGGCTTCACTTAGTCCTTTATCATTGTAATCTTGTCAATGTCAATTATCACTTTTTGTTGAAATCTAATGCTCCAAATATTCCAAGCATTTTTAACCAAATTTTTAATTAGTTTTAGCATACAATTGATTTTTGAAAAATATTGAAAATACCTAATATTGTATTGTTCATACTCTTCTACATTGTTGTTGAAAATGATTATCTCATAAAAAAATCAAGACAATCGTTTGGTTGAGATCATAGAATATCTAATTCATCAATATTTAAAAAGTAGTCAAAAAGTTGGTCAGCCCATAGAACACTAGGAATTCATAGTGGCCCTCATTGGTACAAAAAGGCATCAAAATGTCCTGACCTAAAATTTAAACTAGAGAATATGGTTTTGCCTCAAGAAATTCCTCCATTACTAATATCAAAAATCTCTTGGGAATAGTAACCTTGTTCAACCTTGTGTAATTAACACAAAGTCATTATCTCTCATCTTTTTTCTGACTAAAAGTGCAAGACATGCAAAAGGACTATATGAAGGTTAAAAATTTATCTGAAAATTATTTCTTGTACTTCAAAAATTTATTTCATTTTTTGAAAATGCAGATAATATAAGAGCACAAACTAACTAATTGAGTGCCTAGAATGAGTTAGACAACATGATCCACCTTTCTATCAAGAGGTAGCCTTTGTATTGACTCAAAGACCTCTAGAAATCTATCCATAATTCATTGAACCATCATGGGGAAAACCTTTGCTTCTCTATTGTCTATTTGAGTAGCTTTTATATTTTGTGTTAATACTTTGAATGAAATATCTAATGCACATAAATTAGGATCCCGTTGTAGGGTTTTCACATTGCCATCAATTGAAACATGTATGGATATGAGTCCTCAATGGGCTCGTATGAGTTGAAAGGATCTCAACATTGTATACTTCAAATTATATCCCTACTACTAAATTCTAGTGGTAGATGATTTTGGACAACCTTATATTTACATTTGTACTCCCTTACAAATAGCTGTCTTTTATTGTGCCGCATTACCCATGAACACTTTGTAGTTGACCGTATATAATAGCATTAATTTTTGTTCTTTCACAAGTGTTTGCATATGAAATTGTGAGTTGCCCCACATTGCCAATCAAATTTATGATGACCCTTTCATGCATAATTCCTTTTAACTTCATGGTGTCAAATTCAGTCAAGTCAACTAATGAGTTTAATGACACTTCAATTGATTATAATTCTTCATCATCCCTACCTTTAATTTTCCATGAGTTGTCCATTGCATGATCTTCACAACAATGATACTCTTCATGTACCAAGAGAATTGGAAGTTGTCATTTGCATTTATCACTCAACCTATGCTCGCCATTGTAGTAGAAATAGAGACCCTTCTCACTGTAGACGTCTATCTCAACTTCCATCAAATTGAGTCTCCATTTTTTTCCTCCACACCATCCCCCCACTATAGCCTCTAGATTCTTATCATCCCAAAGGTTGTGATCATTAGCAAGAGCTATTTCTGTCCTAATATATTCTGCATTTTTTGCACGAGGTACATATTGACTATTAGCTCTTCCTTTACTCCAGTTTGTATTTGAGGTAAGTCAATGCAACCACCTAGAGGTGCTAAAGTCATTCTTTGACAGATTCATTTACGCATGCTGAGTTCATATCGAATTTCTAGCTCTAGACCTTTGATGTAATTATTTTTCATGATTTCATTAGGATCACCTTCAAAAAAGTTGAGATTACTTCAAAAAATATACATATATTTTGTCACCTTCCCTTATTGTTTAAGTTTAATAACTATTGAGACACTTGAAATATTGCAATAATTGCCGCTTGAAGTACCAATACCACGGCAAGCCATCTCCCTCAAAGTTTAGTACTAGATCATGCAACTTTTCCTCTTTAGGGAGCTTATTCATCTTGCAATAAAGTTTGGCACAAAAGATTTAGTTGTCTGTGTTGGCCCTCCTAAAGGTGGGAATATCACATTGGCATAACAATTTGCTCATCTCCACCTCCAAGTCATGCTCTATTAGTGTGCTGGAAATCATTATATTGTAAAGCTCTATTTTCATCACCAATTGAGAGGAATTATTGAATTGCATGTCTCCCTTGTAACTTGAAGGTGAATCATCATTTTTTTTTATGGATGCACTCAATTCCTCCACCTTGTCCTTTCAGTGAAACAAGCGATCTAATTAATGAGAAAATTATTCACACAACTTATACAACTCTTACTTGATGTCTTATTTTTCAACCTTAACCCCTTCCATTTGATTTTACATCATGCCAATGCAGTTTCTAGTGATTTTTAATGCCATTAATTCCGAATTATCTACCATGGTACCAAAATGATACAACTCTGACAATAGAGCGCAAACAGAAATAAAAAGATAGAAAAAGAAAAGGATGAAAAGGAAAACTCAACACAACCAACAAAGTACACCCATGAGATGTTATCAAGAGGCCCCAACATATCCAAACACAAGTATGCTTCAGGTTGAATGCTCTCCCTTCTCAATCGAGCAATGTGCCCAAATAACACCTATCATACAATTATTGAATTACCCCATCCACCAACGCTCCTCTTTTCAGACCATTTTGTCTCTTACTCTACTTATGGTACGAGATGGTAAATGTTATATCAGATTGTATAGCTCAATTGAAAAGACATCAAGTCTTTTCATAACAAACGTGATGAAGCTACAAGGCTTGTTACAAGATATGCAAAACTTGCTACCTAATTCTAAATAACCAACACCTAATTGAAGTTATCTATGAGTTTCCAAGTATAGATAAATTGGCAGACCAAAAGGATCAATGGTACAATCAAAGGGTATTTGTGGCACTACATCACTACAAACAAAGATAATTTGGTCAATTTGTTAGACAATACCTAATTTTCATATAACATTCACTGAAGCAAATAGACCAAGCTAGCTCATTGTCCAATTGCACTCCAATTTGTGTAGGCACAACATGAGTGCATAGAAGAGATGCATGCAGCATTGACATGTGTGACACATCAAATGAAGAAATTTGGCAATACAAAGCAGCACCGTAAGCTGATACCTTGCTTTGATGAACCTTTCGAAATTGTGAGATGAATAAGTAGAGTGGTGAATTGCCTCAATCTATCAAGAAGACTAGCAATCCACCTAGTCTTTCAAATTTTGATACCCAAGGCTTATAAAGAGGATGTGGAGCGGAATCATCCTTGATATAATCAATTGACGAAGCATAACCACTTCATTGAATATGCTGAGGCTATACATTGGCGAAGGAGATAGCCAAAGAAAGGTAGGTAATTCCACTTAAATCGCCACATCTACTTCTTGGTGAAGTCGAAGGGAAGCCTGAAAGATGATACTTAACAAACATGAGAGCAACGTGAAGTGGAAGAGAAGCTCATCAATATCTTGAAGAAAACCCTATGAGGACAATGCCAAATTTGCAACGTGAGGCAGGATGTGACCCTCCTAATTTAGCAAATCTTAGATCCAAGAGTAGATCCAAATCATCAAATATGAGACTTGGTGGGGATCCATCAGGCATGCACAAAGGCCTCATGCATGAGACACATGATGACAATCCACAACATGGTGCTAACATGGCACATGCTGAGGTGCGCAAGGCATACACATGCAGAAGAGCTGAAGACAAATCCTACGAGAGGTTCACGAGAACTAAGAATGAAACAACATGGTTGACATAGTGACAACCATGCTGAGGTGTGTAGGACGAGGCAAACCTCTGAACGGTATTCACTTCTGAGAGAGAGAGAAAGAGAGGGTATTCACTTGAAAATTGAACCCAACTGAAAGAGATATTGGTCCAAAGAGGAACTGGCTGAACCAACCTCTGAACGGGCTTGATTTTTGAACCCCATAAATTGTCTGACCTCCTCCCCCAACTAAAGGTGAAGTGGAAATCTGACTACCCCCATTATATACCCTGGACGATCTGATCCATTGACCTAAAAACCAAGAAAAAAAGTCAAACCCAACTGGAGATATTCCAGAGCACTTTCTTACAACTTCCTCAATCTCAGGATGTACCATCAAACTTCAAAACAAGATCGTAGAGAATAATAATTTCAGTGGTTTGAATTTCACAATCATCAGCATTTTAAAGCGCTGGTTCATAAGATAATTAATTAATCACAATTTTCCTGAACCCACATCAGACGATAAGACTATCATATAGTTCACTTGAGAAGGCATCAAATATCTGATTTACAAGTGCATCAAGCTTGATATGACGGTTCAAGAGGCATAATAATTATTAGAAAACCATGGTTCTGAGGGCAACATTTACATGGGAAAAATAAATAAATGCTCAAGAAGAGGAGAGCGTGCTAGAGCTCTAACCTCTTGGAGGCCCGAGATCATAAGAACATTTGATCGGAAGGTCGAAAGTAAGCCTACATTTTTGTCGTGAACGCAACGAAGTGGTGGCCGGTGATGGGCGAGGGTCACGTGTCATCGACTTGAGAGTGGAAGACGAAGCTTGGGAAGGTCGTTGTGATGTCCCTGCCCACGTTGAAAACAGATGATGAGAATAATAAATGGGTGGTGGAAAGGTATTGGAAGGGCAATTGCCAGGGAAGTCAATTGACACCCGTGTCAGAGAAATTGGGCTGGGCCATTGTTACTCAACCAGTTAACTAGTTCAATGAAAATGAGCAACATTTCAGCATAATTTCTGTAGCAAATCGTTCGATGAAAAGAAAAAAGCAATAAAAGAACACCGAATGATTAGCATATATTACCGTCAATATCATGTAATCCTATTATCAATGCATCATTATAGGAGCACAAGGGCATCAAACTGATCTAAAATAAGAGAATTTTCTGATAAAAAATAACTCGCGGGCAATTATTTCCCCTCTAAAAGTTATTCATCAAGAGGGAGATTTCGAGATTTGGGAATTACTTGAGGTACTGAAGGGTCATGTTCTTCAATAGAGAAGGATGCCTTAAGACAAGACTCCGCCACTCCTCTTTATCGATCTTCCCATCATGCTTTGTGTCGGCCTCCTCGAATGTCTGAGTCACAGGGAGAACAAAAATCACAGCCGGAAGAAGCTGTTATCCCCATTCTCTTAAACAGAGCGTTTGAGATCCAGTGGAACACAGCACAAGTATTTGCTCAAACTATGAACCTTTCGAAGTATTCACAAGGGGCTGATCATAACAATAATAATAATAAAAATAATAACAATAATGACGATGAAGACAACAAGAAAAATCAACGCCTGATGCATAATTTAAAGAGTCATAAATGGATGAAATCTATGTGCGTGCATGTGTGCTTGGATTGTTCTCTTTTCAAAGGAAAATGGGAACTAGCGAATGTGCCATTGAATCTTGTGATCCTAAAAATAGTAGCAGCGGTTATCGATTAACTATTGTTTTTTTTTTCCTCAATGTTTTCTTTTATTTCATTGACGAGTGGGGGGTAACATAAGCTCCAGAGACAAAGAACATAAATGCATTATTCTAGCACTCTAGCCACCTGTTTTCTATTCCTAATTTCCATTGAAGTAGCCTAAATCACCTGTTTTCGATGCCTAATACTCTTTATTTTACCACACGCATGTGAACCATCAAAAGCGTGATGGAATCGTTTGATTCTGTGTCAGTAGACCACTAGCAGACGAGGTGTTAGAAAAAATAATCCGTTCGAAGCTACGAAGGTAGCATCTGCACCTTGTCAATGATGCTTTCTATGACCTCATCAGAAAGATTCATGCCAGATTCAGCGAGTGTGGCCACCACCATTTGCTTCACCTGATCACAAGAATAAAAATGTGGTGAAATTACAGAATAAGGGTAGGCAGAAATAGGCTGAGTTTCACAAGGAAGCAGGCAATACGATACTTTGTTAAGAAGAAAAGTGCATTAGAACGCCGATGAAGACATATCACCACCCAAAAGTAACTAAAAAACTGACTGTACTGGGGCACAATGTTCTATGGTTTTTAAAGGCAACTGGAGATTCAGCAAACTGAACAAGGCACCAGAGTATTAACGGCACAATGTAACCTAGAAAGAGGAAGGGGGGGGGGGAGGACAACTCCTATTACTAGCACCAAAAGTGCATTTATTGCGACCACTTTGAGGTTTCATATTTAATTCTAAGAATGGCCATTGGTCGTTCTGTGGAAGTAATACAGAATTACTTTAGTTATATTATGTAGCATGGTCACTTACTTAAGACAGTATCATTCATAAAATCAAAGATGGAACTTTGAGACACAAAATCAAAACGATTTTTTTGCATTTTATAATTCTATAATGACTGTTGTTTCCAAACCTTCTAGTAGGGGAGTAGCTTATGATCAAGGTTGACCAATTGAATATCGCAATGAAGAATGGGGAGAGGGAAAAAATGTGGCCCGACCAGGCTCATATGGATTCAGCTGTTATTTTGACTGACCTGGTATGACCTGGTCTTAGGTAAAAGGGTTTGAAGAGGATAGAAAATTGTTTAATTAAAGCAGTACACTCTGTATAAGGCTTTACGCATGTAACTCAACCTATCTCATGGAGATCAGAATTCGATCAATAGAAAAAGCAAGCCAGACCATGGAAGCCATCCTAACTCCAGAATGGTGTTCTACAAAAGAATGACAAGAACGATTTTTTTTCTGTTCTGGAGCCATTGATACTCCCCCATAAATTCCAAAGAATTAAAAAGGTTACATAACAAAAGATACAGAAGCAAGGTCAAACTGAGAAGAGAACTTCTCATTCAGTTTCGGGGCTCCTCGGCTTCATTGGTTAAATCATTATTCCAATGTAAAGCATCAACAGATTGAATATGTTCCGTATTCAATAGCAAACTTAAATTGAGCAGAATAGAGTAGTTACCTCTTGTCTCTCAATGAATCCTTGTTGCTTGAGATCGTATAGTTGAAAAGAAACTGCATATTGAGCATCATGTAAGCTTCTTTTCTTGGAAAAGCTAGATGAAGTCACCTTAACATGATTAAAGACACAAGGAAACTGAAGAGGTCATAACAGTAAACTTTTAGAATTCATAAAGCAGATTTTTTCTTTGTTTCTTCAATCCTGTTCCAGTTTCAACCAGCCACAATTCACAAGATTGATACTCTTGAAGGCTTTGACACACAAGTGACAAACACGACATAATCCCAGTGGTTTGAAGTACGAAACGACAGAAATGAGTTAATTGATTATTTAATAATTGTTTACGAATTTGATTTTAAGGTATATATTATATTAAAATTGAATCCAACACTCTCCAAAAACCTAAACAACGCCAAACGAAAAGCTACTCAAGCATAAATATTAAAATTACTTGAGAACCTCACAAAAAAAAATAGAAAAAGGATTCCCTATAATTTGCAGGAACCAATAAATAACTTGGTGTACTTTATTCTTGCTCAGGAAACCTTTTCTGAGAACTGATTGCAGATACGTACATTAATGAACCATTATTTTATATTTTATCAATTTAGCATTCACCATAAAAAGAAATCATTGCGAGGACCGATAAATGACAGTACATATAACAAAAAAAGAAAAGAAAATAAAAGACATCAGGAGAGAAGTTTGTTATAATCAAGACAAGATTACTGGATACTTACAATTAATCTTATCGTCAACTGGTGCATTAGGATGGAAAACAGATAGAGCACGTGCAAACTCTTCAAAGCCAAGTATTCCATTATGTTTGGTGTCGAACAAGTCAAATACCTGCAGAATAAGAAAAATACCAAAATTTGGTGAAGTGTCCCATGCAAAATAGATCCTCACAATACAAATCCTTGCACAGAAAAATCTATCAAAAATAATTAATACAGAAAATATGTCCGATTATCATAATCATATATTACCCAGTGCTCAAAAGATTATGTACAATGTAAAAGTGCTTCACCACATTCTACCATGATGAAGCACTAATTCTGTATCAGTATTTGCTATCATAAAGAAAACTCAATCACTAATTTATTTAAGCATCATTCAGGTTTCAATGAGAAATTTGGATCCAGGGTAACCAAGCTTAAAAAGAAGGTAACCGAGAGTCCCCCTCTATCAAGACGGATGAAGACTCAACAACTTTGAACACAAGTTGGCTACCTACTGAGCCCAAAATGTTGGCGAAAAAGAAATAAACCTAATCGGGCAGAATATAAGAATGTTGTCAACACAAAATAAATTGAGTGGATGCAAATCCACAGATAAAAATGTTACATTAAATATCCCAAAATCCAACCTTATCTATGTAAACCTTACAAATCCAATAAGATTCAGTCAAGTCGTTTTAATGCTATCCTTCATATTAACCATTAAAGTGCAGTTAAGTGATTAATCCACATATATTCCAAAATTCTACCATTGGATGGGTTGTTGCATAATCTGATTTTGAGCAGATGGCACGACCTAATTCAATGGCAATCCTACGACAGGAACATGCAAAGCACTAGTCACAATCTACTGAATCAAACTACATCCCGTTCTCATTCAATTATTTTCACTTAAATAACCAAATTCGCAAATTTGATGAGACCAACATCTGCAATTCATTGCTCAATATGATTTGCAATCACATGCTAAACTTTTGATTGACCAAGAAAAATTATATCTTGGCTTCCCAACTCTTCTGCAAATATGCAAACACCTTATTCCTTCCCATACCCCTTGCCAACGCCAATTGAAGGATGAGTATATTCTCCACAACGTTTGACAGAGTAAAAATCATTTCCGCAATATCATCACTTCAATGATAGGGCCCAATCCTCGTTTCTTTTGGATAATCGCAAGTGGTACATAATAGTTTAGGACGACTGTACAATGTATTTCCTAAAGCTCTTGAAGTCAATACCCTAAAATAAACTTAAAATCGTATATGTAAAAGAAGACTAAGTTACACAAAATCTCTGTCAACTCTTTCCCAACAGCTTTTCTAGCATATTCACTACTCTCCTCCACCAAAATTTTCCTCCCTTCAGGCCTCCTGCTTCTTCTCCACCTAACAACACCTTTTCCTCCTCCCAGACCCTTGTTCCTGCTTGTCCTCCTCCCCTTCCCACCCGGGCCTGTCCTCCACCTCTTCCATTTTCCTTCTCTCGTTCTCCTGCCTACCCAAACCCTCGCCTTCCAACCACCAGAAAACAAGAATAAGCCTGTCAAATTTCTTCCATTCTACGCCAAGGCCTGATCAAGGTTAAGAAAATTTTATCAAGAATAGTTTGGGCCTGATCATCTGGCATTATTCCACATTCCAGGCCAGATGCGGGCTTCCCCAAGCTCATCCTTGGGGTGGTCCATCAATGCCTGACTTGGAAAAAGTCTGGAAGCCGAGTTTAAATTAAGTTCAGCATGTTGGCAGGCACAATTTCTATCAGAAATAGTTCATGTCATGTACGACATATATTAACTTCTTAGGATTGATTTAATGCGTGGAATTCACTTGAGCAAGATATCCTGAATCAAGCTCATTAAGTTTTTGCTTTGTATATCTTGATGAACAAAAAGAGGGCCAAATGCATACACATGTAAAAATAATAACAGTTATCAAGAAAACAATGAAAAATTAAACATCATTACCCGCAATTTTAAACCAAGAAAACATGTTTGCGTTAGACAGACAACTAATGAAGCACACTTGTTTCCACGCCTTTGTTAGGGCATACACAACATAGTAAGGACAAATATGAGAAATATTTATCACTGAAACACCTCGTCTATAAAGTGTATACATGATTTAATTGCTTTTACATACCGAAGCAGGTGCACAGACAGACAATTCTGCGCACAGAAATGTATGTTTCCGCATCTGGGTCAACTCAATTCCTCGTATTATATAGACTTATTTCTGTCTGACACACGCATTTATCAACACTTGCACTCGGGATCATGTCCCGACGTTCACAAATACTAATTAAACATCTCGAACTTCCAAGTATAGTAGACAAAATTAAAAAGTAGCAAACATTTCCTACGTTGTAAGTGAAAAAAGGTCTCTCTCCCAATCCTACAAGAATAAACTGGATAAATCTTCAAAGATAGATTAGAATTATCAAATGCAAGGAGAAAAACCTAACGGCCATGGAAAATATCACATGACTGCTAAGAAATTGAATATAAGATTGAGAAACAGGCGTACTCTGTCAGCAAATAAGCTCTCCTTTTTATTCGTCTTGAAAAGTGCCAACTGAAACTCTTCCTGTAATGTATGGTCGGTACGACCACATGTCAAGATAATAAGTGAATGAAACCAAGTAATCGAACACTTTAAAAGTAACGAAACAGGGCGTAATTGGATGGGAAACGAGGTGCTTTGGAGGACTTCAAAATCCTCTACCCGTCGCTCTGTAGAGTAGTCCTCCTGGCATGGCATTTGAGGATATATGGTCAACAGTATACCTTGTTGATCAACCCGTCATCCACCACGGCGCTGCTGATCTTCTTAAATAGCTCGTATAACGCCTCAATCTCGCTGACGCTAACTGCAAACAGCGAAAAGCAAATCAGAAATGAGAATTGCTTGTTAGAAACAATTGAGGAAAATTAAAATGGCAAGGAATAAATGAAGAGCCAAATGTCTTCGGCCTCAGTTGCGTCGCAAAACCGCGGACATTACAAGTAAGCCTCGTATTCGAGCAACAGAGCCTCCAGATAAGGGACGTACATACGGTCTCCCTGGCTAGGATTTCCGGATCGTCGAGCCCTCCGGGAGGCCCGAACAACTCCAAATCGCAGCACCTCGTCAGAAAGGCGAGCAGTTGTCGAATCTTCTGCTGCATATTGATGATGAAGCTGATGACAATGACGCTACCCTTCCGCTGTCACCACGCCCCTCCATACCTGCAAACCCCGACGATCCCAGCAGGAAACAAATATTCAGCAAAACAACTTAAATAAGGAAAACACAAAAACCAAACAGGAACAAGAATCCACTGCTCACAGCTCTGCAGAGATCCCGTCCAGAGGAAAGAAATCCGAACCTCTTGATCATTTGCGGCGACGACCGCCGTGACATTTGGGCCCAGCAAAAAAATAGATCGGAAAAAAAACCTATGGACGGACTCCTTGAGACACAGAGAGACAGAGAGAGAGAGAGAGAGAGAGAGAGAGAGAGAGAGAGAGAGCACTGTGGCGGCGGAATTCAATGGGGAGAAAGAGAGAGTGAGAGAGATTGGGAACGACGTATAACAAACCAAACTCCGAGAGGGAATGGGCGTTGGGAAGGATGACTATATTCACCCCCTCCTTCGGAGTGTCACGCCTTACAGGACTCCACCGTCGTCCTCATCGAGACAGGATCTCGTAGAGAGAAAAAGAATCATTTAGGGGTACGTATCAAGGAAACGGGGGTAGTTTTATCGACATCAGAAACGCGACAAAAGAATTTCCATTAAATTATTTAGAAATAAAAAAAATGAAGCTATTTCCCAGAACCTTCCAGAATCCCCATCTAATCATCTCAGAAATAGATCCCGAACCGTCGATTCCGGATGGGCCGGCCCCGAGGAATCGGGCCCATTCAGAAGGGGACCGTCCCTCCAGGGCATAACTATAATTATGAAGGGGACCGTCCCTTCAGAAGGGGTTTCCAAATAAATTTAAATAATAACTATTCATTAAAATTATTGCCAGGAATCACTTATAATCAAATAGTAATACAAAAATTATCAAATCCTCTCTCTCTCTCTCTCCCCTCTCTATCGGCGTCGGACCGCGTTAGTTAAAAGATGGCGCAGTTCAATGGACAGGCCAAGCTTCCTGAAATAAAACCCCGCTCTCTCTCTCTTCTTCCTCTCCTCAGTGATGGCAGTTAACCAGAGGTCGCCGGGAATCGTCGGAGAGTGAAGACCGTCGTCGAGAATCGAATGGGTTTCCGCGGGATCCCTCCGGCGAGGCGTAGCCACTTGAAGCAGCTCCACGCAATTCTTGCGTCATCGCCGGCGTCCTCTTCTTCTTCCTTGCTCGCTGCTTTCTCTGCTTCGAGCTCGGCTGGCAATGGCCCGCGGCTGACCCGAGGCATCGCCTCCACGAGCTGCCGTCTCGATGGTGGCGGATGGTTTGACAAGGTCAAAGGAGTCTTCACCGGGAAGAAGGATGCCGACTCCCCCAAGCAGTCATTCTCTCTCATCGGCAAGTGCAAATTGTTCTTCTATTTATCTGTCTATGTTGCCCCCCCCCCCCCCCGGTTTCTTCCCCTTTATTAGCGATCCATCTGTGTTTTTTTTTTCTAACAGTCTTGTGCTGCTTCGGTGGAAGCAGATTTCGCGAATCAGATGGACACGGCACGGAAACTCGGTTCACTCAAACAGTATGTTGTAGGTAGATGTAGCGAGACTACCATCTCGGTCGAGTTTGAGAAGCAGTCGGCAATACTCCGATACCTCGGTACTATCGACCCCACTGGGGAGGTGAGAAAGCCTTCACTCATCGTAGTGTCCGATTTTTTGTGTTAACTACTCAATCATCCTGATCTTTATGAGTTTTAGGCTTTTCTTCTTGACATCATATTTGGAAGTGTTATTTTCCAAGAAAATGCATTCAAAACTTCCAAATACTTGAAAACAGTTCTTTACGGTTTCTCTTTGTAAATATGATGCATCTTGGGCGCAGCGTATTAGTGTTGATGAGCTGCGGTGTGACATGTGGGGCTTTGGGGTCAACGAACCCGAAAGACGTCGCTGTGAACAACTTAGGAAGTCTAAAAACCTGATCCTAACAATTCAGACAAACACTTGGTTTCATATTTTGAGAACGTTTTACAAAGAAGCTTATCTTTCAAATGGATACTTTGAACAAATAAAGAGGATCCTTTTTTCATGCGGCTTGTATGGTTGCCAGATAATATGAAGGTGTTCATGGAGACATCCAGGGAACTACAACTGATTGGTATTTTGGTTTAGAAAGATTCTAGAAGATTATAAAGTGTGTAAGAAATGTGGAATGATAATTTTAAGCTGAACATCAAAATGGCAAATTCACTGAAAAACATTTTCCCCTTTACACAGAGGAATGTAGATGTAGATGATTAGCGTGCTATTTATGATGTGAGCAAGTGTCTGAAGCTGCTTTCTGAAGCGACCAAGGCATGAACACTTTCTGTCTAGACTTTAAATGCCGATGTTGACATTTTCTTGACCATTTCATGTGCAGAATCTTCAGAGCACCCAAAAGCAAGATGCAGCAAAACACTGTAATTGTACGGTGAAAGAGGTTGAAAACACGCTTGCAAGATATACATGGGCCAAAGATGCCCAAAAAAAGGTTGAAAAACTGAAGGAGGAAGGCAAGCCTATGCCAAGAAGCTTTACAGAGGTGATTCTTTATGTAATTAATTTAAATATCTGTAATGTTTATGGTCATGAATTGTTAGTAACGTTGTAAAAGTTAGAAAACCTCTTGGCTTTTTCTTTTATTTAGGTGAACAGATCATCCGTTGTACATCAAATCATATCCTTGGCTACTGTAATTCTTCAATAGAATTTAAGATGGAACTGAAATAGAAACAGTAGGAGCTCATAGTGTATTAGGATTCAGCTCAACGTGCATGCTCTGTCATTCCGAACCTGATCTCTAGATCTATTCCGGGGCATCCCCATCGTATTTCTTTCCTTCTCTGGCTATTTCTTCTCCACTATTAGAACTTGCTTACAGATTGATTAAGATGCAGGGGGGAGTCCCTTGTCACACTGGTTGATTTAAATCATTTTCTTGTGGTGATTACATAGTTCATGCATCATTTTCACTCTTTTGTATTCTGCCGATGGTTGTGGGAACTTACTGTAGAAGGTATTTCTTCGAAACTGTTGATTTCGGTTCTTCTTGAACAAAAATTCTACGCTAGATCGGATAAATCTAGAAGAAAAATTCAGCAACCTGCGCTGATCCCAAATCAGATGGTGTTTTGCCATGTGTCGTGCTTTCATCAAGCATTCTGATATTGAGTGTCGTTCTTTTTTCCATTAGCTGCAAAAACTGATGGGCTCAACACCGCTGGATCTTGCCCGGGCTAACCTAGAAAAGGGTGGGCAGCTCGGCAGGAACTCACCCTGCCCATGTGGCTCCAACAAGAAATACAAAAGGTATGATGCTCTTCCTTGAAGCATAAATAGTCTGCAATCTTTTTCTTACCATTCCCGGAAAGAAAATTCATCTTCTTTCCTAAAATGCAAACACCATTTATTTATTTATTTCCCTTTTTCGGGTGATTGGAATGGTTAGAGAGGATATCGCCGATGATCTCATCCATTGCTTGATAAAATGTGGGGATCAGCCGATTCATGGGCATCTGATGGAGCAATGGAAGGAAACACCACCCATACGTTAATGATGCATGAATGAGTTTGGAAAGCCATCAAATCACTGCAATATAAATATATATATATATATAATTTTTATCATGATGAGAAATTACAAGAAAAAAAATGGGTAGAACATTAAAAACATATTTTCGTTTGGGTTAATTTCAATTATGCGCTGACTTCTTGTGATTGATCTTGAAGGTGCTGTGGGAAGGGGAAATTCGCCGCCTGATTGACCAGAATCCCCACCACCTGCCCACCCGCCCGCCTGCCCGCCTGCTGTGGGGCACCGGCTGATGATCGTCTACCATTTCCAACATCCCTTGTTTGGACAACTGGGACCAGTTGACTCAAGAGGACTCCCACTGGCGCAAAACTGAGTTGACTTTTTTTCCCTCACTGATGACACCGGATAGGAGCACTGAGATTTAGAACCATCGTGGAAGGTTTGGATTGTTTATTAACTCTCATTGGAGGTGTTTCCTTAATCAGCTCATTGAAGTCAATTCCAGCGGAAACTGAGTTGACTTTTTTTATCTCACTGATGCCACTGAATCGGAGCGCTGAGATGTCCAAACCCATCGTTGAAGGTTTGAATTACTTATTAGCTCTCATCGGAGTTGTTTTCTAAACCAGCTCATTGAAGTCAAGAAGACTTTTGCAGCTCAAACTAAGTTGACTTTTTTTTCTCTCGCTGATGCCACCGAATCGGAGCACTGAGATGCCCACCATCGTGGAAGGTTTGGATTACTTATTAGCTCTCACTGGAGGTGTTTCCTTAATCAGCTCATTGAAGTCAAGAAGAATTTTCCGGCGGAAGCTAAGTTGACTTTTTATTTCCTCATTGATGCCACCGAATCGGGGCACTGAGATTTAGAATCATCATTTAAGGTTTGGATTATTTATTAGCTCTCATTGGAGGTGTTTCCTTAATCAGCTCATTTGGGGCACTGAGATTTAGAATCATCATTTAAGGTTTGGATTATTTATTAGCTCTCATTGGAGGTGTTTCTTAATCAACTCATTGAAGCCAATAAGACTTTTCTGGCACAAAACATAGTTGACTTTTTTTCGCTCACTGATGCCACCGGATCAGAGAGCTGAGATGTCAAAACCCATCGTTGAAGGTTCGGACTACTTATCAGCTCTCATTGGAGGTATTTCCTTAATCAGCTCACTGAAGGCAAGAAGATTTTTCCGGCGCAAAACTAAGTTTGACTTTTTTTCTCTCACTGATTCCACCGAATCGGAGCACTGAGATTTCCAACCATCGTGGAAGGTTTGGAGTACTTATCTCACTGGAGGTGTTTCCTAACTTTGCTCATTGAAGTCGAGGAGACTCTTCCACCGGTGGAAACTAAGTTGACTTTTTTTTCCCTCACTGACGCCACCGAATCGGAGCGCTGAGACGTCCAACCATCCTGGAAGGTTTGGATTGTTTTATTAGCTCCCGTTGACTCATTGATGGTCAGAAGACTGCAATTTCCTCATTGATGGTATCATACATTCAGTCGGGCCGTGCGGGGGTCTACACCGAGCTCCTCCCGATAAGAAGGGTAATCCTTAAAGAATAAGAGAGAGAGAAAGAGAGGGCGGGCCTATCTACAGAGGAAAAATTGGGGGGAGGGGGGATAGGAGATCAAGGGGAAGGGCGGACCCAGGTCGTCTCCGCTGTGAGCGTGTTGCCGTAGTAGACCTCCTTGGAGGACTCGTCCCAGTAAACCTGCGAGGCCCACGAAACACGCCAGCAGTCACACACCACGAGAAAAACCAAAACAAAGCTGAAGTCTCTCTCTCTCTCGCTAACGGGAAGGAAAAGGTAGAGATAGAAAGTTGGTAAAAAGCGGAGAGAAGAGAGAGAGAGAGATAGAGAGAGAGGATCTACTTCAATCTCTCTCTAATGGCAAGGAAAAGGGAGAAAAAGCTGCTGAGAAAACTAGAAATTTTAGTCTACCCAGGTGATGATCTAGTCCAATCTCTCTCTCTCTCTCTCTTTCTCTCTCTAAATCAATCAGAAAGAAGAGGTATATATATACACATATTCACTGCATAGGTAGAACGCAGAAGAGGTGGAGATATACCTGCCACCCAGAGGGGAGGCCCTTGGATAGTTGGGCGAGGTCAGGCTGCTTCTTCTCGTTCGCCGACGCTGCCACCGCCGCCGCCTGGACAGATGACCGAGCTTTTCCTTCCTCTCTCTTGCGCTTCACTCGCTCCCGCCTGCCACCAACCCACTCGGAAGAATATTCCACCATCACGACCCATAAGGCAAAAAAAAGGCACAACAATCTCTCTCTCTCTCTCTAAAAAGGGCACAGAGAAGGAAGACCAGAAGATTAACCCGGCTTCAGGAATTGACTTTGACCCAAAAGGCCAGAAAAACCCCACTCCACGATATATAACAATGCTTGTAAAACCAACTAACAAAATTAATTTCTAGAGAGAGATCACTCGTGTTCTCTATAAACTAGTCAACTCATCGGATATAAAAGGTAGAAACGTACCAGTCACCACCCAACGGGAGAAAATTAGCATTTTCCTGAGCTTCCCCGCTGACAATCTGCCGGGTCTTCCATTGCTGCCCACCCACCACATTCAAAAGTCAGACACCCAAAAAAAGCAAAAAACAATATATATATATATGTGCAAATATAGAAATCGAGGATCTAAGAGTGGGAAGATCGTCCACACCTCGATCTCCTTCTGACGTTTCTTCTCCAATATCTCATACGCGTTCTCCGGCTCATCCTCCTCGTCCCCGTGCAGCTCCTCTTTGGCCGCCTTCCACTGATTCAGAGGAATCCCCATTCGTCCACTCAGCAAGAAGAAGAAGAAGAAGAAGAGGAAGGAGAAGAAGACCAGGGGATGAGGATACCTTGTCCACCAGGCTAGAAACCTTCTTGTTGGACCTCAGAGTGGGTGCCACCGCCAGAGTTCGCTTTTTGGCACGGATCACTGGGTGAGAAGAGAGACAGCAGGGTCAGAAGATCAGCCAGAGAGAGAAATTCAGGGTTCGAACCAGTAACCTTCACCTTTGGGCTGGGCCTTCACATTGGCTGCTGACGCCGCTGCATCTGATGGGGTTGACCCAGTAGACTGAGAGCCAACCGAGGTCAAGGGACCCGGATCGGCCCCCTCGTCGAGGCACCTGGGCTCCTCTGCCTTGTGAGAAGCAGAAGAACTTGAAGCCGCAGCGGCAGCAGATGAAGAGAGCTCTGAAGAGGAAAGGGAACCATATCTGGCAACGTCCGACTGAACGTAGAAGCCAGAAGCCTCCGAGCAGCTAATTATAGGTGCAGGAGGCATCACTGCGGCGGGAACATCGTAGTATATGGCTGGCTGGGGTTCGGCAACATGGGCAGCATCTGCAGGGACATAATATGCCATGCCGGGGGCACCACTCACTGAAGGGGCATAGTATTCAAAGGCTGAAACAGGGTACTGCATGGTATATTGGTCTGGATATGGAAATGAAGGGTAAGTCTCTGAATATGAAGAAGGTGGGGGGCTGGGCTGTGTAGGAGGCTCTTCCGGCGGAGGAGGAGGGGGGACAGCATCATCCTCTGGCGGTGGCGGGGGAATCCAATCCTCTGGCGGTGACGGCACGCTCACTTCATGGGAAAAATAGGGCATATGCTGTGATAAAGCAACACACTGGGTACCAGCTTGCTGTTCTGAAACTGTTTGCTCCTCTTCATCGACCTCCATTTCTATATCCATGTCCACATCTTCTGCATAAGACTCCATTAATGGAGCATCAAGAGGTCTGCTGGGATTGTCTGTGGACTGAACATCATCCAGGTCACCAGCTGGAGGATGAAGGGTAGCCACTGGATTCACAGCATCTTCCTCCCCTGCCTTCGCCTGTCCGCTGTCATCTACAGAAGGATGAGGGACAAAAGCAGCACTTGCCATGGTCTCCTCTAAACCCTCAGCAACCATACCACCAGCATCTTCAGTCTTAGGTGAACCAGTCGTTTCCTTCGATGGTCCATTGGATACACAGATATCTGATTGTGGTCCACTCCCATTGCTTGAAACCATGCTTTCTTTAGTAACTAGCTCGCACTCCTTTCCACTGTCAACGGAACCCTCTGGCTTCAAGAACTCTTCTTTACTAAAGCCAGAGTTTTTATGGACAAGAGATTCTTCTTGGTCAATAGCATATTCGATTCGATTGAGTTGTGTCTTGGTGTGCCACCAAAATGGAAGCAAGGCAGATCCAAATGATGAGAGGGCTTTGCAGTCAGAAAGTCTGGTATCAACCTCCGAGATACACTTGAATCTCCAACTGTGTCTTTCATGATTTTCATCAGACCTAGAACACATCAATTGCACGTGATTAAAAAAAAATAATTCTACTGATGATTCAACTCAAAGAAATAACGGCGAATAAATAGCGACTGACTAAAAAAAAAGGTACAAACATATACGGCATCTGTTCCTAGTACCATTCTAATGTCTTCAATCTCTCGAGCAAGATTTCACCATGCTTCACAAGATGGGCTGGGTGAACTTCCTCAGCTTCAGAACTATAACTGACCTCCAGATGATGTTTATCCATGGATTCATTACTAGCCACAAATTGAAGGTTACTGGTTGAGTCGGTCAATTGATCAGAAAGGGCACTTGTTTGGGACAAAGATGCAAAGGAATGCAGCATCAATGCATCTGGATATGACACACCAACAATTCCAGCAGAATTATAGTCCTCTGCTGATTGACTGGCATCATGAGTCGTATTAACACCAATGCCGTTGCCTTTCTCAACAACAAAGCCATTAGTACTACCTGTAAAAATGAACAGAAAGTGAGTATCACGCTCTCATTATGAACATTTGTGAAGTTCACAGGTAGTGTTAAAGTGCATTCATGAGGTAGGAAAGAGCACCTAGTATCCTCTTTAGTCATTGGAAAATTAAGCTTACCGATAGTTGCTGCTTTGTGAGACAAGACATCAGGCACCTCCCAGGATGTTTCACCAGTTAAGATATTCCAATAATAATATCTATTGGTTTGTTCATCCACTACAACCTTCCATCCATCAATAGAATCACCTGTACTTTGAATTTCAGAAACAGTAGACCCACATGCATCAGCTGTCGAATCAGCATTTAGCACATCCGGAGGATGTATGTCATTCTCTCCGACATCGTTTCCACTGATATTATTAGCTACATCAACTTCATCTGCGACTTTTTCTATGTCACCAGGATCCATTCCACGATCTGTACTGCATTCTGCATTTCCATTATCGTTGCCATGGCCATTTTCCTAAAATAAAGAGGAAATGAATCAAAGTGACGCAAATAAAAACCTGGAAACAAATAAAAAACGCATAGATTTACTTTGACATGGAGCACAAAGGTAAAAGGACGCAACCATATATGTAATGTAGGCATACGCAGAATATTAGTACCATGAATTTGATCTCTTTGTTATCTGTAGCTGTTGGAAATGGAGAAAAAAAAACCTAATCACGGAGGACAGAGGGGAGATCGGCGGAAACAACCTAAAGATTTATTCACCTCTAACCCCCATGAGGAACCTTACACGATTTTGCAAAACACCCTCAATATTTTACATAATTTTCTTACAACCTAGAATTTCCAACACCCTCCCTCAAAATGAACTTTGGAAAAGTTCATCTTGACTAAGTTGCTGATGACGAAAATTTTGCCCTCTGAGCATTCACTTGTTAGTGATGACGAAGATCCGTTGTGACAGCAACTCTCCCTGTGATGGTAGTCAAAGATGACCACTGCTGAGGTTGTGGATTCGTTGATACCTTTGGCTCCTCTCGTAGTCACGAGATAGTTGACAAAGTGGCACCAAGTATGATGAGAGTATCCCTCTGCTCGGAGATCTGCATAATGTCAAGATCTCAGCTATGACGATTGATGTGATGATGGGGCTCAGCTATCAGGAGAGGTGCAGGCCAGCACCCCTCCCACTGGTTGAGTAATGAACTCGCGGAGGAACTGGAAGGTGAAGGCCATTTCTATGAAGGTAGAGGTGAGCAGACACCACCAGACAATATGGACTGTAGCAACGTGGACTGTGGAGAACTTTGGTCGCCAGACTAGGGAAGACATAGAACTGATACAGAACAGAGGGAGACGGACTGAGGAGGACGGAATACGACACTGAACTGAGACAAGCGTGGATGAGAGAAGCTGATTTTACTGCTCTCAAGAATGCCGATGAAGTTGGAAACAATGGTAATGAACCTAGATACTTCAACCTCTAGACAGAAGGCTTGATGTAGACAGAAATGACACCAATAAACTTGAAGATGTCGTTGATGAACCTGCTGCTGATGAACTCAGATATACTGTCAAATGACAGATGGAGATCACTCTCAAACAAACGAGACAGAGCAAGATCAGTGCTCTCTCGTCGTAGAACTGCCTCACTGACAGAGGACCTCACTGGAAGAGGAGGCGACGCTGGAGTGCTGGCAGAGATGACATCAACAGAGGTGGTAACTTGTGACTCCAGCAAGAAGAAAAACTGGTCGTCCCTAGACAAGAGGACTGACGGAAGTAGAACCGCTCTGAATGGCGGACTGCTCGAAATGGCAGGATATCACGCCTATAAACGGCGGAAAGATAACACGCCTCAAATCAAGAAAGAAGTGCTCCATGATGAAACCCTAGCCGGACAAAGCCAATGCTGAACAGAGGCAGCACCAGTGGGACTCCCTCAGGTAGGAGGCGCCAAACATAGGCGGCAGCAGTGGTGCTCCCTCAGGTAGGAAATGTCAAACAAGAGCTGATGAAACCCTAGCGGAACGAACCCGCTCTGATATCATGTTGGCAATAGAGAAAAAAAACCTAACGGCAGAAACTCCTCAACATTCATTCACCTCTAACCCTATTATATAGGAAGGAACCTTACACAATTTTGCAAAACACCCTCAGTCTTTTACATAATTTTCCTACGACCTAGAATTTCCAACAGTAGCTAAGCATAGTTCATGCATTAACATTCAATGATATATGACACATGGGACTGTCGTCCATAGAAGTGAAAAGCCTGAAATTTCATGATATTTTATAGCATCGATGGGAATTTTAATAATGGTAAAGCATGCTGCAAAATGGACAAGGATGTGAATAAGAATATGTGTCTCATCAATTCCACCAGAGTGGTTTTCAAAACCAAAATTCTGTAATGATATCATACTATACCGAATTGACCTAGAAAACTTGGATTCAGGCATGCTAAATAAATTTCAAAGATGTAGAGAGAGAATCAATTTAACCAGAAATTTCACAATGAAAATAATTTTCAGTCTGCAATTGTCCAAGGAAAAGTATTCACTGATTGAAGGTCTCAGAAAAACTTTTTAACAGCTTCACGAATGTGGTAGAAGTTCACTCAAAATAGATGAATGAAAAAGGTAAATAACATAAAATTAGATGCATCTATAAGATGACATGTACATTGTTTGTATACTTCACGTGGCTTCCTGACAAAAGCCTCCAAAGATTAAACTGAAACATTAAATTACCATAAATGACGATGTGCAATTAATACCTGAATAGAATCGGCATCCAAATTCTCCTCAACCTCTATCTTGGGTTCTGTAGTCACATCGTCATTCGCCTCGTCATCACTATATTGCCCAAGCAAAAGTAACGGGTTTTCCTGTTTCTGACCTGAGAAACAAAAAATATCCGTCAGATAACCTAAAAAGTACAAGCAATCTGGAACGGTCAGAAATTCTAACCAAACACAAAAAATCAGAGACATTTAAGACGTTTTTTGTCACATGAAAATTGTAAAACTACAAGGCCTTACTACACACACATATTGGTAAACAACCACTGTGTGCAGAAGTAAATGTTAGGAGATACAAACCAAATAAAGCTAGTGATGTACGAACCGAGAAGGCAACACCTTTGTGCCGATGCCACCAAAATGCTTAGATGCTGCCAGAAAGATCAAAACATATTGGGAGTCATTCATTTTCACTGTGGCCCAATCTGATCCAAGTTTGAACGTTCTGGAGACCACAGCTGCCATACAACAGGTCCTGTACAATAACTCCAAATTCCGACCAAAAACAGCTGTGTATGCAATCTTCTCTATATATTCCTTTGAACAAAAATCGACGGAACCCACCTGAAGTAGATGGTGAACTGGGGACTCCAGCATGGTGATCTTGATCTGGATCCCCTGTAACTTCCTCATTTGAAGGCTTGCTGACCATCTCTTCTGGAAATGAGGCGAACAGTTCCGATGTTAAGGTATGTTTTTACAAACTAATGTCAAAGTTAATCAACTTCCAAACAATGAAAAGAAAAATCACGCCTAGCAACAAAATTTAAAAAAAAACTAAAGACGACAAGAAAAATGCAATGAAAACAGTCATGAATCGAACCATCTCTATGGCAGAATGGAAAAACTAAAATCTCCTATGAAATGGTTTATAGCTCAGAAATCGATTGGTCAGAGCGCGTTATAGCCTTTTAATGGAAGAAACCCACGGCCATAACAAAAAGGGGAAATATTTGTGATGATTTAGAGGATCTTGCGAAATTGACAGCCCTGGGGCTTTCAAACTACAATAGGCAACGACATTTTCCCTGAGTCAATATGATCCAATATTATGTACCCCTCCCGGAATAACACTCATCCATATACTAATCTTCAGGTTTTTTTTTCTTTACAATCTCACACAACCGACAGAGGAATAAACCATAAAAAAACAAAAAACCCGAAAACGTCCGCAGAGGAACGTAGTCGAAATCGCTTACCAGTGGGTTCCGCAAAGAGATCCAACTTCACCCTCCGACCAGCGGCGCTCTTCGCCGCCAGGCGCCTCTCTTTTCTCTTCCCCATCAGTAACAGGCCACCCCTACGGATCGACCACGGACTGAAAACCTACCAAACAGCCGGCAGTCTAGGGTTTCCTCAAGCAAACACCTCCAAGCAGCATCTAGGGCCTCCCCTGAGCGCAGATCGATACGATTACCAACCTTAGCAGATTGAAACACCGATTAGCCTTCCTCCGGAGAATCCAACAGCCTGAAGCCACAGTCGCCGGGGAGGACGGATTCTTCCCCTCAACCCTAGGGAGAGCGCCAGCGCCCTTCTCTCGTCTCCAAGCGGGAAAACGAGAAAAAGTCATCAGTTCTAACCCCATGCTACGTATATATATAGTCCGACAATCTTAACGGATTCTTATCGGGTCCCAAAACTGACATTTTAAATAATAATTATTATCGGTTTAATATTTTAAAATAATAATAATTTTAAGCTGAATCGATATGCTTAATTCAGATACGAAATTAGTGGGTCTCATAGATTTCTCACAACAGGACCTTCTAGACCGCCACCACGTCAGCTCAATTTATGGGAATAATATATTTTAATAAAAACCCAAAAATAAAATAATATTTCTCAGAAAATATATATTTCCATTTTAGTCAATATTCGACTGAATAAGAGAGTTCAACCGGACACTCAGATCTGGACCTTACCGGCCCGGGCCGAAAAACCCTGCTATTGGGCCTAAACTAATTCTCGTTCGTTAGAGCGAGAGAGAGAGAGAGAGAGAGAGTAATGAACGGTCTTGATGATGACACGTAATAATGGGCCGATTTGAACCGGATTAGGAGGTTTCCAAGCCACGATGGGAGGGAGAGTATGATTTATTGTCTACGGTATTAAAAATATATGACCCACGTGGGTGACGTTAGATTCCGTACTGTTATTCCACGTGGCGTCACGTGTGATGATTGCCAGCAGGTACGTGGTTTTTTTCTATATGTTTGTGTTAATTTTGTGGAAAAAAATTAAATAGCAAAGCTAGCCTAATCCACCAGGTCATCAAAGATAAATATTTATACTATTTAAAGAGAAATAATTAAATAAAAGTGATTTTTTAAAACCTTATTGAAGATGCATAAAATAATAGCGCAATTTTTTTTGCAAGTTATGCATATTAGTATTTATTTATTTTATTTATTCGAAAAAAATGTACGCCAAAAACTAGTTGGAAAAACGAACGATATGTTAATATATATAATTTTATCCGCCGCATTTATTTCTAGAAATTTCGATTTAGCCTACGTGGTATCGCTGGGTCGATTTAGTTGGACATTTAAATATTAAATAATGCTAAAAATGGGCGAGCGGGTGTCTGTGATGACGTACCAGATAGATAGGACACCTGTCAAGGCGCATGGCTCCCATCCGCCTGAACGACGGTGAGAGGGACGCCTCATCCTCTGAGTCCGCTGATACCACGTAAGAGAGAGAGAGGAAAAGAGAGACAGAATTCTCCTACGTCCGTGATAGAGAAAGAGCGAGAGAGGACTTCGTACTCAAGAGGTTTGACTGGAAAGATGCGAGAGAGAGAGAGAGAAGCTAGCCTGTCTGGATGAGAGAGAGAGACAGGCGGCATTTATTATTCACATACTATGTCAGACACGACGGAGAGACGGCGGCGCGACCGTCTGTTGGGCGCCCCCATGAGGCGGCGAAAGGGTGAGCCGCCGCCTTCGTTAGAGTGCAGCACACGCGCCCACTAACAAGAGCTTCGATGTTTACGCCAGCTGGTGGGCCACGTCACATAGTGATTAAGAAAAATATTAGCTAATTGTCTCACCCAGGACAGGTGGCAAATCTTTTCATACTATTACCTGTCCTAATACGAGCTAATTAGAAAAATAAGGATATATTGGGGATGGAAAAGGATAACCGGACCGATAGACGTCCTACGCGTCAAGGATGGTCAGAATTGACATGCCGGTAAGAGATATGAGAGAGAGAGAGTGAAGAGAACCGGGACAAAGGAGGATGCGGCGGCCTATATGAGGGAGAATTCCTCTTCCCAATCCTCAGCTGCAGTACAAATCTTCAGCAGAGCTCCTGCCCTTTGCGTTCTCGCCGGGCGATCCGTCCTCCCGATGGAGGATTAGAAAGGAGAGTAGCCTGTCGCCGCCTTCGCCGCTGTCGCTGTTGCTGATACAACTGTTCCTGTTCTGGTGATGCCGTCGGCGCAAGGGAACAGACCGTGCGAACCGTAATCTGAGTAATTATCTTTTTCCTCTCGCTTGCTCTTTGTTCAAATTTGAACGTGCTTGCGCGGATTCATGTCGAGGGGATCTTGGTCAATCGGTGTGTCCTCTCTGCGATGGGATTCTGTCGCGATGTTTCTCGCGGTTTAAGCGGCGGTTGTGATTTGTTTTGTTTTGTTGCCTTTGTCCACTGGAATTCGGTGCGGCGGGAAGAATATCTGCTCGAAATCACCATTTCAGTTTGAATTTGCATCTCTTGTCCGTCATCTTAAGGAGATCATTCGTGCCTGTTCCTTTCTTGGAGGCCATTCTGCTTTTGCAGAGCCTGATGTCTTATGAAACGGATGTGATCTGATACTCTTCCCTGTTTCTCCATTCCGTAATGCTTCTCTGATCATGTCGCGGATTATACTCCCTTCTTATCTGCTTGAAATCTCCGTTTCACTTTGGATTCGCGTCTCTTGTCCGTCATCATAGCGAGATCATTCATGCCGGCTCCTCCCTCGGAAGCCATTATGCTCAGTATGAGATCTTATGAAATAAACTTAATCTGATGCTCTTCTCTGTTTCTCCATTCCTTTATGCTTCTCTGATCAGGTCGAGGATAATACTCCCTTCTTATCTGCTTGAAATCTTTCACTCTGAATTGGCGTCTCTTGTCTATCATCTTGGCGAGATCATCCATGCCTGTTCCTCCATCGGAAGCCATTCTGCTGTTGCAGAGCCTGAGATCTTATGAAATAGACGTAATCTGATGCTCTTCTCTGTTTCTCCATTCTGTGGTGTTCCTCTGATCAGGTAACAGATTATACTCCCTTCGTATCCGCGATCTGCAGCAACTTGGCAACCTCGATGGGGATCTACAGCCTGCCGTCTCCGTCTGAGGGAGTTCTAACCCTCCTCATCGTGAACACTGCCGTCTCCATCTCCGTATTCAAGGAGATCGTCCGCTTCCTCCTCGATGTCGTTGGCCTCTACCGCTCCCCCTCCGCCGAATCTGACCACAACCCGGGCGCCCTCCCCTGTCCGGCGCACGACTCCATCGCGGACCGGTTTCGAAGCCGGGTCAAGCCGGTCCGATTCGGCTCCTCTTACCGGCCCGACGATCCGAGTGGCCACCCCCAAGACTGCCGGGTCTGCCTCAGCCGGTTTGAGCTCGACTCGGTGGTGAACCGTCTGTCCTGCGGGCACCTCTTCCACCAGGGCTGCCTGGACCGGTGGCTCGATTATCATCACGCCACGTGTCCTCTCTGCCGGACACACCTGCTCCCCCTGGACGAGGACCCCCCCTTGCCGCGGTGCTAATCTCATTGACGCCGGTCGCCACATGTCCAGTTCGCCAAAGGCGACGCCGATGACATGCCCGTGGCTTCGGTATCTCCCACTCCTTTCTTCCTTCTCTGTGCGTCCGTCTATACCTGTCTGAGCTTCAGCTTTACTGTATGTTGCTCTTGGCCTTCTCCTGTAATTTCTGTCTCCAATCTTCTCTCTCCTCCTCTTTCTCTCTCTAAGACAGGCGGAGGGTTATTCTGAAACTACGAGGTTTTTGTTTTGGATCCCTGGGTTGTTGATAATCCTGTCTTTTTTTTAATTAGATTTCTGATCAAATAATTGAAACCATTGTCGAGGGTTTAAATGAAAATGCCCACAGTTTCATGTTCGTTTATCTTGTTGCTCTTTAGGATGCATTAATTCCGACAGGGAAAAATAGGGACTTTTTGATAATTCAGTTGATTTTTACGGTTAAAAGAAAAAAAAATCCCTTCGTCATGGAAGGGGGAGTGGGGTGGAATAGGTTCCTTCCCCCCGCACGATAATAAACAAAGGGCGAAGCCATGGGGGGTGAAGAGAAAAAGTCCCCCCCCCCATGAAGTCTCTATTTCCCTCTTGTCACACCCTCACGGTGGCGCTGCCGGAGACCGCCGCCTCGCCGGCGAGCTCGGCCAGCTTGTGGCTGAAGGATCCGGCGTCGGCGGCGCCGCCGCCGTACGCCGACAGACCGGAGCCGACGGAGACGCCGCTGCGGAGGAGGGACGCCCCGCCGCCCCGGTGGTGCCGGCACCGGAAGGACCCCGCGTGCGTCGTCGGCGAGCACAAGCAGTTCATCTTCTGGCTCACCTGTTTCGTCAGCACCGGCCTCCCGCTCGCCGCCGCCGCCGCCACCACCGGCGGCGCCGCCTGTTGTAGCGGCGAGAGCATCTTCTCTCCGAAGGGGAGCGGCTCCGGCACCGCGATCGTGAACTCCATCATCCCCTTCCTCCCCATCGCGCCTTCATCAACATCTCTCGCTCCATCATCCATCAGAGAAAGAAGAACGTCTTCCAGAGAGGTAACAGCTTCTTCCTTACCGGTTTTCTCTTTCGAGGTCGCCGCCGGAGAGGAAGATCGCCGGAGAAGTCGCCGGCGGCGGGCTGGGAAGGAGGTGGGAGCTGAGGAGGAGGAGGAGGAGGAGCGGGTGTCCTTTAGGTATCGTGGATCGGCCCCAAAATAGGAGATGATTCCGGAACGTTCTTCCGAGGTTGTTACATATAGGGAAGAACTCGTCGCCCGTGAGGAAACGGTTTTCCCGCCTTCTGCTCTCCACCACCGGCCGCCTCCGGCGGGGTTTCCGGAGCTCCTCCTCCGATCTCTCCGGCGGCCGCCCGGTCCATTCCGCCACCGTGAAGGCATCGGTGATTCCGCCAGAAGCGGCGGGAGAGGAGATGGATCGCCCTTGTCCAGTTCAGAGGGATTCCGCCATAAGCGCCAGGTTTCCTCTGTCTACAGAGATCGAACAGGTACGCGGTGGTTTCATGTCTCCAGACGAAGAACATTCTCCGATCTTGCGGAGTTCTAATTGTAAACGGAATCACATCTGATCATGAAGCATTCAAAAAATTTCATACATACAGACTTGAAATCTTTGTACATGATTGATGCACAGCAGTTGCATGATTTACAAACCACATCTCAAACATTTCCCCCCTTTTTCTGGATTCAGATGAGCAATAAAACATGAACAGATCTAAATCCTCAACCCTGCGCCGACGGCCCGCCCTTCTCATCACCAAGAACAAACTCCGCGTACAGATTCTTGAAGGCGATCATGACTGTCATAATCAGCGGCCCCATTATAGCTCCCTGGTTTAGAACAACAAAAAACCAAAATTGAAACTTGATTAAAAAAAATAAAAATTGACAGGTTGACTGTTCTTCAGCGGATAAAATCTGTATGAGCAGGCAATTTATGTGAGGAATTCTGCACCCAAGTCAAATTCTGATGTTCTATGAATATGCACAGATGGATTGATCGTTCTTCTGCCAATTCTTGGGAAGAACAGGCATTCTGATGTTCTTCGAGTCGAATCTATAAATATATATATACGCAGATGGATTTTTATTGTTCACCTCGAATGCAGAAGGAAAGAGGGCCATGCCCCCGAGGATGCTGAGGCCGGTGAGGTACTCGTTGTACCCGGGAATGTCCTGCTGGATGGCGGAGACTCCGTAGCCCATGAGGGTCTGATGGGCGGCGGAGACGGCGGCGGCGCTGATGTATCTCCCTTCCACCACCAACTGCGCGGCCGCCGGTAGCGTCGAGAGCCAGCCGGGGAGCACCGGTAGCAGCGGGCTTGCGACGGCAAGCACGGTGGAGACGTAGAGGAAGTGGACGGAGCAGACCCGGAAGAGCAGCCATGTCAGGCATCCCTGGAAGATGGCGATCTTCGCGGTGGCGAGGAGGACGCTGCTTATCGCCCCGTCGATGACTTCCACGCAGCGGCCTCTCATGGCGTCGGAGACCGGGATCATTCCCACCACCTGCTCGGTGGCGCCGCCGGTCTCCGCCGTGATGAGGTAGTAGAGAACCCAGACGAAGACCGTCGTCTGGGACACGAAGTTGATCACCTCGGCCGCGCCGGAGAGCACGGCGAGGGCGAGGGATAGGAGCAAGCCGGCGGCGCCGCCGAAGACGGAGCTCCCTCCGGCGGCCACCCGCTTCAACAGCTCCGCCGCGTTGAGGGCCGCCCCCTTCATCTTCCCCACAAGATCCGCCCTCGTCGCCTGCAACTCGTTGAAAACTAGGCGGAGCTCTGCGTAGATCCCCGCCCATTCTCTGTTCTTCAGCCTGGCGGCGAGGGACTGGAGCTTCGACCCCGAGGACACCAGTGCCGTCGCCGGCGCGGCGGAGCTCGCCGGGTGGTTGTGGAGGAGGAGGAGGAAGTGCTTCAGCTCGTCGGCGAGGTCCGTGAGGTTGTACTGCACTGCCAGGCCGTCCACTTGCTCGAGCACTGCGCCGTAGAGCACGGCGGTGTACCTGTCGACCCTGCCGGAGACGTCGTTCTCCTCCATCCACCGCCGGAAGCCGACCCTCTCGGCGTAGTTGCTGCTCTGGACGTGGGATTTGATGGAGACGACGGCGTCCTTGCTCTCCATGGCGATCTTGTAGGAGAAGAAGGCGCCGCCGAGGAGAACGCCGGCGAGCATCCCGGCGATGAGGGCGATGGCAACGAGGGTTTTCAGCCGGCTGAGAATCCCGCCGGTGAGGAACCCTCCGCCGACCTTCCGCCGCCGGCGGCTGGGGAAGCCGGCGACCGCCGCAGGTTCGGCGAAGAGGAAGATAGAGACGAAGATAGCGACGGCGCCGGAGCCGAGCTGCTCGTAGGCGAGGACGAAGACCCCGAAGGAAGCGAGCCACCGGAGGAGTCGCCGGAACCCTAACTTCTCCCCGGCGGGGGGCTGTCCTTGTCCTGGTCTGCGACGGCGGAGGAGGTGGGAGAAGGCGATGCGGAGATCGACGACGGTGGCGGCGGAGAAGCGGAACGCTGCGGCGGGGACGGCGAGGAGGGTGGCGGTGAGGCCGGAGCTGAGGGGTTCGCTCCAGAAGGAGACGAGCGCCTGCTGGATCTCCCGGAGGGGGATGGAGCAGAGCACCGCCCACTGGATGGGGCGGAGGAAGTCCTCAAGAAGCCTGTAGAGGCCATAGAAGAGCAGAAGAGAGAAGGCGAGCCCCGCGTGGGCCATGGCGATGAAGAGGGCCAGCCTCGCCGGCGGCTCCAGGTGCAATTCTCCGGCGCCGGCGCTGTAGTTAGCCGGCGCCGGCGGCGGTTGAGGTGGTTTCGGGTCCTCCGCCGGTGACCGGCGAGCGGAGGCGGACCGGAACATCTCCGCCCACGGGACGTTCCCCGGCTTCTTGGAGGTCGACCCTGCGGAATCGAAGGGTACGAGCTCCATCGCCGCCGCCGCCGTCTCCGGCAGCGCTTATCGACTGCAACAGTGAGAGAGAGAGAGAGAGAGAGAGAGAGAGAGAAAGGGGGGGGGAGTGGGAGATACGGCAGGTGGTGAACCCCACGGCGGCGGAGGACCAGACGCGGTTACACGGCTTATGTGTGAGACGCTAATGCAGGGTTGAGTATATTATCCTCATCAATTTTTAATTTTGTTTGTGCCCATAATGACCCCCACTATTGAATTATGGAGATTTTGACAACGTGAGGGGTCGCCTCTCGTGGTCGCACATGGAAGAATAAATACGTAAAAGCCAGAAATAAAATAATCAATATATTATTAAAAATACATTTAATAATTATAATCATATTTTTTACGTTTAATGGTATAACATCATTGAATATTATATATTACTAAAAAAAAATATCATCCCTGATTAGAGGTGTCAACTCAACTGGGCCCCATGAATTGAAGATGGTGAAGAGAAGGGTCAACGTCCAATTAGGAGGAGAGAGAGAGAGAGAGAGTGAATGGATTTTCCAAGGGCTTTCTTGTCAGATCTTAGAAGTCTTAAACGCGTAGCAATTGAATCGTAACAATCTCTCTCTCTCTCTCTCTATGAGTCTCTCTTTCCTGATCTGTCTGTCGGTCTCTCTCTCCCTCACTAGGATAATTAGATGTGAATGGACCGACTATTGTTTAGGTTTTTTCTCTCTGAAATTGAGCTGTCCATGTCTTATGTGGTGATTGGACCGGGCCCATAACCCCCATCAGTTATTGGGCCCGCCTTGGGTGCCACTGCCTCAACCGATCCCCCACGTGGGCCCCGCCGGGACAAACATTGCCGGCCGAGGAGTGTGGTGAGAATAAGAGATCGATTACCAGCGGGGGGGGGGGAGGGGGGGAGGGGAGGACTGATATCCATTTTCTTAATTTCGATATTACTTTAATTCCCCGATTAGATACTAAGAACAGATCAGAATTAAAAAAGGCCCACCAGAGTGGGGGAGTGGGATTTATTAGGCCGGACCGTTTTATGGGCCTGGGCCCAGAAATCGGGCCCAGGCTTCATAAAAAGGGCGAGCCCACCAACTATCACAGCAGCCAGAAATCCATTTAATAATAAATCAGTCCATACGTTTGGCTCTTCGGAACTGCAGAGCCCCCATCAAACTGTGGATCACCAGCGAGTTAGAGAGAGGGAGAGAGAGAGAGAATAAGAGAATAAGAGAATAAGAGAGAGAAAGGGTGAGAGAGAGAGTTATTCGGTGGTGCCGGTGGCCATGAGGAACTCTCCTTCACAGACAAGGTCGCCGCCGACGAAGGCCTTGCCCTCCATCTTGGCGATGCCGAAGCGCTTCTGGAGCTTGACGAGGGTCATCCGCATGACGAGCGTGTCCCCGGCGATCACCGGCTTCCGGAACCTCACCTTGTCCACCCCGGCGAAGAAGAAGTTCTCCCGGGACCCGCCCACCTCCGGCTGCAGCATCACCAGCCCACCCACCTGCGCCATTGCCTGACACACCCACACACACGTGATGATCACCATCCATCCCATCACCAAACCCACACGCAATAGTTAGAGAGAGAGAGAAAAAAAAGAGTAGTAGAGAGAGAACATTCAACAAGATCTTGGATAAATGAAGCCTCATATTCTGGGTGGAAATGGATATCCAGCGAATACGAGAGAGAGAGGGAGAAGGAGAGCGAGAGAAAGAGGGAGAGAGAGTAAGAGATAGAGAGAGAAAGAGGGAGAGGGAGAGATCACCACCATCGACCAACTCACACAAGAGAGAGTTGGAGAGAGTTGGAGAGAGAGAGAGAGAGAGAGAGAGAGAGAGAGAGAGAGAGAGAGAGAGGGAGGGAGAAAGAGAGAGGAAGTTGGAGAGGGAGAAGATCACCATCCATCACCAAACTCACGCAAGAGAGAAATAGAGAGAGAGACAGTAAGAGAGAGAGAGAGCGAGTAAGAGAAGAAAGAGGGAGAGGGAGAAGATCACCACAATCCCATCAGCAAACTCACAGGAGAGAGAGAGAAAGAGAAAGAGAGAGAGAGAGCATTCAACCAGATTCCCAGGCAAAATATAGCCTCAGATTCTGCGGGGAAATGGCTTGGGCAATGATTTATTTGCTCATTCTCTGGCAAAACAAATGACTTATTTATTTGCCAAATCAAGTGCAGACGAACATGGACCATGGTAAATAAAAATGCATCAGTTCATCGACATCCAAGTAGCTTTTTATAAACTGATTCTCAGACTTTGGAAGCAACTGCTCCCGGCAAGATTACACTCACAAACATGGCGATGGAGAGAGAGAGAGAGAGAGAGAGAGAGAGAGAGAGAGAAAGAGAGGGAAGCTGATATCATGAAATATCATGGATAATCAATAAAAAGATGCCCATCACATGAAATTTTCGAACCCAAAAGGGAATCAATTTTTTCACGCCCAAATTCCAAAAGGACAAATTTCCACGGCCTTCTGAGCCAATAATGCCCAACCAAGAACAGGTGGTGATAATTCGAGTGGGAGACTCGGCCGTCAAAGTTTTCTTTGATCCAAACAGATCAACACACATGCATAATGAATCCACAAGATCCCACCAAAGTAGATTTAGCAACTAGAAAGCAAACGCCTAATCAAATATCAATGAGAAAATGTTATGCACTTCTTTCTATCATTTTGAGCTTCACAGAGGAGCTTCCCTGGAAATCTTTGTGATGGGATGATATAAATTTGAACAATTCTTTTCGAAAAAAATCTATACATCAAGTTTCTGATGGAATACCGAATGATAAAATTTGATGTGATGATAAAATATGAGAGTTTAATGCGACTGAAATAGTTCAAGTGAAGACGCTTAAGCAAATGTGAGGGAATAAATAGGGGGACCAGTGATCAGGGAGCTCTGATACATGGGCTGTAGGGTTAATGGGAACATGGGATAAGGTCTGTGAAAGCTATCAGAGATGATCTGAAAACACCAGAACCGGGAACATCTGTTAAAAGATAGAATCAATCATTTTAGCAAAGGAGATAATATGGAAGGAGATAATGAAGAAAGGTATGATATGCAGAGTTGTGAATCGTATGTGATATGTGATCAGTATTCCTGACGCCCATTAGTTTGTGACTTATAGGCTAATGGTGATAACGATATTGTTTCACGACGACATTGAAAAACGAGCCAGTTTGAACGTTGCTACATCCTTCCAGTTCTGTGACATAGTGATCATGACTGGTCCTTAGTGAGAAATTCAGTCACGAAAAGTAAAAGCCTTTAGAACACGACTGGTCCTTCATGAGCGAATCCTCCGAGAAGGACAGAGTATGACAATGGTAGTTAATTAATAATAATAATAATAATAATAATAATAATAATAAAAAGGAAATATACTTACGACATCAGTAAAAAGGGTCCTCAGTTTGTTGCAGTATCTAGAAGTTTAAAATAAAAAACTAAGCAAATCATAGAAGGGCGAGAATCATCATGCTCAGGTATTAAAAAATATCTTTTCTATTCAAATGGGAGGCAGTTTGGTATCCATATCGGAGGAATAGTTGAGAATGCAATGTGGGATGAACAAATCAGATGAAACCCTAAGGTTTGGTGTTTTTGGTTGACAAGGACAGATCAGGCTTTGTGAAGGACAGCCATATTCATGACAATCATATGATGGCATCTGAAACTATTCACAACCCAGAGAGAAGTTGCTTTGGAGAAAAACATGGATTTTGATGTGATCTAATGATAAAATCAGTTGGAACTGCATTAGAAAAACCTTGAGCACTCGGGATGTCAATCAAAGCTGAAATATCTGGCTTTTTTTTTTTTTATCCCCACCAAAAACGGTCCATGGGAAACCGGTAAGAACCAATAAACACACATTTACCAAGTGGCAAGCTCTTGAAAAGTATAGCGTAATCACTTACTTGCAGCTATTTTCTGATACAACAGGAGGGAGAAAAAAGTATAGAGAATTTTTGTGCTTCTATCTGTATTAATGTTTGAGAGTCGGGTCGAAGTCACTGTTCCTGAGCACTTGGAGCTTCTAGTCATTATAGCACTGATTTTTATCTCTCCTTCCATCAAGCATCTATGAAGGATCATGAAGTGAAAAGGCATCCATAAACAAGAAACATGGGCGTCTAATCCTCTACTCCTCAGGTTTCCATGAGAATACCAACCACGAAAGAAGATAAAACGTTGACTCTGTCGATCGAAATCAGCCTGAACAAGAGTTAGACGCTTGACTAATGTTTCTCTACTCACTGGTAATTTGAGAAGCTGGGGTTTTTCTTCCGGTTTCAAAATACTCAAGAGCACTGCAGTGAAGAAAGACAGAAAGAAAGCTCCTATCAGAGAAGACAACTCATTCCCCAAATTACCTCCACCATCAGAACACCGGGCATAATCGGCCTTTCAGGGAAATGACCGGGAAAGAAGTTGTCATTGATTGTCACGTTCTTGATACCGACAGCAGTGACTCCAGGTTTGTATTCGATCACTCTATCCACCAGAAGAAACGGGAACCTGAACTCCAAAATTTCAGGAACAGAGTAAAGAAAACCGATCAGAGCTCCAAATACAGGTAGAACAGCGAGATGTTTACCACGAAGACCGATCAGGGGAACTCACCGATGGGGCAAAATGTCGCGAATCTGGTTGATATCCATAACCGTAGGGAATGCCTCGAACCCTGCCAGATAGAACACCAGAAACAGCGATGACTCGTTCTGCTTCCCCAGAAGGAAGCGGAGAAATCAATAGTCAGAGGAGCGGGTTTTCTGTACTCTTCTCGATTGGGACGGTTTCGGCGGGCACCGCGACATCTGCCGTGCATCGAGCAACTAAGCCGTGTGGCCTCTGCGGCGGCTTTGCTAGAGGGGATCTCGACGTCGATAGTGTCAGCCGCGAAGGTTGAGGGGCTCCGTTTCCCACGCTGAGGAACGGCGCTAACGGAGGTTCTGAGCAGGACCGAGCAGAGAAGAGCGACGCGTTTGCGCATGGAGTAGAACCGGCGAGCAGAGATCTGGACATGGCCATCGCTTCCATTCTCAACGAGCCCTTCTCTGCTCCGAACTAGTGAGAGAGAGTTAGAGAGATAGATAGATAGAGAAAGAGTTAGAGAGATTGATAGATAGAGAGAGAGAGAATTAGAGAGACAGAGAGAGAGAGAGAGCTCACTGGGGTGTAAGGGGGAAGTAGTTTGGGCTGGGCGGAGGGCACGAGGTGGTGGGAGCCGCCCCGGTGTGTTTCTTGGGCGTCTCCGAGTACCTGATTTGGTACTCATGTGACGAAACTACTTTTGTCGTTATCTGTGAAACCCCCTTCTCTCTTTTCACTATCTCACCCCTGCGCACTATTCTCGTGCACATCGTCTTGCACAATGACCTTCAATCCTTGCCTGCCTCGTGTAACGGAAAACAAAGAACGTGCCTATGAACCAATAATAGATTGCCACGATACCATCCTGTACTAAGCGCTTTTTTCATTGGGTGCTTAGATACCTGATTGTTACTTACATGCAAAAAAAGGCCAGCCGGGAACGAGTTTATTACCGAGTCGACTCGGTTCATTGTCCTCCAACCGCCTCCCTTCCCGAGGTGTTCGTCTCTGTTTCCATTGAACGTCGCCCAGGAGCTCGGGATGCAGAGAGTACTTCGCGTTCCGGCAGCTTTGCTCCTCGAATCTCAGGTCATATGTCTGTGTTTTTTCTTTGCATTCAATTCAAGACAAGTGTGCCGTCCGATGGTCCGCTGGGCTTCTGTTGAACCATTTCAAGGAGGAATCTGCTGAAATTTGGGATCAGGGATAGGAATGTCTTTGATTCCTCAAAATTTTCTGATTATTCTATTCTAGTCTCTTTTAGATGAGAGGACTCTTGGACCTCTGTAGAAATCATGACGGGTTTAATGTTGAGAAGTTGCGGAAACTGAAAATCGATAATCTGCGCCAGAAAATGCCAGCCGTAGTGAGAAGAATCGCTGAGGGCAGGTCAACCTTGAAATCTTTCCATGTTCACTTGCTCCGTTGGAGCTCAGAGGCTTTCAGACTATCATCTAACTCGAATACTAGCTTTATGAGAGGCTTGAGAAACACAGGCATTATCCAAAACTAAGATTTTCGAACCCTTCCGGCAGTAACGTGTAATGTGTGACCAACTAAATATGATAAAATATCTACGTAATTATTGTTTAGTGGTACTTATGTATGTTGACTGGTGAGATGTGTACGCTTCACGAGTGCTTCTTCAATATTTCTGAATTTTATCATGACAGCAAGTTCTTGGAACTTATTTCTAGTGAATGATGGCATTTGAAGACTGAAACGTTAGCATCAACGGTTGGGTTCGTTCAAATCCCAAGTTTCCTGTTTTTCATGGCTGATTTTTTATATTCTTACATTCTGGCTTAGCCTCAGTTCTACAATGAATCTGTAATATCGTATCCATGAGCCTAAGAGACATACATAAAACATAATGATGGGGGGCATATAAATATAATGAGATAATCTAAGCGAGTACCCAATCCATCTCACAAGCCTTCCAGGATTTTGCCCAGGAGCGTTGTCCAACACTTCAAGTTGATTTCTTTCTCATGTTTCCTTTCTTATACTTCCAGTTCTGATTTTATCTAATTTTTCGGTACTCTTATGTCAGCAGAATATGCATTGATTCTGGCGATTGTTGTATCCATCATGCAATGGCTCATTTACACTCTTAAGATTTTTGGTCCAGAGGCTATCTGAATTACTTAAGGAAACAAAAAAAGGGTCCTGCCGAAGAAACTAATTCGGAATGTATATATGTGGTATGAAACTACTACCTATCCTACTGGAGACATATCAAAAAGATAAATGAAAATGGCTGAAGATGGTGGGAAGATTCTAGACCTTTCCGATACAGTTTTTGTGGAGCTACGTGTTGACTCTAATTCAGTCTCAGAGCAGGCAGATACTTCAGCCGACATTGGGCAGCTCAGAAGTCCAGACGCCCGCCATATTGTGGTAGAGGAATCCAGATATCTTTGATGTAAATCTGCGACGGATTGGAGTGGTCCAGCTTTGCATAAAGATATGATGACTCAAGGAGATGATAAGTATTCCACCAAACTTGTTGAGAAACTGGTTTCTCTGCATGAGCAGGTCTCCAAGGTAGACTTCACTCCACCTGCACTTTGAAGTTGACTTATATACTATTTTATTTGAAATTTATGCGTATCATATGCTCTTCATGATGTTTTAGGATATTGGCTTTTATTGCTGGGACAGTGTCTCCGTATTAATTCATCGTCTGCTTATACAATATATTAGTTTCTCTTATATACCATATCATAGATACCATATAATTTCACACCCGTGCAGTATTTTCTGTAAAAAAGTCAACTCTCCCATGATTAAAATCCTTAGGAATGGACTGGTGCACGCAAACCTCCCACTTCCCCACATGTTTTCGGGCTTTTGCAGATGCAAAATATAATTGAAAACCAACAAAGTCAAGAAAAGATGCTGACGGAAGGTTTGAGTGCTAAGGCCTCAGAAGCTCAGGATTTAGAAGATGAGCTGCAGATATATAAACTGATTGGAGAAATGGCTCTTGAGGACACTCAATGCACTGAGATGTACATCATGGAGCTTGGCAAGAAAATTGATGCACGAAGCAGTGGCCTTCTGGAGTTGAAGACTCAATGGTATGGACTCTACCTAACCTTTTTGTGTTTTGGAATTTGATTCAGTGTCTGCTTTGGTGCTGATCGAGGTCGATTTTTCATTCATTCGTATCCGGCCCCATCATCTTCCCCAGCCGGTAACCTTATGCATGATCGACCCACCCGCAGCTAATGCTTATACAAGTCTTGGGGGATTCCTTTGATAGAAATCTACTTTCCACTATCAACTTTGCCATAATACCCTCGGAGAAAGCACATGAATTTTAGGAGAGCGGACTCCTTGCTCCAGTATTTGCAGAACTGGTCGAGGGTCGGCCACTGATACATTACGTTGCCGCCCTTGAGGGATCTCTGGTAGCGCTCCTGGCACAACACAATGACGAGGAACAAGATCCTCTCACTTAGGGTTAGATCTTCCCGGTCAATGAAATAGACAAGCAAGCCTGCAGTATTAGAGATATTTACCTCATTTCGAAGCTCATTTTTGTGACCTCTGTCTGCTCCTGGGAGATTCCACAGGACTTGCATGTGTTAGCTAGATCGGACTTCCACAAAGGATCAATTTATTTTTCCCACTATTTTATCACATTATATTATAATCCGTGCTCCCAAACCGACACAAAGTTAGCTACTTGATGAAAAACGCTTCCCTAAACTCCACAGCATTCAAATAACTTAAGTGATGCCAATATGACCCATAAAACATAGCCCAAAGATATATTCCTCTTCTTTTGACTCTTAAATGATGCATCCTTGTAACAACTAATTTTTTACATACTTTGACATAAATGCTTAGGATATGCTGAAAACATGACATAGATACTTTCCTTATGGAACCATTATGTGTGCTCTGTCCAGGAAAGCATGTAGCGCTTGAGAGCTTAAATAGTTTGTAAAATCAAAGGAAATATCACAAGCTTCCTTTAAAAGAAATTTAACTCAAGTTAAGTTTATTGACCAGCGATTGATTCCTGCCATCGTCCATGAGAAGATTGCTTTTAGAAAGTCCTTCACTTAATACTTTACGCTGTTCTAGAGCTATTTTTGGAAAGTTCATCTACGGCAGGAGCCCGTTTTGGAAGTTAGTTGATTTCTGTTTCAATCTGTCCTAGGAAAGCATTTGCAAAGTCATTTGAAGAGAGAAGAGCGCTCATTGAGCTGGAACTCTATGGTAATAAACCAGATCAACTGGAGAAGCTTCAGCAGTTGAAGGAGATGGAACTGGAAACAGGCGTCATCCGTTCAGAACTCCACAAGAGGTGCACTCTCTGATCCCATAAAGCAACAGCTGAACAAGTATCATTTTTGCTTTGACTGGGCGATCTATCGATTTCTGGCGAACATGATGGATGATGACGTACACCAAATCCGAAATAGGGTTGGTGGGCAAGGATCTTGTCTGGGTCATAATAAATTCATCTCCCTGTTTATTTATGTCTTCCATATATATGTTAGGGCATTTATCTTCAACCAAATGTAAATATCTTAGTTCCATGCTGGGTGAGGCTAAGTCTATTCAGAGCGGGTTCTCCTTCCGTCAGTCCTCTAGTCCAGGGACGACGAGTTTTCTTCTTGCTGGAGCCACAAATCGCCGCCAGCACTCCGGCATCGTCCCCTGGCTAGGTAGTTCTACGATGACTGAGCGCCGATCGTTCACTGTCTCGTGTCCTCTAGAGTGATCTTCATCTGCCATTCGACAGTATATCCGAGTTCATCAGCAGCAGGTTTGTCAATGACATCTTCAAGTTCATGGGCATCCTTTTACCTTGCTCAGCAAATTTAAGAGATGATGCCCAATTTTAGGAAGATCCTTGAAGACCATGCATTCACATGAACACCAAAAACATACCAAAAATGGGAGAACTTTATAAGTCCATTTTATCACATGGCCATGCTCATGCATATTTACCCAAGTTTTCTTCGGTTGGGAAATTAAGAGATAATGCATCCACATGAACACCAAGACCCACCAAAAAGGGAAGAACTCTACGAAAGCTCATTTTATCAAAAAAATTCTTTTTTTTTAGGTTTAAGATAGAAAATTGGGTAATATTTATCATTTTAGTATCGTTTTAGTGATCATCAACATACAGGAAGTGGAGGCAATACGTGGAAGGGTTCATGGCTCATTAGTGGTATAGAATCTAAGGCGCTCATGTCCATGACGCAGTGCCACATTTGGTAACTTTTAAGCTGTGATGCAGACAAGAAAGCCTTCTACTTCAGCATGCCATTATCTTAGTATTTTTCCATCGAAACAATCAAATCCCTGCCCATTGTCTTAATTATTTCTAGGAACTCATTGCATCTGCTTGTCTCCTCCCTCTCCCTCTCTCTCTCTCTCTCTCTCTCTCTCTCTCCCTCTCCCAAGAGAAGAGGAGTGCTCCAGGCTTGCCACAGATCTCGAGAACCAGCCGAAGATCCCTCTGAGAAGGTCGTACCTTCAGAGGATCACTGAGATCACCAGGAACAGCCGTAAGCAGGATGCGGACATCGAGCAGATCATAAGAGACACCCGCGAGCTGCAGCTGGAGAGCAATTCCATCAACGAACGTCTCCACAGGGCTTATGCTGTGGTCAACGAAGCTGTCTCCAGGTACATCCAATGGGCATTTGATCCGAAATGGTCGTTCTTAATCTAGGACTTACTGTTTTTATATTTCTAGCGAGAGAAAGATAGAGAGAGAGAAGATGCTATATATGAGTGATTGTGGCTTGATTTTTCAGGGAGGCCAAGAGTGATCTGGCGAGGGGGGACCCAGTCAGGAGGAACGTCTACCGGCTTCTGGGTGGGATCCACAGCAGCTTCCACGAGATATCAGAGAAGATTCTTCTGACGGATAGGATCAGAAGAGAGTCCGTTGACTTGCAGGCCAAGCTGTCCGCCCTTGCCCCGCGTGCTACCAAGGTCAACAGGCTTCAATCAGATCTTGATGTGATTGTGAAGGAAAACGAGCTCCTGGAGCAGGAGATCGGGCGCGGTTGACTTCTAATTCTCCTCTCCTTGATCTGATCATGATCGTGCAATTGGCGCAGACGGCAGTTTGACTTTCGAATATTTGGTTTAAAACATGCCGTTCATGGGTTCAGATTGGGCGCGGTTGACTTGCAATTCTCCTCTCCTTGATCTGATCATGATCATAATCATGTAATTGGTGCAGATGGGATTTTGACTTTCCTATATTTGAATTAAAAGGTGCCGTTCGTGAGCTCAGATCGGGTGCGGTTGACTTGTAATTCTCCTCTCCTTGATCTGATCATGATCATAATCATGTAATTGGTGCAAATGGGAGTTTGACTTTCTTATATCTGGATTAAAAAAAGATGCCGTTTATGGGTTTGGATTGGATGCGGTTGACTTGTAATACTCCACTCCTTGATCTGATCGTGATCATGATTATACAATTGGTGCAGATGGAAGTTTGACTTCCTTACATTTGAACTAATGCGTGCCGTTCATGGGTTCAGATCGGGCACCGTTGACTTGTGATTCTTGACTTCCTCTCCGTGTTCTGATCGTGATCATGCAATATGTGTAGATGCCAGTTTGACTTTCCTATATTTGGATTAATGTGTGCCCTTCATGGACTTTATATTATCAAATGTATTTTCCTAATTTAGGAATCAATTGAAGAATGGCCCATGCTAATACAATCCTATCTATCACTGTGGAATCTTTGAAAGATCATGATGCTTCTACTGAGACTCTCTCTCTCTTTCTACTCTTTTGGGCTCTAGGGCCAGACCCTTAGGAAGCTTGGGCCCGGCCCGGTACTCCATATTATCAAAGCCCGTCCGGGCACTTATGCGGGCCTAATTGGGCTGGTTCAGGCATGTATTCACTTATAGGCCCTCTTTTAAGCCCCAAAATCCTGATAGAGTAAAGTGGCCGGGAAAAAAGCCGAATTCACGGGATTTTATTCTTCCAGGTTATTATCATTTTCTATCACTTCTCTGCGTTGCGTTGCAAATTTATATGCTTTTCGGGTTAAATAAAATTATTAATGTAACAAGGACTTATATGCAAAATTAAAATTTATTTTATTTTATTTTACTAGATTTTTTTAATATATTTCAAACTTCAGAGCCTTCTATCTTGTTTTCAGTTGGAACTCCCCCGCTTTCTCTCTCTCTCGCTCTCTCGCTCGCTCAGAGGTAAAAGCGGCGCTAACTAGCGGATTTCACGGGCTTTCTATCAGTGGGAAGGGGACGGGGGAATCTCTCACGCCGCCGCCGACGCTTCCTACTCTACGGAACAATCGCCAACGAGCTGATATGCGAGGCAGGGGGCGGTTCTTCCCATTCTGCTGCTGGGTCCTCTCCTACGCTTTTGTCATGGTCCGGCATTGGGTCTCTATGTTGATCAGGAGTTGATGCGGCCCTCCTCCCTCTCTGTCGAGCGCTTGGCGCCATGGGTTTCTTACATTCGCTGCTGGAGAACCACAAGAAGAAGTTCATCAAGCGCAAGGACAGTGATGCCGGAGCGCAAGGTATCCCGTTCTCGTCCATATCGTTCTTTTCTTTGGGCGTTCCTTTTTGTTTATTATATGCCATTTCTCTTAAAGCTGATTGGATTTGCGTTGGTCAGAATAACACCTGACGGTAATTATATTTTGCTCATCATTTTCTTCTGTAAATTGGATGGTCATCGCATTTGGAGTTTGTATGATTTTTTATGGTTCTGATTTTTCAACTTGAATTCCTGAATATTTTTCCGAGGTTTTTAGGTCCTGTTCAAATGCTGAAAACCGATTTCGTTTATTTTGTTCATGGGAATGTGATATCCATTACCATCTTCTTTGAGATCACAATCTCTTTTCGTCAGGTCATCAGAAACTTTTCCAATTTGGACATTTGATCGAAGTCTTTTCCCACTTCACGCGAGAGGTGTTTTTGTCATTACTTCCAATGAATTTATATTCGCTACTTCGATTCTCCTCTCTGGTAAATGTATTTTAAAAAAAAAAAATTAAAGTAAAAGAAACTCCATGATTCTATGTATCTTAAATGTGGTGTATCGGAAGTTTTTCCTTAATGAGCATAGATTGGGCATTCGTTGAATCAGCCATATAAGTAATGTGATACTTCAAGTATCGTTTAAAGCCAATGACAGAGAATTAGCATATAAATAAAATCGAATGAACTAAATATTTTGGTACATCATTGTAAAATTAAGGTATAATTCAAATAAAGCAAGGCTATACCAAATTTTAATCTCATGCCCATCGAACTCCAATGCATTCTAATTCACTGCTTGGAGACAATTAATAGTTTACTGGGATATAATTAAATGCTTCGATCTTCCCTCTCTGGGTATACACAGGCCGGGCGCTAGAAGAACTGCGGGCCTCTCTCTACAATGATTTCCGAACCTCAGAAGGAGCAAAATGGCAACAACAACGATTATGTGGCCCTGTTGTGGCAATGACTTTCAACTTCATGGTTGCAGTTGGCATCATCTTTGCAAACAAAATGGTCGGTTTTGTTTATTAATGGTGCTCTTTCTATTGTTAGCACAGTGGTTCTTCTTTTGGGGAGTAAAACATGGAAGTGTGCTTCAAAGTTTTACTTCTATTACAGGTTATGGGAAGGGTTGGGTTCAATTTCCCAATTGTTCTGTCATTGATTCACTACATAACTTCATGGTTCCTGCTGGCCATCTTCAAGGCGCTTTCACTTCTTCCAGCCTCTCCTGCGTCCAAATCCACACCATTCTCTTCTCTATTTTCTCTGGGTGCTGTCATGGCATTCTCCACTGGACTTGCCAACGTTAGTTTAAAGCATAACAGGTATGATTTTAAGTTTCCAATCCTCGGTGTCTATAATTTCCATTTTCCATTTATAGTCATATTTTTCCTTTTATATATCATTCAATATACTCTTCTAAATCTATTGTTAATTTGTAGTGTGGGATTCTACCAAATGGCTAAGATATCTGTGACTCCGACCATTGTTCTAGCAGAGTTTATTCTTTTTCGGAAGAAGGTTTCTACCCATAAGGTAGCTACGGCCATATTTCTTATTTTCATTACATTTTCCTTAAAAATAATTATTGTATAGAGCAATCAGGAAACCTAGAAGCCAAAAATTATGAGGATCAGTTCCTTTGTTAAAAACTAAAAGCTCAATTTTCAGCAGCTGACTTGAGAAATTTTGAATCTGTTCTTGCAGGTTCTGTCGTTGGTTGTTGTGTCAACGGGTGTGGCGATTGCTACTGTCACCCACCTGGAATTCAATTTTTTTGGTGCCTGTATAGCTGTAGCATGGATCTTACCCAGCGCTGTTAATAAAATTCTATGGTCGAATCTGCAGCAAACCGAGAATTGGACTGCCCTTGCGTGAGTAAAAGCCAATCTAAACTTCACTTTATGCATATATACCATTTGGCCAATTTAATGGTAATCTCTCTACAGATTGATGTGGAAGACGGCTCCAGTGACAGTGTTCTTCTTAGTGGCTCTGATGCCTTTGCTGGATCCACCTGGGATCTTCTCCTTCAATTGGGACATGAATAATACGTTGGCTGTTATCGTGTCAGCTCTATTCGGGTTTCTTCTTCAGCTGTCTGGGGCTTTGGCGCTTGGGTGAGTTCTCTGCTGATTCTTTGGACATATAATCTTAGAGAATATTAGTTAAACTTCCCATAGTTGAGGTAAATAATATTTTCTGAAGTATATCTTATCGGCTTGTATTTTCTCCAGAGATCAACAAGGCAGATATCATATCTAATGGTGCTGATAATCTTTCGGTGTTCCTACCATAATACAATATGTTCATAATGAAATAATTTTTCAGATATTAAATCTTATAAATTATGGGCATAATATGTTGCATGGGCCCATATCCGTCCATTGATCAAGAGAAAGTTTCAATAGGACCCATAATTTATTTTCAGATACTAATTTTTTTAAAAAAATGATGCATTATGGGTAAACCCAATAAAATAAAAAACGAAAAAAAAAGTTTTTATCTTATGCTGCAGTTTTTTTTTTAAAAAATCCGTTGGATAATGTCTTGTAATGGTTCTATTTCTGTGTTCTCTCATGGCAGTGCAACCTCTGCGACTTCCCATGTTGTTCTGGGCCAGTTCAAGACGTGTGTGATCATGCTCGGCGGATATCTGTTCTTCAATTCCGAGCCAGGGATGGTGAGCCTGTGCGGGGTTGTGGTCGCCCTCTGCGGGATGTCTCTCTACACCTCGTTGAGTCTCCAGCTCCTCAAGGAACCCACTAGCAAGCAGCTCCTGCCCAGGCAAGCCTCCCTCCCTTCCAAGCCCAGAGCGGATGCTGAGAATGGTGTTATCGATGCTGAGAGCACAGATTCAGTCTAGGGGAGATGGATAGATAGCTAAATAGGTAGATAGAGAGATATAGATAGAGATAAATAGATAGATAGATAGAGAGAGAGAGAGAGAGAGAGAGAGAGAGAGAGAGAGAGAGAGAGAGAGAGAGAGAGAGATGGCAATGACATTGGATCATCTCTGCTTAATCCTCCTTTGGCTCTAATAGAATTTTTTTTTTTTTTTAATTTTTTCCTTTGTGCGAGATTTGTATATAAAACGATGATTATGAAGGCCAATTGAACTGAATTAATTTTCTTGAAGACCTGTTGCTGATTCTTTTGTTTCCAATTTTTCTGTACTGTTTTCTTGAATTGATCATCATCTGACGCTACCGGTTGGCTTAAAGACTTGAACTCTACCCGGGTTTTTATATGAGAGACAGTGAGGGCCTCTTTGGCAGAATTTCTTTTTTAAGGAGGAACCTTTGAAGAGAGGCTTTCCCCATTTTCTAGAGAGAGAGAGATACAGAATAGGTAACCCAATGAATTGTCGCATGCATATATTTAAACACTCCCTCAAAGAAGGTTCACTGGTGATATCTAAGGAGTCTTAGAAGAGTGGGTTTTACCCATTTTCTAGAGAGAGAAAGAGAGTGAATATGTAACCCAATCAATAGACGTATTTAAATACTCACTCAAAGAAGGTTCACTCATAATATCTAAGGAGCCTTAAAAGAGTGGGTTTTCCCCATTTTCTAGAGAGAGAGAGAGAGAGAGAGAGAGAATAGGTAACCCAATCAATCGACGCATGCATATATTTAATTACTCACACTCAAAGAAGGTTCACAGATAACAACACTGAAGGGAAGAGAAGACTCACAGCAAACCCTTTCTCTCACTATACCATATTATTTTACAGGTAAGCCAGTGGAATCAATGCAACCCACTTCAAAATCTTACCCTTTTATATTCAACTGTCCCCGAAGTTACCTCAAGAATATATCTTCCTCAATCATGAGACTATTTGATGCGGGACAACGCGGTGGATTAGCTTGGTGGGCCTGATGGCTGGGCCGGCGGGTAAGGTGGGTGAGGCCCAATAAGTGTCCCCCTTAAGGGAGTCGCTGCCGAAATCCTAATTCGGGCGTTTCAGCGGCGGGGCGCCGGCGAGTGAACGGTGGCAGTGGACGCGTCATCGGTGAAGGCAGGAGGCGGCCACAGTAATGTATAGGTTGTAAAATCAAGAGCTAAAGCTTCAGATCACATGGTTGAGGCCTCAAAAAAACTTGATGATCTCTAGCAAAGACCCTCGATGAGTTCATTATTCCCTCATCATTTCAGTATTTTCTCGCTTTCGTAGCAAGGGAAATTTAAGAAATTTAGCTAGTGAGTATCTTATATTACTTACTACTAAATTTAATAATTTTTACTACTAAATTTAGTATTGGCTTGCTTTATAGCACCTCTCTGCCAGAGGAGACGGCAACCTCTTTATCTCGCTCATGCTGCTTATTTATGAAGAAGAATATAAATTATTGAGTATATTTCTGATCCTCGACTGAGGTCATTCACTTTGTAGTTGAATGAAGAAAAATGAAGCAATTTTTGACTGTTTCAATAGAATTTTGGTATATTTTCTTCAAAATAATTTATATTATAATAGTGACCCTTGCCTTGTCCAGTGCATCCAACCGACATGGTCCTCTCCAAGAGGAAGTTCCTTCTGCTGCTGGACGACCTATGGGAGAAACTAGACCTCGGCGCTATAGGCGTCCCCTTCTCCACTCTCAGGAACGGAAGCAAGAACGTCTTCACCACACGCTCACTGAAAGTGTGCATCGATATGGACGCTCAAAGGAAAGTTAAGGTGCCCTTATTGAATTCAGAGAGCTCTTGGACACTCTTCTACCAAAAGATGGGAAAAAGAGAAGACCAGTGGAATGATCTCTCTATAATGTCTCTCGCAGAAGCCGTTTGTCAAAAATGCGGAGGCCTTCCGATCACCCTCATCACCGTAGGCCGGGCCATGGCGGATGCCACCACCCATGGTGAGTGGAAAGAGGCTCTCATGGCGCTGAAGGGCATACCCGTGGAGCTCGGAGGCATGAAAGAGGTTCTAATTCTTCTCGAGTTCAGTTTCGATAGATTGAAAGATACATCCGCCAAGGAGTGCCTTCTGTACTGCGCCCTCTTCCAAGAGGATCACAACATCCTTATAAGCGAGCTCATTGATTACTGGGTGGGCGAAGGGCTCTTAGATAGGGGACGCCATCCCGACCCCATTGAGAGAGCTCGTAACCGCGGCCTCGTTGTCATCACCACTCTCAAGGCTGCCTGCCTGCTAGAAGACGGGGAGGACAAAGGAAGACACGTGAAGCTCCATGACACGGTCCGCGAGATGGCGTTGTGGATAACCAGCGGCGAAGGCGACGAGAGAGGGAATGTCTTCTTGGTGAACTCCGGGGAGAAGTTGAGGCATGTGTCGACGCTGGAAAGATGGACGGAGGCGAGAAGGATATCTCTGATGCGTAATGAGATACGCCTGCTCCCTGAGGAGCCTCGTTGCCCCAATCTGCAGACGCTGTTGCTGAACCACAACGGACATCTTCTGGAGGAAATCCCCGGTGGGTTTTTCCAGTTCATGCCGAGCCTTCGTGTTTTAGATCTGTCGTGGACGGTAATAAGGGTTCTCCCCCCGGAAATCGGGTCACTGGTAGAACTGCGGTATCTCGATCTATCATTGACTCCCCTGGAATCATTACCCATGGAGGTCAGGAATTTGACGAAGCTGAGACAACTGCGTTTGGAGTACACCTCGTTTCTTAAGAGTATCCCACGCGAGGCGGTCTCATCGCTTGAAAGGCTGCAGTCGTTGAACATTTATGGGAGTAACTATGAGTTTAGAGCAGGAGGGGAGGGCGGTGGTAGCGATGGTGTGATTGACCATGAGGGGAGACAACTCTGTCTGAAAGACTTGGAGGACGGCATGTGGAACCTGACGGAGCTCGGTATTTCTATAACATGGATGACGCATGAAGACCTGAAGGCTGTACTGAACTCTCAGAGACTGTCTGCGTCGATCAGATTTCTACAGCTTCAACAGGTTCGACTCTCGTCTGTTGATTTGGGATTCATGAAAGCCCTGAGAATACTTGAGATTTCGGATTCTACCGACTTGGAAGAGCTGGTCTTCAACACGAATCAGCTCTCGGAGCTGGAGGAACTGGAATTGGGTGAACTTCCCCGAGCAACGATCTCTTGGAAAGATGGCTACACCACAGCTGCCATCTTCAAAAACCTTCAGAAATTGTGGATTAGGAAATGTGACGCATTGGAGGACATAACCTGGATCAGACAACTGCCCTGCATTGAGATGTTAGGACTAACTGGATGTTCGAGAATAGAAGAGGTGATAGTAGTCGAAGAGGTGACGGTGGACAACGTGGATTATCAAAATGATTCTTTCTTCCCTAAATTAAAGCGGATTTGGTTGGAAGATCTTCCGAATTTGAGGAGCATATGTAGGCATCCGTTGTTGCTCCCTTCCTTGGAGGAAGTCGCAGTAATCAACTGTCCAGAGCTGAAGAAGCTGCCCTTTGGGTTCTCTACTGCCAAGAACATCCAAGAAATCTATGCTGAACAAGAATGGTGGAATGGATTAGAGTGGGAGCATGAAGACGTCCGGTCCAAGTTTACCCCTTATTTTCGACCAAGGTAGAAATGCAACATAAATGTTTATAACCTACGAACAGGATCCATTCAACATCCGCATCTGTAGTCCACCACCGCCTTTCCTCTGCTCTCTCCCGATCGTCCGATTTCACCGAAATTTACGGTTGACATTGAACTATTAGCAGGGTTGAAATATTCCAGCGGCCAACAGTTGATGGTCAACGTTCGCCTGTCCAGCTGGGGTCCTTACCTACGATAACAACATCTCAAACTTTGTATCGTCGTTATTTCTTACTGACGGATATCATTAATGAAAGGAAATTACATCCAGAATTAAATTACGGAATATGATATGATTCCAATAACAGTAAACAAGGGAACTTGTTTCCAATATTCAACGCATTCATAGTTCATTACTCCCTCTCCATTGACTTTTTCATAAATTACTTTTCATTTAAGTTAACCAAATCATTTTGACTTTTTCATTCATGCCATGAAACACTATTTATGTTTACTTAAATCCTTTTCTATCCGTAAGTTCCAAGAGATTTATCATAACTAAGGGAGCAAGAGATATGGGATCCCAGAAGAATCCCAGACAAACAAGGCAGCCATTCATGCTGATAGTTTCTACGCAGGAAGGAAGAGATCGGCAGGGGAGTTGCAAAGCAAAGATATATATCAAACCATTTTCTTGCTGGCACCTTGAAGTCTGTCGGGTGGAAACCTCACTCTTGATGAGATCAGACGGCGGTGGAGAAACAGAAGGGAGATGAGGAGGCGTACTGCGCAAAAGATGTATTCCGAGTCCAATGACCTCAACAAAAAAAGAGGAGAGAGAGAAGAGAGAAAAGAGAGAGAAGAGAGACTCTCTAGGCCAGGTAGGTGAAAAGGACCCAAAAATGGCAATGGAACTTCAGATCCAAGCATACCTCTCATAGCTAACTTAAAAGTTAAAATAGGCCGACGATGAAACCTCCACCTGCGATCTCTACCCACACCAATGCAATGCATGTATTTACACGCCCAATTCAGCCTCCCCTTCCATGGAGATCTCCAGCCGCCACCTGCAGAACTTCCGGCAGTAGAAAATGGGTGAAGCTGCTCCAATCCACTGGAGTCACCACACCTACCAAAGACTTATCCCCCATTCTCAATAGTTATTGCCCCAGTTCAGCTGTGTAGCTTGAGGTGATGGATAGATCCCATTTGAGAGCCCCATGATGTCAGCTGCTCCAGCCATGGACTGCAGCAGCGGTGGCGGCAGCGGGTGGGTGGCAGCGGCGGTGGTGGCCACAGAATGAGCCGGGTGGATGACTCCAGCAAAAGCGCCGTGCCCAGCCCGAGGGAAGCCATAGAGAGAACTGGGGACGTCCTGGCCCATAACTGGGAAGCAGACTGCCGAAGTATCATTCTGCAAGAATAAGCCGAGATTTTCAACATTATGCACAAAATAAATGATGCTTTCCGCCTCCTCAAGCTACATAACTGAAGTTACCTGCTGCCCAGGAATATAGAGATTACCATCCCCATAGTGAGGCCCGGGGAGGTCCTCATTAGTGGAGTTTCCAGTGGCGGCTGCCGGGCTTGGGATGTAACCGGCCGGAGGGTATGAGCCATAGCCATTAGGCATGCCAGAATGGGTCGCATTGCCGGTGTTTCTCTTGTCGGACATGGCGGCGGTTGTGGCTGCTGCCGCCACCGCAGGCGGGTGTAAGCTGCCGGCAAGGGGTTGGGGAAGGAAGGTGGGGCTGCTGAGGTAATGTTGGATAGGGGGGGAGATATAGAATGGAAAAAAGAAGGGGTATGGGAAATAATTTGGGGGATAATGAGATAAATGGAGGTTGGCTGGTTGTCGGAAGACAGGAACAGGCTGCTGGGTCATCGCCAGGGGGGTTGGCATTAGGCTGGAAGCTTGTTGATCGATGGGGGCCAAGCTGCCATCGGAAAGAACAGTGCTTGAACTCTGCAGCCAAAGCTTTTGAGATTAGTAGGAACGAAGGAGCATACCACATCCAGTAATATTGCAGAGATGAACTTGAAACGAAAACCATTTTTAGCAACTTTCATGAAGATTCACTTTATGAAGAATTATTGAAGCGCTGGTGGAAGTCTGTAGAGGAAGCGTAGATCCAAAATTGAATGGATAGAAATAAATCATGGACTTAGAAAATTTACCTCCTGGGCAGGCTGGGTACCATGAGGTAGGAGATTAGCATTCTCATTGTACTTGGGAGCAGCACCAAGCGCAAGATATTGAGGAAGATGACCATTGGCATCTGAAGCTGGCTGATAAAGTTGGGTATAGTAACCAGCTGAGGGATCGAACTGCTGTTGGACCTGAATCAATAAATGAAATCACGAGTTACTGTTTCTAGTAATAGATACTAAAAGCTCCATGCCCCCGGGGTAAGAGTTAGCCAGCATGCGACTGACATTTGATTCGTTGGAAAACAGTAAGTTCTTAAACTTATAAGTGATCGACTCAAATATGATTCCTAAATAAAATGGAAAAAAATAAATCAGATAATCATTCTGGAGAAGGGGAAGAAAGAAACGCACATTATATACTCAGGCGACGCTAGAGATTAATTTGTGCGGAAATCATCGATTCAGAAAATCATCAGAAAATCATCAGAAAATCAGGAAGTAGCATTAAGTTGGCCTACAACTTAGCCATGAATTTGAACATTTTCCACCAGAGTTTTCATACAAAGATGCTTTCTAGGATGTATCCATCCAGTGTTACAAAAAAAAATAGAAATCTATAGACTGAGTGGATATAAATGAAGATTGATGATCCTGTCTTGAGATAAAAGAGCAAGGAATATAGATGCATGAAAGAATAATTCGAGTTTCAGAGAAATTTCGGTGGCTTACTATGAAGCTTGTGAGGGAAGAGGAATCATGAGCCTGAACCCCAGAACTCTCAAAAGGAGCAAACTGGTTCCCAACTGTGGGTGGAATTAGCCCAAATGCTGAATAAATTGGGGGATTGTGAATAATTGAGAACTGAGCTCCTTGTGACTGTTCCACTTCTGCTTGGTTGTTTTGGTCGTACTCTGGTTCTGGAGAGATGCTGGAAGAAGCATCAGTCTCCCCAGAATAGTTTTCTGGCATCTGAGATGCTGACTGTGCATGCTCGGGGAGGTCTTCTTCTTCTTGAGCAGTTGTGTACGTATTTTGAGTGCTGCAATCATGAAGTAAAACAATAAACCAAGCAGGATACATAGTTCCATAGAACTAGAAATCATTTCTTGGTTGGAATGCAGATATTCACAGGAAAATGGTATTTCCCACCATTGGTAACATATTTTTTTAATGGAGGCAGCTTTGTGAACTAGGCTGCGCCACATTTAGACAGACACAAGGCACTGGTAAATTGAACTGTCGCCATCTGTTTCAAAAAATCCTCAGAAAAAGAGTTATCCTAATTTATATGAGTCTGTGGGACAGACTTTGAGCTCTATGCGAAATAAAAAGGTAGTCCCTCACTCCAAACAGGGTACTTGACAGGATAGCACTGGTCTATGGTCTCCCGATCGACAGCACTAGTTGTTTATTTTTTCTCAGTTTGGATGCAGCTAGTCTCAAGTTGACCTTGTGGAATACCTCCAGAACAACACATCTACAACCTGGCTAGTAGAGGCTATTCTCATGGCTGTTATATTGGCCATTTGATGGAGAGGAAGAGTGGGCTCCAAGATTCCCAAGAGGACGGCTGTGAATTCCCCGAGTTTCTCAACCGAGAAAAAGGATAAACCACTTGTTTCCACTCAATCATCATTTGTCAATAATGATTTTGTTTAATAACTGGTGAAGATGTGAGACTAGGATATCACAGGGTCCACAATTGGGATTACATCAATGAAAAAAGTGGTTTCTAGACCGAAAGAAATGTATAATATTAACATAGAAATCGGACCACAATGTCGGTCAATTAGTAGAATGGCCAATTATAGATTAAAAATGGTATATGGAAAATCTATTTAATACGTTGATGATCAATCATCCGAGGATCAAATAAAGAAAGTTCGAAAAAATGAACAGACTTGCCTTGACGAGAAGAGCACATGAAGACAATTTATGAATGTTTGCAAGCCTTTATAAAAAAGGTAAATCTAGTGAATTCCCCAAGGCAAGGACAGTTCTCTTTTACTGATCTTGCATAAATCACATTTTTTTGTATTATATCCGATGGATATAGAACTAGGAAGCCAGTGCCCGTATTGTATATTTTATCCATGAAAATTGGTTTCTGCCGTAAATAAGCATCAATTAATGTACAAATGGTATCAGCATATAAGTAGATTATTAAAATGGCAAATGTAGGACTGACAAACATTCTAGGACAAACCCATTTGCTAATATGGTTCATCCAAGAATCAAATAATCAAAACGTAAAAAGAACAAAGAATAAAATTTCCCAGAAGAAGCACATAGACAAGAGTCAATAATGCATGATTATAAGTACAAAAGGATTTTTTCAAGAGCAAAGGGATTTTAGTTGAGAAACGAAACAGAAAAAAAATGACTTTATGCGGATCAATAAAGAAAACCTTGAACTCATCATATCTTTGAAACAGAGAGTGTGATTCTGAAGAGCACAAGGGACTAATGAATATCTCTCACCTCAAAGGAGACGCCTTGATGTTCTCTTCATGAATTGGTGATGCGTTGGTCAGAAGTATAGAGTACTTTCCATTATCAGGACCATTTGCAAAACTTGTTCCTAATGAGAAACTGGCATCAAAGCTTCCAAAGCTCAGTCCACTTCTTTCAGCTTCTGGGACCTGCAGATGGTTTGGAATGATAACATGTTCACCATCTGATAAGTGTAGATCTTCCAACTTCAACTCAATCTTGGAGGCGGCTTCTTCAGGAACACCAGGTTCAGACCAAGAATTTGTTTCAAACGAACCAGGCGCATCAGCAGCCACACCAGTTGTTACAGCAACTTGACCAGGGACTTGGATTGCTGATTTTGGTTTCCACTCCTTACTAGGAGCAGCTGGCCAAAGAAAACCCAATACCCAATTAATAAAAATAATCATCACGCGAACTTCCAGACCGATGAGAATAACCATTATCACAACAAAGCAAAACAAGCCTAGATATGGTCGCAAAAATTCCAGGTTGCAATTCAAACAGATCACCAGAAAAGAACACCAGACGCACACACTGTATTTTTTATTCCAGAGACGATAGTCAGGATGCCCAAGCAGACCAGAGGCCTGATTAAACCTGACACTAAATATTTAAAATTGAGAACCGAAAACATGAAAAGAGAAATAAACTCCTTAGCAAGTCCAAGTAAATATTCAAGAATAAAACGAATTAATACTTGAAAATAAGGCAATTAAAGATGTGTTTGCAATGCAGCATGTATTCATCATCAGATACTACAAAAATTGGAAACACAAAAACACGTCAGAATAAAAATATCATCAAATAAAATCGTGCACTAAGTACTGATGGCTGTTTCCCTCATTATCAACAAAAGGAACTGATTGTGAGAGCCTTCAAATGATACGTAAGTCCTGGTTAAGTCATGAGATGCAATTTCCCCCAGTCTATGAGTATAGGAGATGCAAAATAACCGTAGGGCAGTGACAGATCGCTAGCGCTAAATATACTAATGTTAAAAATTTCCTGAGTGAGAGTTCTTTCAAGACGTGCCAGTTAGAATTTCCAGACAAATATCAAAGTTAAGTAATGATAGTAACTCCAATAATGACCTTCTCAAGTATTGGAAACTTGTCACAAGATCTCACTGAAAAGAAACTGCAACCAGATTCGTAATGCTATTCGCAATTTAAGAATCTACTGAAAATACATGAATGTGAAGTGGATAATGAAGAAAAATTCATCACAAGTCACCCTATAATTTGTGACCCAAGCTAAAAAATCTCAAAGAAACTATGATAGAGAAAAAAGAAAGTGCATGTGGAGGAAAAGCTATAAATACTCAGAAAAAGTCATTATGCATATGCTGGTCTAGGAACATATAATGAATTGCCCTAATCCTTCCTTTACCTTTCTGAGGAGCAATGACTTGTGGCCTGCTGCCATAGTTTGAAGAGGCCCAACTACTTGATGAGCCAAACTGAGAATTTGATAAAGATTGAGGTGCATCAAGAACCTGAGAATTAGTTGGCAGGTTCCCCTGTCTAACGAAGGTGGTTCTTTCTGTTGCCCTTTCATTTGACGGCATATCATAACCAGCATATGTATCTGATGTGGCCACGTTGATACCAACTGTGTGTTGGATAGCACCCACCATGCCAGAGACACGTCGATCAATAGAATGCACTAGTACCGGATCGGAGGCAGAGGCGTCTACTCCAGAGAGAGTTCTGGATGATGGAAATCCATTGGTAGTTTGAACAGATTCTGCATGTGTTCCACCAGGTACAGTTCTACCAATTGAATTCTCATCACTGAAATGAAGACCATGACCTTCAGACATCTGGAATCCAAATTCCTGGGATGAATCAACAAGTGCAGATGTTGTTGAACCGTTGGTGAATCCAAACAAAGAGCTGGCAATGAGCACATCCATCAATCGGATCAGTGGCGAGGGCAGTAAGTCAATTAATTCATCTATGACGATAATAGAAGTAGACAATATGATTGTAGAAATGTCCAAAAATCCTTGTAATTAAGTATCACGCACTATAAATGACAAACTACTCATTGCATGATTAGCGGCGACGGCAAAAATATACACTAAGATGCACTTAGCACAAAAAGACCCAAGTACATTTGCAATGAAAATGGGATTATTAAATAATGAAGGAATGATAATTAGATAGACAGGCAGGAAGTTGCCAGAAGTGAAAGAAAGGAGAAAGCAGGTGGACCAGAACAAATGTCACTGATGTTAAAAACCATCTATCTGAGAGGGGTTCTGTAAACAGCCCATAATCAAGTAGAATGTCTATTTAAACTGTCAAAGCTTAAAACTTCCGAAATACGTAATCCCAACACAAACATCTCAGAAAGCAGAGGTTGTGTTCAAAGCAGAAGGCTGAATTGATAAGCAGTGAGCTATAGGCGTCATGTCCTCTACAAGATCTATAGTTTGATCGGTTCGTCCTGAATGTTGCCACAAAATAACTGACCAGAGGTACCAGTGTGAAACGGTGGGACAAAGTTCGGTTTTTTTTCCATGGTAAGATGATTCAAATAGAGACCCCCAGTGGTTGACATCAAATTTCATTGTGACACTCTGGTCACATGATTGTGGTTTGAATGAAGACATCTGAAACACAAACATACAGCCAGAAATGTTCTAATAGCGTCTAGTGTAGGTAATTTGGGTCCCTGCAGCAAAAGTCTTGCATGAAACGACAACAAATTATTCTATTTTCATAGGCAGCAACTAAAACCATTAGGCTTCAGTCTACATTGATGATAACTTTCTGATGCACCAAAAAAAAAAGAATTTTTTTTGTAATACCTTGATTGTGAAACTCCTAAATTATCCTCCATCTCCTGTGAACCAGAGGAAGAAGAAGCGGATCTTATGTCCTTTCCAGAGACTGGTGTAATTACATTATCTTTCCCAGCAACATTACTTCTCCCAACTCCAGCATCTAAGAAAATAAAATTGAAGCATAAAAACTCATGTTAGATCAATAGCATCTGGAATACTCTTCCATGAGAGCACAAAAATTTATACACCCAAATAAAGAAACTCTTTGAGCCACTCTGGGAGAAAAAAATACAGTCAACTGAAATGATAGCGGCGTAACACTAGAAGAAGAAGAAGGAGGACGATGAGTGATGACGGCAAGCATAAGCAGGACGCATAACACCACGTCGAGAAGTGCTGGATATTGCAAAACAATCAACTAAAAGAATAATGGCAAAAGCATTAACACACCAAAAAGGCTGTCTAAAACAAACAACATAAATTGCATTGAAAAACTAAGAAGGTGATGGACACCAGCGCAACACTTATTATTAGAAAAACATAAAAGGGCATACCATGTGATATGTAGCGAGATGAATAAGTTCCTCTCCCAGTTCTAGGATCTCGCCTATGCATTGGTGGTTTCCATCGAGAATCCACTTGCTCTCTACTGTTCAAATTCTGCAAGAAAGAAAATAATTATTAATATTTTGATGCAAATTTGATGCATGCGACCAAACAAGGGCAACATAATTTTACCTTGCGTTGGCTAGAGAATTACAACTGTTTAGATTTGGAATGTAAACCCCTTTCTTGCGTTTAAAATCAACTATATAGCAAAAAATAGCTGGTACAAACATCTTAAGGAAAACTCTGAGCATCAAGTTGAAGAAATCATCCCAGGAATAAAACCCAAATGATAGCGAAGGAAATGACACGACTTATGGAAAAAGTTGCTTGATGTAGGGGATTTCCGAAGCATTAAATTTGGCGTATTAACACATAATCTAAAACGATTTTTGAAGGTCTACCATGATGGGACATACAAGGCTAACGTTTATTAGAGAATGATAGTCAGACATCTAATAATATTGGACCAGTAAAACTTTCACATAAAAATACACATTTTTTTGGGAGGAGAAAATGGGAAAGTCCAACCAAAACTTAAAGAGAAAAAATTGTTATCTGGGTGAAAAAAGAAAGATTCTAAATATCTTCCACAACAGTTTTTACTCCAAGAACTTTGAAACCTGCAAACATCCATGCAGTTCAACGTACAAAAGTGTGGGAGAATACTAGACAAAAGCTCCTACAAAAATTCTACCAGTAAATCAACTTTCCCAGTTTCTGTGATGCATTGGAAACATGTCTTGCTCTATATGAAGAGAACTGCGGCTCAAGTATATCTGGATTTCACTTATGGAGCAAGTGATAGACGGGTAACATATCCTCCTCAACTACACAAAGGACAAAACTGGGCACATTTGTTATCTGGTTTGTAGTCTGGGCAGCCCGGATCTTCTCCAACTTCTAAAGAAGCAACAACTTATTTAGAAAGAAGAGATGTTCCACACCTTCATTCAGTTCTTATTTCACATATTTCAGCTGAGAGCATCTGCTAAGTAACAGACACATCTACATTACTAACAAGATTGTACATTTGCCTTTAAAATTAAATCTTCAGGTTTTTGACTACGAGGACAAAGAGAAAACGCCCATTTTGTATAAATTCAAGGCAACATCACTGCCCTGGCCCATAAAAACTAGAATAAATCCGCCACATTTCTCGTCCATGAAACAAAAAAGGACAGCACTGGTCCATCAATCCGATTATGGGGGCAGTTTTCTCTACTGTCTTTCAACAAACTTTAAGAGAAGATCAAGTTCCTCCTTGAAAGAAAATTTTCTACTGCTGATGTTAATCCACATTGCACAATTCTGCAGGCTAGAAGTCTTGTATTTATCCAGAGTTTCCAATTGAGCGGGCCAATGGATATGACCATCACATCAGTTCAGATAGAGAAGATCAAGAGACTCCAACTAACCTGATACAGAGTACATTGGCCAAAAATATAATAAGTTCCAGTTGGGTTATATATCATATCTTCGTTTGCCTCTACACATGATAAAAATGACTGAATGTTGCAATCCCCATCTCCATTTCTCAACATATAATTCTTTTTATTTATTTTTCATGAACACTTAAAAGTAAAAGTTCCCCAATAAGAAAAAAAAGAAAGGGGAAATTAGTAAATTAATGAACACTAGCAAGAAAGATCTCGGGTAAAAATCGAAAACATATTAGAATTTTTTTATATTTTGCAGGAAAAACTAAAAAAATATTTTAGACTCATAGAAACCAGTGGAACTGAGCGTGTTACAACTGAACCCATACACACATGACATAACATTTTACTTTTCTCAAACTAAATATGTAATTAAGATGCCAAAACGGAAATACTTATGAGCTGGATCATGCAACTTAAAAAAAAACATGCCACGATTTATTTTTTTTGTTTAGAATTAAAAATGTAGTTCATATACCAAAAAGTAAACTTCGAGAACTGAATCATGCATCTTCGGAAAAACCTATGCACACACGTACACACACATGCTATAACTCTTAGTCTAGAATAAAGCATGTACTTAATAGTTTCTAAGTAAACTATTAAGGAGGGAAATCTTCTGACTAGAATAAGATGAAGAACAAATATGAACAAAACTAAATAATAGAAGTAATATATGTATGTGATCTATGATTGATATTCCGCATTACTGTAAAAAAAATGTCCCAAAAGACTATAACTTAATTTCAATGACGCAAGGAAGGAACAAACAATGAGAAACTGGGTGACGAAATTATTTACCTCCTTTTTCTTGTCACGCTTCCTCTTGACCTCATGAAAAGGGTCTGCAGAAGTATACATTTGTTAATAATATAATAGGTGAAATTTAAGACGAAAAATCAAATGTTCTTCATGCATAGTCCTTTCATTGCATGCAAAGAAATGCACTCTCATCACAATTATTACACCAAATGTTGAGACTGAAGGTTTTTAGTTAATAACAATATAAAACGAAAAGGCACCAACTATATGCACTTACGGTCCATCAAAAGTTAGGATTATTCATTAAAAAAACTTAAACACAAAAGATATGTCTTTATAAAAAAAGGATTTTTGACATGGATCCTTCTAAAGATTAGCCTATATATCAACAGTATCAGGATGTATCATAAACATATGCAAAGAACACACGAAATCTCCTGAAAAAGGGAACCCATGGCAAAAAATTGACTTGCAATGAGGGATGATAGCACAGAACGCCAGGATAAAAGGTATGATGTATTTACAAGGTCTGTGAGAACACCATACATATTCTCAGGTACTGAAAGTCCTGAAGGAATGAAGATTAAAAAAATGTTAGGCATCTGAAACCAGACGCTTAAATTAATAGTTAAATAAAATATTTCGTTGGTTAGAGAATTATTGATAACATTTGACTGAAGTTCATCCATTCTCCAACTGATGCGCACACCTCAAGTGGTTGGCTGACACAAGTATACTATTTGCCAAGAAAGAGTCGGATGTCATTCTCTGTAGACTATTTATCGTAAGTAATATTGGATAAATGTGAAGCATGCATGCATTGAAACTACGGAGAAACCTTGACAAAAAAAGGTAGAGATATCAGAGAATGCAAGAGGGTAGAATAAAGCAAGCCATAATGACATCATCATCGTCAAATCAGCAGCATGCATACCATCAATAAGATTCCCAGAAAATAAAATTTAATTCAACACTTTGAATATTGATGCACGTCTTTCAGCTTTTCATAGAAAAAAGTAAAAATGTACAATTTTTCTGATGCATCGCTTACCACGATTGATACCCATGAACTAGATTCCACTAAAGAATATCCATGAGCTACCTACTGTCATGTAATGTAAGAAACCTAAAAAGCAAAGCCAAAGAGTATTTTTATTCAATTCAAAAATGACTGACGTTTGGACACCCAGATTTGAACTGGGGATAAAGGATTTGACACCAAAGAAGAGTTCGACCCAATGCTTTATTTCTGTCCTAGTTGATCCTGATTCGACATTAGAAGCCCGTTTTTTGCTCCCTCTATTGATAGATGTGAATAAATTCCAAAATCCATTTCGTACAAACCCATTCTTTAAATGGGATAGCGAAATCTATTGCACTAGAGCCCATCTACATGATGATTCACGAATAGTTAGTACGAGAGCAGCGGGGCTGCATACGAAACAAAGCCCAGAAAAATGACAAAAAACTACCCTTTCATTGCCATTGAACGCAAATCCATCACAAAATATCCCGAGGAAAATGAACGGGAACTGAATCAAATCAGCGAATTATTGAAATCCGAAAAGAAACTACGTGGACAATCGAATCCTCGTTCCAGTACTAAGAATGGCCCGATAAAACGGAAAGAAAACAAAAATTGGTCAAAGACCTGAAGGGCGGTGAAGCCTAATACCGCTGAGAGGACATCCAAACACAATACAGTTTCCACAGCCACATCACTTAATTACCATTGAAAAACAACAAAAACTGAAGTGCCATGAAAACTTAGCAATTCGATTATGAGGGAGGGGATCGCATAGATACCTTGCGAAAGGAGCCTCTGGACGGTCTCATTGGGGTCCATAGAGCACTCCCTGAGCATTGCATATATTTCCTCGTCGGAGTGGCTCCTCGAAATCTCCTTGATGTCCTGGATGACCTTCTTCACGCCGCTCGGGATGGAGACAATGGAGAGCCCGCCGTCACTCATCTCCGCAAAGTAAAACAAACAAGAAGACAGCCCAGAGCAGGAGCTCGAGGAGAACGACTGGTAGGCGGAAAAAATAACAAATATCCCAGAAGAACACAAGACAGGAAGACACAGTTTTTCACAGGGTTTTGACCACGACTCCTGGAGCAGGGAAGCGCCAGGAGACGACGAGGGGGGCAACGAGGAAGAAGAAGAAGAAGAGGAGGAAGATGATGGAGCAGACTGCAGACGAGAACGACAGCCTCTCCCGCTCTGTCTCTCTCTACCTCTGCACTCCCCTCCCCCCTCCTGCCCTGCCCCGAACAGTGCACACTTCTGAGAGTCCCCTCCCTGGGGGTCTGTCTTTTAAAAGCTCCCCCATCTCTCCTTTTCCTCCCCTCCCGTTTCCGTTTACGTTTCATTCCCAAATAAACCCACACTCCTACCTTCAAGAAAAAAGACCATTCTACCCTCCAAACTGAACCACGTCTCATTGTCAATGGGTCTCATCTTCTAAGGTTTTGGAGGGCTAATTTGGAAATTCACTTGGGTGTCTCATAGTATTCTTTCCTAATTAGGAGAATGGGGGGTGACTTCTTGGTGAAATTGAGTGGCCTTACAAGGGCATTCTCATATCCTCTTCTAGTGAGGCAAAGCAAGTGGCACGAGGGATTAGACGTTTTTGTTACACAAGCAGACACATGATCTTGTCCGGTTCAACTTTTCATTGTTGACTCGCATCCCATGGCAGCAGTTAATTCACAAGATATGCTATATATCTCACTCTTAACGCGTGGCCCTCTCTCTCTGACACTCTTTCTCTCTGTAAATTAATACGATATACAATGGAGAGGGAGGAACAAGTGGCTTCACTCTATCCCTCTATGGTTGTTTGTGGCTACGAGTCAACTTTGTATTTTGTGCATTGAAATGTTGATTATACTAATTCAAAAGTCATTGCTTCATGAAACAATTTATTCTAAACCCTTAGATGGTGTTGTAAATATATTGGATCATGGAAGTGATAATAAGTCAACTTTCCTAGCAAAAATGACCCTTTGATGGTGTTGTAAGGATATTGAGTCAAGGAAGTTGTAAGAAGTCAACTTTCCTAGAGAAAATGACTCATAGTGTGGTGCACAACAGTCACGCTAATATAAGTAATGATGTGTGGGAAGGGGAGGGATTATCAAGAGTCTCTTACTTTCATTGGAAATCTTTATTATATACCCTTTGATGGTGTAGAGGATACAGTGGGATGAGAAAGGCATAATTGGTCCAATTAATCAGGTGGAATTAGTAAGGCTAATTGTTCATTGAATTATCACACTAATAGCAAGAAGATAGTAATGCCAAGGGTGAGGTTGAATTATCAAAAGGCACTTATTTTAATTGGAAATATTTTTATACCCTTAGATTGTGTAGAGGATTCAATGTGATGATAAAGATGGAGGTAAAATTAATCAATTGACCTTCTAAAAGTAGTAAGGCCAAAATGTTAATAGAATTATCATACTAGTCGCATGAAGATAATAATGCTAGCTGTGGGGGAGAATTATCAATTATACCCTTATTTTCATTAAAAATATTTCATATACACTTTGATGATGTAGAGGATTGAATGAGATGATAAAGAAATGGAGGCACAGAGTGTTAATGAAATTCTACATGGGGCATGTGTCTATGCTTAAAAAAAAGACTAAAAAGGGGTTACTTATCAAATAATTTCATGCTATGATATTAGTGTTGATAAAAATTGTTGGGGATGCAATTTATTGTATATCTAGTCAAACTTGGTCATGGATACGTTTTTATTGATAATTATATTGTCTTTTATCTAATTATCATTGAAATATGCCCTATCTAGAGTGTTAATGAAATTGGACATGGGATTTGTGGTTGTGTTCAAACAAAAGCCCAAAAAGGGATTAATCATTGATTAATTGACATTATTATCAACAAATTAGATCGGGACATAATTTATATAATTAAAAAGTAAATTTCAGACATGAACTCCCTTTTATTGTGATTTATATGATATAGACCTCAAATCTAATCAAAAGAAAGTAAAAAAAGTAGTTGATCCAAGCTTCCCAAAAATGGCAAGTTAGGCATCCCAAAGCTTCAAAAATGAAACATATCATTAATACATGAAGGATTCTTTTTCTACTTGTACCTTCTTATGAATTTATTTAAATATGTTTAAAGTGACAATGTAACTAAATTGTTTGACGAAACTATTGGCCCATTTAAAGGCCCAATATTGTAACCCTAGAGAATTACTGAGTATTCTTAAAAATTTATCTCTTTTGAGATTTAACCTCTTTGATGGTGGATTCTAATGTTTCTCTTGTAGATATGTGAGAACATTCTTAATCTTGTGGATTCAAGATTGTTCCCTTGTGGAGTTAGAAGTTGAGCTTACAAGTTTAATCGATTTAAGGTGAAGAATCTTTCAGTAACTTTTGCTTCTTTTGAATTCATGAATGAGATTTCATCTCCATACAGCTTAGGCTGCATTATTAGTATGAAACCGAAGATTAAAGAAAATCAGTCTCCTGTGGATTCAATGCTCTATTTTTGCTTTTCCATGTCTCCATATTGGTGTCTTATGGATTCATGACTCAAGCATGTTATCTCTGCAACTCCAACTCAGCCAAATCATCATTTCATTATTTTATGTTGGTCATTAAATTAATTATTATCTAATCATAAATGTAAAATATCATATATATTCTCTAGTGTGTCAATAGGCCCTTATTTTAATAGAAAATATCTTTTTATATATCTTTTATTAGTGTATATGATTGAATGATATGATGAAGTCATAGTTAGTCAACTTTAAATGTGTTGATTTCCTAAAGTTAGTAAGGCTAGAGTGTTAATTAAATTAAACATGGGGCTTGTGGTTGTGCCAAACAAAAAGCCTAAAAATGGGTTATGCATGGATTAGTTCTACACTACTTGACATTATTATCAACAAAGTTTGATAGGGTCATACATGTATGCTTTTTAATTAATGTTTATATGATATATTACTTCAACTCTAATTGAAAAAAAGACATAATTTTTCACCCAATCATCCAGAAAATGCAAGGCAGACATCTTCAAGCTTCAAAGATGAGTTGTGAAGACTAGAAGACCATAAAAGGCTCAATATATTTATATTGTTTACATTGGCTATTATCTAATTATCAACAAAATGCCATATCAATCATCCATTGCATTTAGATGGATGACCAACCATATCATAATATTATGTTTATATATATTATAATATATTTTTATTAAGAAAATGAACAAATGTGGATGAAAAACAAAGTATAGGTCATTAGAACAACTTTGTAATATTTTAAGTAAACATCACCATGAATGATTATTCTAAAAAAATAAAAAATTCAAAATTCAAAACCCATTTTACTAAAAAATAAAAATTCATAAATATTCCCCAAATATAAGATATTGTGTATGTTAATAATTTATTGAAAATTCTCACTCACCCATTCTTTATATTTACTTATGAGAGCATAACATATCTAACCGTCATTTTCTCGAAGTATTAAATGGATTTTATTGAATACATACATAATTAATCGCCTGATTTTTTTGGCAAGGAGAGAGATGCGTGGGGCCCAGTCTACGTGGCGGGACAAATGACATCTGGTCCAAGAGGAACGACCGGCCGGACCGGTGCCGTTTTTTCTATACGAAGCCCGACAGGCCGGGGCGGTCGGGGTTTCCGGTCCAGCTGCACCCGGTCCATTTGCGCAACTGTAGCTCTTGAGCTATAAAATATCGGTGAGCTAAGGCGTCTCTGGTCACGCGGTCATCTGCGTATCTCGGGTGGTCCTGTCTTCCTCTCCGGCGAGCTCGAAGAAGCCCTAGGGCGAAGGCCATGGGATCCAAATCGAAGGAAGACGCGAGGAACAGGGAGAAGGACGGTGCCAGTCCCGGGTTAGCCCGTCATCTTCTTCCTTTCTGTCCCGATCCAGCGTTCTTTGCTGCCTCGGGCCTCGTCTGACGTCGTTGTGGTTTTGTTTGCCATTTGCCAGGAAGATATTTGTCGGGGGGCTCGCGAAGGACACTAGCCTTGGTTAGTTTTTTAGTCTTCTGCATTGGGCGTTATCTGTTTAGTTATAGTTTGATATAGCATCTTTTGTACCGTGTTCCAAGATTGTACGTCTATCTTCGTGATTGCTTGGATGGTTTTCGTCTGGTTCTGGGAATGCTCGGTTTTAGTTTTTCGGGCTATGGACTTATTAGGATTTCATTCGCGTGGTTTAACAGCAAGTGAAAGTTTTTTCTTTGTGTTGTAAGTTTTTAGATGCGATTGAATTCGATTGATCGGTTTGTAGTTCGCAATTCTATTTTGAGAATTTTTGTCTAGATTACCGTCATCTGTTATGTAATAGCAACTTTAGAGGCCTACCGTTTAAGCGCTTTCTTATTGTGCTCACGAAGATCTCCAGATTTTTGGCTAACCTTTCCAGCTTATTTGTATTCGTTTTGTTAATCAGAGATCTCCTCACAGTTGTAACTTATCTACACCTTTTTCCTCTCCTACTGTGGTTTTGTGCTCGAAATTTTGTTTTTTTTCTCGATCTATTAATGATTAGTCATCTGGCAGTGTTTAAAACATGCTGTTTCATTTTTTTGCTACATTACTAACAGCCCTCAAGTTCCGATTATGAACCTATGGTTCGTGTGGAAATCAGTGGCAACAATTTAACGCTTGAAGACAGCACGTTGATCATCGGTTTTAGTTAGCTTTTAGGTTTTTATGATTTCCAGGAATCAATAGGTTGTACCAACCGGTAGACCTCTGCTTTAAACACCACTTTATGTTTTAGTTTAAAAAGTAGCTTCACACTGAAGGTATTGCTTTCGTTTATGAAAAAAATGTCATCTTGCTAGAGAGATTTACCAATCACAAAAAGGATACCATGGAACCAAAAATGATATGATTGAACTCAAACCACTGGTGAGCAAAGAAACGGAAGCTTCTTCTGAGCTTCACGTTCGGTGATATTGTAAAGGCTCTCAACATTTTTAGGGATCCCAGAACCCTAAGACATTTGATTAGGTTCTGGTGATATGCCTTGGATGTGCTTATCAGATGGCGGAAGTCTTCTCTTCTTTCTTCTCCCACTCTATTACCTGCAAGTGCGCTGGTCAAGAATACGGCCTTTGTAGAATCTTGATGATTCCTTTGTGGCCATTGATTCAAATTCGCAGAAAATACAGTTGGTAGTTCTCAGAAACGTGAAGTTTTGAATTCTTCCATTCTATGTTCTCGATTCCCTTGATAGCAATCATTGTAACCAAATTAGTAAACGCTTTTCAAAGAGTTCTGGTAGATAAAAGGGTGATTACCCTAATCTGGGTGCTCAAAGTTGGGACCATAATTTTTTTAAATTCTTTCTTTAGTCTCCTCGTATTGCAAAAGGTAGCAGAAAATGGATAATTTCGAAAACCTGTATCACATTCTATGGGTATGTTGATTTCATTCTGACAAGAAAAACGCACATCTATTGCAAATTTAAGGAGATAAATGTTTATTCTAAACTAGACGTTCATCTAGTTTATTTGATCTATAATCAGGCAATTCATTTTGCTTATATTACGGCTCTTTAGGCATGTGTTGCATTTAGAACCATCTTTTCCGATGTGCAACCCTTACACCCAAAACTGCTGAAATATTCACAGAATACATACTTCCCTTTCTACCCACCTGCTGTGGCCTCCCAATTGTCGGAATATAGATTCCTGTTGATTCTTTGATATCTACTGTTGACATTGACGTCTGTAACAACTCACATTTCGCTGCTTCTAAAATCGTAAACTCCGATCTGGTCTCTTATCTTTTTTCGCTTCAGAAGAATGGCAGATATTAGGAATAGTAGGTAGACTGCTAAGTTGCAGTAATCTCCTCATGGATCATTCTCTTGACTTGTGAGGACGCAGCCTCTTTGGCTCTTCTAGTATAATAGAGGTTTTTCCTCATTCTCCTGTCTTCAATCACATGGAAGTAGTCCTCTAAAGCCTCCACGGGTCAGATGCCTCCCTTCAACGCTGTCCTTACATTGTCTCCAGCATAGCCAACTTTCTGTTCCTATGCCACTAATCTTTGTATACTCTCTGACGAACACGATACGAAGGGAGCAACCTGTCCGGAGAATTTCGGGTTGGGTACATTTTTCTTTTTCCCCGGTAGGAGGGGGGGTTTGGATTGGGGACTTCTGTCTTGGAGAAAAGAGAAAACTGGCGTGCTTCCTCTCGACCCATAATCGGTTCATACTCTTGTCTTGATTGTGTTGGATACAAGATGAAGATATTTAAGGTAGCCTGTTTGGATTGTGCATTATCTGATTTTTTAATCAGATGAAGACTCTTGGCGTGCTGATCGATGTATCTGGATTGATCTAGTTCGTTTCATCTCTACTAACTCTGTCTGTATTGGTGCTTCGTTGGAACTCAAAGAGATCCTAAGACATCTATTTAATTTTTTCAATGTGTCCTGATTAAATCCTTGTCTAGTCTGAACATGCAATCAGTCTACTAGTTTATTGATGATAGAATACTAGATTTGGTTCTTGTTGTGGGGCTGAGGACTAGACTGGCGTTTTGGGTTCTTTCTAGTGTCACTCAGTCCTCGTTGTGTGGAGTCCCACCTGAGATGGTGTCGTCCCTCTGGTACTCACCAAGTCCTAAATAGCTTTCCTGCAGTTCTGATCTTCTTTGAAGTCGTTTCAGCTTATTTTAGAAGGAATAGTGCCGGAGTCCAGTTTAATGGGATTTCAAAACTTTAATTCCTCTAGAAAGTCTGAGTGTCCAGATGTTTAAGGAGATTCTGATCGGTCAGCACCACAGTTCAATATTTTATGGGCGAAGTAATAGCAGTAGTCTGTGGGTCTCAACACTGGAACAATAGAGGGACTTGAAAAACAGAGAGTAAATTATCACAGTTTGTATTCTTTTATCCGCTGAGATCATGTACCACCCTTGCGTTTTAGCTTTCACTTCGCCTTAGTTATCCATTCATCTCTATGGACTGTAAAGTGTCTTTTTAGTTACCATGCCTTTTCCCCCTATTATCGTGTTTCCTACTTCTGTGGCTAACATCATCGTACTTAAGACACTCTTATGGCATTTTTGTATCCCGATGCCAATGACATCTTGTCAGAAAACATTGGTTTTTCACTCGTTAGGTTCATGGTAGCCAGCGGAACTTGGTGGATTTTACCCCAGTCTCTATATTCTGAATGCTCCTGAAGCTGATCAGATTTCAAATCGATTTGTGTCCACTCCTTTTTCCTTTCTCTTCTATCCCTTGCACTCGATCCCTAGACAACAGGGCAGTAGCTGTGTCTGTCAGCATTCCAGTGAAGTATAGGGTATCAAATCCTTTCATCATGTAATTCATTAGATGATTCTTTGCTAACCCTGCAACATGGCCACTTAGGTTCTTATACTTCAAACTTTGATCTCCTCCCTATTGTCACAAGATCGACAAAATAGGTTACTCAATGTCTGTTTTATGTGGAGAGACATTTGATCGTTTGCTTTTTGTCCGAGAGCCTGATGACAAACTGGACAATTAGGTGCAATAATATAATAAGCATGCAAGAGAGATTGTCGCAATCTCCTTTACTGACCTGTATGGAACCCTGTGATCATTCAGGAATGAAAACTGTTTATCATAGAAAATTATTTTATGGATGGAGTGTTTTCTGGACTTTTTGCTACTGCATACTTGATTCATTGCATAGTTTATCTCAATCTAGATAGTAACAATCTTATCAAAGTACTATATTAAATGTATATTTGAAATAGCTTGCTTTCAATATATTTGTCTCTTACATATTTCTGGCCCCCAAAAACAGCAACATATGCCAAGCATTTTGGGAAGTATGGGGAGATGACAGACTATGTGATAATGAAGGATAAGTTCACCAACCAACCCAGGGGTTTTGGATTTGTGACGTACGCAGATCCTTCGGTTGTCGACAAAGTCATCGAGGACGCTCATGTCATCAACGGGAAGCAAGTAAGCTCTAGATCCTTTTAAGCTGGTTGAATAGCTTTGATGAAACCCTGATAATAGCTTTGTGGGTGAAAACATTTCTTCCTAGTTCATAATCCGCAGCTCTCAATTCATGCTATTTTCTTTCTAATTCATAATTCGCACCTTAGGGCTTCTCTGCTTCTATTTGGAAGAGGGATCAGATGAGACACAAGGCTTGTGCATAGTCTCATGTTTAGTGAGATTCTGCCAATAAGGTGGTGGGAATCATCCAAATATAGTCAATTCAACCCCCCCCCAGCTGCTCTCACAAAGAGTTCAATGGATTTCCCATCTGCAACCTGAAAAAAATAAAATGAAACCATTAAATTAGGAAGAAAATCTCTAGTTGACGGAGTGAAGCACCATCTCCCGCAATAGATTAGTGAAATCTATCTGGCAAGTGGGGATATATGCAACTGGGGAAATTGTTCTGGAAAAATCCGATAATGAAGTGATATACAGAGCTACATATTTTCATTTATTAAAAAAAAAGCAGAAATATAGTATGTTTTTCCGCAAGTCAGCAGGATACTATCTGCAGGTGTGAGGCCACGTCATCTTATCCAAGTCAATGAGAATCGTGCTCTGTATCTTCCAGGTGGAAATCAAAAGAACAATCCCAAAGGATCCATCGTCCAAGGATTTCAAGACCAAGAAAATCTTCGTCGGGGGCCTCCCACCAACCTACACTGAAGGTACCGTCTAATCTTCTTGCATGCTGCTGAAAATGCCAGAGCCTTAGAATCCTCCTTCTGAATGCCCAGATGAGTTGAAGGGGTTCTTCTCCACGTATGGCAAGGTGGTGGACCACCAGATCATCCGAGACCACCACAGCAACCGGTCTCGAGGCTTCGGCTTCGTCATCTTTGACTCTGAACAGTCAGTTGATGATCTGCTCTCCAATGGCCATATGATTGAGATAGCTGGCGCCCAGGTGAGACCCACACACTTTCTCTCTCATCACCACCCTCTGGGCCTTGATTCCCTCTCTACCGCCTGCCCGTGGATGGCGAGGGTCTTAGGGAATTCATCACGCAGGTGTGCCCGTATCTCCTTAAGAGTAGTTTAGTTGTCTTAGGCAATCTGGTTGGTCTGTAGAGAGGCTAAGCTAGCTTAGAGAGATTCTCCTAGACTATAAATGGGTGGTCCTGAACCGAGCTTCACTGGCTAGTTTTGCATCTTATGGGGGACTAGGTTGATGTTCTTGCTTTGTTGTAGGTGGAGATCAAGAAGGCAGAACCAAAGAAATCCTCGAAACAGCCATCTGGATATGGTAGTAACTCTAGGGCTCATTCCTTTGGTGAGGGCCCTGGTGGGTACGGCAGCTCTTATAGTGGCTATGGCGGTGACGAGTACGGCCCCCCTCCTCCCTATAGGACACCCGGAGGCTTTGGCTCTAGGTTTGGGGGGGGTTATGGTGGTGGCTATGGCGGCGGCTATGGTGGTGGCGGCGCCGGTGAATATGGCGGAGGCTATGGCGGAGGTTATGGCAGCTTGGGGGGTTACAGAGGGGAGACCTCTCTTGGGTATTCCGGCCGATATGGCGGTGGATATGGCGGCGCATATGGCGGGGGATATGGTGGGGGAATAGGCGGCTACAGGCGTGATGAGGGCTTTGGTGGTGCTGGCGGCGGTGACGGCGCTTATGAAGGTTCTAGCTATGGCAGTGGTTATAACTCCCGTCCAGGTGCTGGTGGCTATGGTTTTGGCCCTCTCTATGGAGGAGGTAGGGGAGCTTATGGTAGCAGCAGCACCGCCCGTTACCATCCTTATGGAAGATAGGAGAGATGGGTAGAGAGAGAAAGTGAGAGAGAGGTGCCATTCTGTTTGCAGGTGGGCTTTCTAGTTGACTAGTACCCATCTCTAGCTGAGTCACCTCATAGCGTACAGAAGGTGGACACAGGAAGGTCAAACAGGAAGATTAGAAGACCAACCGGAGCAAACTACTATTGTAAGTCATCATCTAGCAGCCGGACTTTGACATGTCAGATCTCTCTTTTTCCTCCTTTTTTTTTCTTCTAAATTTGCAACCGTTGACTCGATTGTAGTGGACTCTATTTGATCAAATGCCCATAGCTCTCAGTCCTCCAATCTTCTTGGAGCTTCTGGTCTGTCCCAAGAAAAATCCCCGGCAGGCAAGGGAGCACTTTTCTTCTTTGGGAATAATACCTTTGGAATTTGAGTTCTTCAGGCTCTTCAGGGCAAGGATTTAGATGAACCCTAGATTTCTTAGGGCTGAGGCTTTACGGAGGATTAGGGTGGGATTTCTCTGAATGGGGTGGATCAGGTGTGTTACAAACAAAGCATTCCCTCTCTTCCTCTCTTAGTATTCCCTCTTAGTGCCCATAGCCATCTCTCTCTCTCTCTCTCTCTCTATATATATATATATATATATATATATAAATATGTATTTCTCTCTCTATGTGAGTTGGCATGGAGAGAGAGCCCAATAATTTTCCAGGTCAGGGTCCTGGCAATGTCCACTACTGGGCCATTTTTTTAGGCTTTCTTTGAGGTCAGATGGGCCAGTCTTCGGCCCAAAGCCAAACCGGAAATCCAATCCATTACAAAAAATATGTTATTGTTTTCTTAAGTTTGAAACCCATGAAAAATTTTATCACTTAGAAGAAAGTCCTCGTCCTTATAATTTGGAATAGTGGGGATGGTTCATTTTCTATTTGACGAGGTTTTCTCATTAAAGTGTGGAAGAACTGGGCTTCCTTAAAATTTGTACCACTGAGGAACCTTCCCCATGGGTCTCTCTCTCTCTCTCTCTCTCTCCCTCCCTCCTGGGTCGTTTTAGCTGAAGGCGGGTGGCCCTCCTAGTTTGGAAGTGTAGTCAACGCACTTTGTTGTGAACCCCAAATCTGACAAAGTATGGGGTTATTTTGTCATTCGACAGATGTGATGCGTATGATTGCCAACGTTAGGGGCTTTTAATGTCTTAAAACTCGTATTACACATGTTTTAGATTTATTATTTCTGAAATTTTAATTTTTGTATTTAAGTAAATTAGAAAAAGCCTGGTAATTGGAAAAATAGATATGTAAATATATTTTCGGAAGGCATTATTTGACCCATTGTTGTATTTAAATGGCGATTAGGACCCTAATTGAGCAGATATTTGATAAAGTAAGACCTTTGCAAATCAAAAAATAAAGTAGCCATAATTCAGAAAATAGAAACACTCCTCTCTCTCTCTCTCTCGCTATATATATATATATTATATATATATTTGTGTTGCTGTCATGCTTCGTGATCCAGCGGTCAACGACGCAATCTCGACGAAGATCCCGTGGTCAAATGGGTCGGGAAGCGATGATACCGCCGCCTTCTTCACCAATTTATTTATTTATTTATTTATTTTTGTTTGTTGATGTATTGTAAAGCGTTTCGATTTCTCTCTCGCCGGAGATGCCCGCGGGGTTCTTCCGCCGGCGAGGATCCCGGTAGAGAAGAAGGGGCTTGAATCGACCAGGTCTTAGCCGGTGGGTCTCCTCGTTCTCTGCGATGAGGAGGACGAGGGTGGGGGGGGGGGGGGACGTTCTTGGGGAGCCATTGAGCTCTGGTTGTAGAAAACTATGGAAAGAAGAAGAGTAGTTCGCGGGTATCTTTTGTCTCTTCTCTTCTCTTCTCTTCTCTTCTCTCGCGGGTACCCCATCTATCTATCCCTCTGGTTTCTCTCTCTTCTCTCTCTCTCTCCTCATTCTCTTTCTCTTCTCTTCTGTCTCTGTCTCGTGTATCTCCCTCTCTTTCTATATATTGCTCTCTCTCTCTCTCTCTCTCTCTCTCAATCTCTGTCAATCTCTCCGCTCTCTCTTCTTCTTTATCTTCTGTCTGTCTCCTCTTACTCTTCCCTTTTCTTCTTTCTCTTCTCTCCTGTCTCTGTCTGTCTGTCTCTCTCTCTCTGTCCTTTGACATGTGGGCGGGGTCCTGTCGTAATGGGGGTGAGTTACCTGCGCATGCAGGCCATCGTCTATTGCGACCCGAAGCCGCAGAGACGTCGTCCTCCAAGACGACCAGCGGCCACGTCATCCTCTCACACTTCCACCTCTCCCTCAACTGCCCCGTCACCCCCACCCTCGTCAGCGCCGCTGCCGGTGGTGGAGGTGGCGGAACTCTCTCTCTCTCTCTCTCTCTTCCTTCTCTCCCTACGAAGACCAGCGAGCAAGCATGTCTATCCGAAGGAAGCTTGCAGAGAGAACATTTTGCCTCTCTCTCTCTCTCTCTCTCTCCCCGTTCGAGATGGGTACTTATATCGTGCTCAGAAAGCAGTGCTCTCTTTCTCTCTCTCTCTCTCTCTCTCTCTCTATCCGGGTGGGGTGGGGAGTTACTGGACCAGAGGGAGGAAGAGAGGGAGGGGACGACAGTTGGGAGGGGGTGGCCGTGGAGTGGGAGGGAAGATCCCGGCGGACCCGCCGCCGGCAACTGCAAGGGAGCCAAGTTTCCATAAATAGCCCATCGCCGTTCCCCCGCCGACCGACACTCCTCCCCTTCCCTTCCCTTCCCTCCGGCGTATAAATCCGGCTCCTCTCTCCTCCCCACTTCCCCAATCCAATCCGACACCGGCGAGTCTCTCTTCTTCTTCTTCTTCGGCGGCGGCGGCGAGTGGGGTAACGATGGAGCCGATGGCGATAGTGGCGTTCGCCGGCGGGGTGATCGCGCAGATGGGCATCATCGCGCTGCGCTTCCAGCCGGCCTTCGCCTGCATCGCCCGTCTCATCGACTGTTTCCGCCACCCCCGCCCTCCCCCGCCCCTCGACTACACCGCCCAGTCCATTCTCCGCGCCGTCGACGAGCTCAGCTCCCACCACCCCTACCAACCTTGATGACCCTCACACCTCATCTTCTTCTTCTTCTTCTCCATCGTCTTCTTCCTGTTCGTTCGCCTTCTGCTACTTCTTCTGCTGCTGCTTCTTCTGCCGCGGCAAGAACAAAAAAGAAACATATTTCGATTGACTCATCTCGGAATTAATAGAAATATCGGATCCATATGATCGATCTGCCAGTCGTTTCCAAACAAACAAAAGACCGAGTGGCCGATCAATCCGCACGCAGGAGACGCTGTGGAAACCGAGTCTTCGCCTCGGATGATAAACGAGAGCAATTAGAACCGGCGACCGCCGCCCGGTCTGCTCGTCGTGCTCCGGCGGAAGCGGCCCCGCCCTCATCTCATCTGCCTGTAGCAGCTGTAAGCAACGACGACCGAGACGGCGGCGGCGGCGACGGCAAGGGCTGCGTAGGTGTCCTCCCGCTCCCACCGCTCGAACCACGTCGGCATTGCACAGAGCTTGCGGGCCGACGAGGACTTGCCGGTGGTGGCCGCCTTGCCGTCCCCGCCGTACTTCTCCTCTGTGCCGTTGCCGGTGGGCTTCCCCTCTAACGCCGCCGCATCCCGCCCGCAGGAGAAACCAGGCCCCTGGCAGCAGCCTGCCCCGACGGAGCACCCGTTCAGCTGGACAGCGCTGCCCGTCCCTGCCGCCGCCGCCGTCGCCTCCGGCTTCCCGTTCGGCTGGAGCCTCAGTTCCTGCACTTTCTTCTGCTGATCCTCGGTTAAACCCATTTGACCCCTGACATCACACGCATGCAGACGACCATGGTAGATATGAATCAGGAACCAAATAACGAACTCGGAGATATCTTTCACAAAGTAACCTAGTAAATCTTTCCCACTTTAGGTCACAATCACGATACCAATCACTAGATGGAGATCAATGAATTCTCAAGAACAATCATGGCAGGATGAAGGCGCACAGAGATAGAACAAGCAGGAAACTAGTTTCCCATGGAGAATGGAGAGATTAGATGCGAAGTTCTTCGGATCAAAGCAGGAAACTTAATGAATATAATATTTGGGGCGGGCGATCAAAGAGAGGCCCAAGCTGCAAGGTTGGGAGGAGAAATACCTCCAGAGACGGGCTATAACCTCTCCTCTGCCAATATGCTGCTCCAGAAGAAGGGGGACGTCATCCGGGCTAACATATCCGTACCTAATACAGAAGAAAATACGCAAGTTAAACAAAAATACTCGAGAAAGGGAAGAACATTTAAGAGAGCAGAGAAATCAGTTCCCTCGTGGTGAGCATAATTTCAATTTTTCTCATTTTTTAACATGGGCTCCAAGAAATTGCTGATAGAAGCCCTTGTCAAAATATCCACAGGGAGAGAGAAAGAGAGAGAGAGAGTAGTAATAGTAGTAGTAGTAGTAGTAGTAGTAGAGAGCGTTCAACTAGATTCTTGGATAAATGAAGCCTCATATTCTGGGCGGAAAAGGGTATCCAGCGATTAAGCACGCACGAGAGAGAGAGAGAGAGAGAGAGAGAGAGAGAGAGAGATCCAAAGGGAGAAACGAAAAATTTAAGAGAGCAGAGAAACCAAATAATTATATTTCCAGAAAAGAAATTCTTGACATAAGGCCAAATAAATCACTGAACTGGTTCTTTCTTAAAAACTGATATTTTTTTTGAAAATAAGGGAGGGAACATCATCTGAGCTGATGCATCCATACCCAATAGACGACAGGAGAGAGAGATCCATAGAATCCATTGAGAGACGGGAAAAAAAAAAAAAAAACTAGCAAAAGTGCAACCCATGAAAGAAGGGGGAAGGGTTTGTTCTCACCAATGGCCGGCCACTGCTCCATCGGCCCCCTTGCTGAATATGATGACGTTCCCGGCGTATTTATGGCCGCCTATGTGCGAGCAGCCACTGACAGACACCTGGAGGCCGCGCTCCTTGGCCTCCTCTCGGAATCGCTTGATGAGTTCGGGCCCGCAGACCCCACACCTCTTGTCCCGGCTCCCATGGGCGCAGACAAAGACATAGGACCCGGTGAGGGGCTCGACCACTCCAGGGAACCATTCGTTGTTCTTCACCAGGACCTCCTCCACGAACACATCAACGTCAAAGTGAGTCAATCGCCTGCACCCAAAAGTACCAAAATTATATTAGAAACAAACAAAAAAAAGGTAAGAGTCCGGGAACAGTTGGGATTTATTCGTTGTTCCAACCTGTATCGGATCATGTCGGGAAAGATCAGGACATCTCCATTCGAAGACTCAGTCCCATCTTCTCCCTCGCACAAGGTCAAGCGGGTCTGCAGAAAATTATCGTCAAAAGAGAGAAAAAAAGAGGGGTTCAATCATTGGTCAGAACTTAAATGTGCCAGTGATGTGGGTGAAACAAAGTCAAAGGCATCGCCACCTGAAAAAATATCCCAATTAAGCATTGACGAGCTTCGGTCAAAATTATGACTCCAGGTGAAAACCAGGGAAACTCAGCTCAATGGATACCGAATCATAATTTCTCAAACATAATGGCGGCTCCCATACAAATCCTAGCACACCTGAAGTGGATGGAATGAGGATGTTTATATGACATCATGAACAATATTCCAAGCCCATGATATGACAAAGAAGGTGCGGATATCGTAATATCCATATACAAAGATGGAATGAGTTGGGATATGAATGCTCCATGGAAGAGCAGGGTGGGGAGGAAGGAGATCAGCGCAAGGAGGGTACTTGATGATTCTGGACGGAAAAGGGCCTCCACAAATTTGGAATTTCCTCTGGTAGGCTTATTTCCTATACTTAGGCATCTCCACTTCAGGAATTAAAATTCATGTAAATATAAAGTTTGAATAAAAAATTAAAAAACGTTTTAGGATAAATACCAAAGAAAATGGGTAGAGATTCCTTTATTTTTTTGAAATGCAGATCAAAATAGAAGACAAGGATGCCCTGTTTACGAGTATTCCCAAAACACTCATACACTTCGTCCCTTTCCGTGGCTCTGAGATTTTCCTTTTTATGTTTTACTTCTGACGAACTGCGATTCTTTGACCCCTTAAAAGGCTTTATACAATCTTATGAAATAAAATGCCGGGTGCCATCGAAATACTACTAAACTCGGAATTACATTCATGCTCGAGAAAATTTACAGGATAAAAGCTTAAAGTTGCGAATATTTCGGCATCATCTGATATTTAGACTAACAAAACGGGGGAGGTCGTCACAATTCACTAACCTGAAAATATGGAAGAAAATTTCAGGATATAGACTTCCCGTTCTCTAACTTCTTTTAAGGATTCATACAGTTTCATGAAATAGAATGTCCACTGATAGAGCAATATATATAAATAGATAGCCTAAGAAATGTATAAAATTATCGAAATCCGACCAAATTCGAAATTTTGATTTATGCTTGACGCAGTTTGCAGCAAAAAAGCTTATAATTTAGAATATTTCAGCATCATCGGAGACTTAGACCAATAAAAATGGAGAGATCTTCACGATTCACTGTCCTGGCGATATGCAAGAAACTTCTATCCGGAAAACAGTGCTTCTTCACGATTCAGGCTCCAGAGATATTTCTCCAGCTCCTTGGATGTACAGTGAGCAGATTAGTAGTCCATTCAACACAAAAGTCGTCACTACGGAAAAGATTCCGTAGAGAAGAAAAGGTGAAATTGATGGATCCATAAAATCCAAATATATGGGGGATTACTGACATAGACGCAGCAGGAAGAACGCTTTCAAAATCTACTCAAGAGAACCCGATCCGGTTTCTCTCAAAAAGTCCTAGACCACCGAGAAAAAATACGGTAAATAGAGAAATATTGGGCAGAAATCCTAGGGTTCGTCTTGTTTCTCATCCAACCCTTATCGAGGCTGAATAGTAGAGAGATCTACAAAAATAAAACACTAAAATTCGGACAATAATGATCTACCTAGCATAGGTACAGCGAAAATCCATCAATGGGACTAAAAGATCATACGACCGATACCAAAAAAATAACCCGGTGAGGGCTTACTAGAAAATTACAATTGAAATAAAGTTTAAGAAACCCTTGCCTTCTTCTTGATGTCGGCCTTGCGACCGGTGAGAGCTGCGGCGAGGAGCCTGGGAAGGCGGTCGAACTCGGCGGCTTCGACGTGGGACGGCCACACCTCGGGTTGCTTGTAGCAAAGGAACAGGTGCCTTTCATACATCTGCACTGTCCCGGCCAGCTTCCCCTGCCCGAACTCCGGTCGCTGAAAGCCGAACTCGGCATCGTTTCCGCCGCCACTCCCGCTCCCCCCGTCCCCTCCCGCCCCCCCGCCGGTGCCAGAGAGGAGGCCCTCGTTCTGGTAGCTCCCCTGCCCAGTCCCGATCTGGGAGCTCGAATCCGGCACGAGGACGGCCTCGTCGGCGCCAGACAACGCGATCGGAGATGCGGCGTTGGGGTCTTCCATCTCCTTCCCTCCTAACCGTAAAGCTTTCGAGAGCGTCGCCGTCGCCGGCGAGTACCAGGAGATTTTTATAGTCGGCGGGCTGCTGTGGGAAGAAAGAAGAAGAAGATGAAGGGAGGGGTTACGTGGCCTGCAGCAGGTGATCTTCGACAGAGAACTCCACATTCCAGAAATGCACGGGAAAGGAGCCTGAGAAATGGTCCATCACTGACGGGAATGCACTGCCCACGACGTTGACGAGGCTGCCGAATCAGGACCGTTGGCTACGCATGTCAACGGCTCGATCTCATTCCTCCCATTTTTAAACAGTAGGCACGGCTGGGCACCGACGTGTCACGTCAGATGACCTCACGGCATACCACAAGATAATAAAAATAAAAATCACATAAATAAAATACTTATTTAAATATTATATTTATAAAACCACAAGATCAGCAAATATATATTTTAATAAAAATAATATCTCGCTAAATATATTTCTTAAAATTGAGAAATAAAAAATTTTGAAATCTTGAAAGCTGATGCCCTATTAATAGTAATATTCCAAGAAAATAAATATTTGATAAAAGTGGGATTTTTCTGGGGAAGAGTCGGTTTCTTGGAAGAAAATGAGAATAATGGCTTCCCAGAATGAGTTGCCTGCCCTCAGAATGCATTGACGCCGGCACCTCCCAAGGGCATCTCTGGTCAAATGCACCCGGACATCTTCTTCCATGATACATGCAGAGAAGGAAAGGATTGACTTAAAAAAACTTACATTATTATACACAACCAGGGACCACATCCAGTCTAATTATACACACAAACCCACATCTTGGTCAATCCATTCATCCATCACTGCCGTAATCACAGAGAGAGGAGGGGAAGGATGGCGGCTGGCCGCCGCCGGCGGCTGATCATCTCGCTGGCTGCTCGCCAGAAAGGTGGGAAGGGGAATTGCCGTCAACTAGGCTGCCCAGCTGTGGCGGCGCCGCCATCTTCGAGACCTGAGAAGAAGCCGCCTCCTCCGCCACCTTCTTCTGCTCCCTCTCGCGCCACCGCTTCATCTCGGCCTCCACGGCCCTCCTTGCCGCGTCGGCCATCTCTGCCCTCTTTATGGCATCCTCCGTCGCCGACTTCACCTCCACCAGCTCCTGCTGCAATGCCTCCAGCCTCTTCACTGCCTCGTTCTCGCTGGCCCTGACGGCCTCCACTTGGGCCGCCGCCGCGGCCACCTTCATCTCCGCCAGTGCCTCAGACTCCTCCACAACCTGGCTCAGAGATTTGTGCTCCTCGTCGGAGATTGTGATGGCCGCCGCCCCAGACTCTGACGTGGAAGCCCGAGCGGCGTTGGTCTTATCGGAGAGGAGCTTCATCTCACCGAGGGCGGCCGTTTCTGCCACCTTTGCCTCCGACGCCTCTCTGAGGGCAGCACGAAGCTTCGTCTCAGCCTCCTCAAGAGCAAGACCGGCGGCTTCCGCCTCCTTCCTCAGCTCCAAACTGGTCTTCTTCATCTCCTCTGCCTCCCTCCTCGCATTCTCGGCTTCCAAGACCAGCTGCTGCCGGGCAGAGATCAGCTCCTCCCGGGCGCTCACCGCCTTCGACTCTCGAGCTCCGGCAAGTTGCAGCTCCGCTTTACCTTCCCGGAGCTTCCGGTGGAGATCAACGACGAGGGATTCAGTCTGCGCTTCCTTCTCTCTCAGGTCTGCAAGCTCCTTCCTGACCTTCTCCAGCTCCAACTTCAGTAACTCTGCCGAGGTCCTCAGAGAGGCTGCCTCTTCTGCCACCTTGTGCAGAGTTTCCCTGGCGGCATCCAGCTCGGCCACCATGCTTGAAGAGGAATCCATGTCGGCCTGCTTGAGATCCCCCAGCTCCTTCTGAACGGAGCCGACCTCAGCTTCCACCTCCGCCAGATTCGCTCTGAGATCCCCCAGAATCTCCGGATCGAGCTCTTCCCTGAGAGAGGCCGCCTGTTTCTCCACCGCTTCGAGGGCGAGCTTATGGTCATGGCGGCTGAGCTCCTTCTCCGACAGGATCTTCGACTCTTCTTGCTTCGCCTGCAGAATGGCGTGCTTCAGAAGGACGAGCGACTCTTGGACGGCCTCGGTCTCCTTCGCCAGCTGGGCCGCCCTCTCCCTGTGGGCAATGGTCAATTTCTCGGCTTCCTCTTCTTGACGGGACGCAGAGGCCTTGGCTTCCATGGAGGCCTCGAAGTCCCGCCTGGTTCTCCTCAGCTCCTGCTTTGTGCCATCGAGCTCGGCGATGACGATGGAGCACTGCTCTCTGGATTTGTCGAGCTCAAGGGTCCAGTTGAGGCCGTTCTCGGAATTAGCCTCTGAGTTGACTTCTTTGGAATTCCCAATCTGGGTCTTCGCAGATTCCGCCGCCTTTACTGCGGATTCCTTGGATTCGTTAACAATCTTGAGCTTGCCGGTCAGGACCTCGACTGTCCTCTTGGCCTCCTCTAGCTCGGCAAGCGCCTGGGTCCTGGTTGCTTCGGCATTATTCAGCTGTTCCCTCAGCCTGTCCAGTTCCTTCTGAGCCACGTGGAGCTGGGTCTCTTTGGCCAATATGTTCTGCTGCACCATATATACAATTACAACAAGGTGACATGTTTCAAGAATTATAAGCTTCCAGTTTGCAGACAGACGAAATATCTGTTGAAAATGGAAAATAATGAGCATATATTTTGGTAAACTGATTTCTTCGTGCAAAGTACCTCGGCAGATAGTGGCTTCAATTTCCTTGCCACGGGTTTGTCTGAAGAGAAGGCCGCCACACCAAACAGAGAGACAGCGGCTTTGACAGATTCAAAAGGTGCCCTCGTGTCGATTTCCCCAATCTCAGATTTGGATGAATCCGCAACATTTTGATGAGCTTTCACCCCCATTTTATTGCTATTAATTATGGCAAGCTTCTGCCAGAGATGAGAAAAATATAAAAGTAAAGGGAAAAGAAAAATTCATCAAGTCCAAGATACAAAAGCATACATAATGCGGGAAAAAAAGGAGCAACAACTCTTGGTATCAACCAAGAACGTAACAAGCAGCTTGACATAAATACTCAAATAGATTAAAAAGTATACTAGAAGAAACTTATGAATCAATCACCCGGGCTTGTATGGCAAGGATCGAGGACTGCTAAAAAGTGGAAGATTGAACACAGGAAGGCTCAATCATGATTTCCAAGAAGATAACAACTATTGAAGTCAAACAGTGCGCTTCATGACCATGAAAAAAATAAAATCATCGGAGGATTGACAGAATTGAAGAAGAGGACGTGCAGTGGTTGTCCAACTTCTGTTGGCTAGAAGCTGGTAAACAACAATGGCGAGAGAAATTATGACATAATTCAAATTAATCTTAGATGATTGAGCAACCCAAAGACTTAGAACCATCAGTGATTTTTGTACAGCAGTGAGACAACACGAAAAAAACCAAACACTCTGCCCTCTCCCTCAGCCTGTCCTCTAGAGTCTGTTTTCTATGTTCGTGGTTCAGTATTCTGGTGTGCGAGGCAAAAAAGACAAATCTATCCGCAACTATGTGGTTGAAGCATAATACTACAGTGACAATACAAGAGGAGACGTCCTGGGAAAACAATTAGTTGATGTCTACATGATAAAAAAGCTTAACACCACTTACTAAGAAAATAAAAATACAAAGGGTATCTTATCAAAACACATAGTAAGACCACTTCTCTCCCAGTCCACGCCATGGCACACACCGTTCTTATTGGGGTAAAATCACTCTCACATATTTTTATCTCGGAAGAAATAGCTGAGAGGAGGGGCTCATTTCTAGGGGTACTGATGTAGAACATCACTCAAAGAAAGGAGAAGCCCAAAGTTGGTGACACAGGTGGGTTGAAAACGTAAAACGTGGGCTACAAATATGGGAAGACACAAAATGAGATTAAGCCCGGATAAATCGCCATGGATAATGCATCAGATTCTCAACCTTAGTAACTGTTTTGTTGTTAATTCGTTTTTAATTTGTTTTCTTAATTGATCAGATTTTATAGGAGCCTCACAACTAATTTCTGGCCTATTTCAAGGCTAATAGCACGTTGTAACCTTAGGAGATAATCAATAATGTGAATTTCTTTCTCCCTGTGAGATTTCAGTGTGTTTGTGGATTCAAGCAGCCCTAGTGGATTCATGGGCTAAGGAAATTTTCGGAACAAATAAAAAATAGAAAAGGGATAATTCAAAAGCATTTCGAAAATGCAAAGGCTTCATGTGCATTGTGTGCATATTTCATGTCTTTCCTCTTCTCAGTCAATTCGCCTTCATGATCCTAAAATGCCCAGTCTATCTTCAAATGATTACATCAATGACAGCAATAAATCAGAGGTGGGGGAGACCAATCGCTGCTCCAGATCATCATGTTATAAATGCCGTGAACAATGACCACCAGTTAATATTCCTGAATTTTCCACACAGGCAGTCTGCAATTTCTTATCCTCCCTCTCAAATTATCACTTTAAATATCAAGCTACCTCCCTTTCTCATGGGACTTTCCTCTCTTCTGACCTTTTTCATCCTCTTGCACTCCACTCTATGTTTTTGCCAGGGCCAAAACACCTAATAAATCATTAGCAGCAGTAGTAGGATCCATTGAAATAGAGGGCAGATGCTAAGTTGGGAAAAGAAAGATTCAGGACGAGATTAATAAGTAAAAGAGCTCGTATGTCATGCAAATCGAACTGCCACATGAAATTGTTCTCCCATAGTTGATTGCATCATCTACATTATTCCACATGTTTCAAGGCAAGTCTTGGAAGAAAAGTTCAAGACTTCTGGAAAACTCCATGAGCGATTTATGGACATTTCGTAAAAATAATAGGCCTTGGAAATTACAAGGTGACTTAAAGTGAGCACAAATGATTTAACTTAAAATAATATACTTTGGAATTCCAAAAAGCTTTGTCATTCCCCAATCACACTAAAAAACGAGAAGTTTACAATTTCATTAGCCTTTCAAATTTCTCCCACACTTTTTTCCACTCTCTCCATATCCAAAAGCAATTAATGGAGAGGTAAGCAATAATTATCATCTATCAATAAAAACCTGCTTCCCAGAGTTTTAAAGCTCCCAATTGAAAAGGGTGAAAGCTTGAAGATACAGAATTTCCAAATAAACTTCTATTTAGACAGAAAAAAAAGAAACGTTGTCCAATTAGTTGAAAGGAAAAGCATGCAATATCAATGCCAAGCTACTTCTACAACAAGATAAGACATCCATTCATGTCGGAGAGGAGAACATTTCATTAAACATTCAGAAAGCAAAACTGTTTATCAGAGGTGAAGGAAAATGAATTACAATCAAGAAGGATAGACTCTAAAAATAACAAATTACAATGAGGATGTTAGAAAAAAGCTGCTAAGATGATTGACAAAATGAAACATGGAGAACGCAACATTTGGTGGACAGCTCACAAAATGTAAGGAAGGACATTCAAGAATTGCGTAGATCTACAACGAACAGACTCAAAGTGGAGAAACACAAGATAAAACAGGGCCTCTTTGAAAATTTTACTGGTGAAAATCGTGGGCAAGAGAGTGGATACTGAAAATACCATTGGCGCACCATTAACACATTACCACTTCTTACGAGTAAATGGAAAAAAAAGAAGGCCAGGGTATGGATCATTAAGGAAAGAAAACCAAGCTAGACAACTCCTGGAAATACACAACTAAAGGAAAAAGTGCACGCCAGGTGATGAATAAAAAGATTATGAAGATTAGACGATCATCAGTAATCCACCCGTTTTAAGTTCAACTGATAATGGAATTCACTAAAGTACATGTGGTCAAAGAAGTAGAGAAGATGACATTGAACACAAAGCGTCAATCTGTACGGGCATACTACTACCATCTTAAGATTAGGCACCTGCCAAGTAAAAAAGGCAGATACATGTCCATATTTCCGATGTCAAGAGAGGATAGGATCATAAAACCATGAATCATTTCGTTAGCCATTATCATCTTCGCCATGGAATAAAAAAGGTAAATAAAGTTAAAGCAGGTATCCGAGTGAGCAATCCGATTTCAAATCATTGAGCTCATGCTTTCAGCTCGTTTCTGTTTTACGGTATCTTTCACACAACCGGTGGGTCTATATCTCAGTATCTAAAAGCTTTCCATAACGGCATTTTTTGCTAACATACTAAAACCGTACATGATACAGCATGCTAAGACTCTACTACACACATCTATACTCCATTTTTTTACCTACCAATGAATTAAGAAATCGTCATTCCTCAAACAAGAACAAGTTAATCATGGATACATTGCTACTGATGTCATGTAAAGGCTGCAAAGATAATCACATATCTTCATATGATATCCATCTGTTAAAAATCAAGCATCCAAAGTAGAAATCGAACCGTGCCATAGGCTACATGACCCGTCAAATAATTTCCTCGAAGAAAAGATATATCAGCCCCATTTTACCACAATATGCAAGAAAACATAAAGATCTGAAGAGATGGTGGCAATCATTCGAAAAATCATTAATAAAACCAGGAAAATATTTACATCCCACTGAGAGAAGCACATGACATCCGACACAGAGCCTTAAAAAAAAAATTCCCGCTAAAAGCTGAGCAACATGAAAAAAATGATACCCGGGAGTTGGTCAGGAGACACAGGGGAAGCCCATCGAGCTGCGATCGGCGAAGCGGAAACCAACAAGCCCTAGGAACCAAAAAGGTACCCCCCCTGGGTATCTCCGGCAGGACCAGAATGACGAAACATCAAACACCTTGGCCGGCCACAAAGCAGCTGGAAGACCACCCCGCAGAAGGCGGACGACCGGATCGGAGCTCCGAAATCGCACCGCCCCGAGGAGGAGATGGGGAAGAGGACAACGAGGAGAGGGATCCTGGCCCAGAGCGACGAACACGGATCGAGGGTTTGCAAGGGGTTTCTGTCTCTTCTCCGCGTTTCTGTTTTGTACTATTTATTCCTAGTTTTTAATTTTTCCTCTGCGCCATGTCAGCTCTTCCCGCTGTCCGAAATCCGTGGACTTTTTGTTTACAATTCCAAATTTTATTTATATTTCATTTATACGCCATTCACCCACAAAGTAGCCTCAAACCTAACACGCCAACCAGAGAGTTTTGTCCTTAACCCTTGTAAATAATTATATTTCACATATGCTCCTTTTCCTCCGGCAATCAAAGGTTCCGTCAACAACCCGTCTCTTCCCCCGGGCGGAGCCTTCGGAATATTTTGCCCATTAACAATTATCTCCCTAAGAGTATTTAAATTTTACATATATCCCCCTGACAACCTACGTTTAAATCATCGTAAAATTTATTTATTAATTTAGACCCTTTGACTTTTTGAAATTAATTTTCTTAAAAATCCTCGTCGTGGTATATTTATTAAAAATCCTAAAAAAAATTAAATTAAGGCCGCGAAATAATAATTCTTCCTCTTCCCCGTCTCATGCCTCCGTCGCTGTGAGAAATAGCAGATTTATTTGCATTCTGCTCCCGTGGAAAACTTTAATTATTTATTGGGACCCGAATTTTTTTAATAGAATTTGAGTTAGTCCTTACGACTGGAAAAATAAAATTTAGCCTAAAATAATTAGTTTAAAATTAATATTTTAATTTTGAATGTCAGATCTTCGTTCTTACGATGTTGAAAAATATAATCATTTATAGGGTGATTTTGTAGCTGAATAAACTCGTAGGGTCTGTACTATACTCTTATAGACTTCACGCTTGGCCCGCCATGTCGGCCCAGAGCAGGAAGGTCCACGTGTCGTTAATTAGTCAACGTTCTTGTCACCTTCCGGGGACGCGAATGACGTTATTGTCCCCCGTCTCTTTTGACCGTGCTTCACGTCCCTCTCTTGACCACGCTCTCTCTCTCTCTCTCCCCCGTGAGAGAAGCAAACCTTCTCTTTCCCTCTCTATCCGTATCTCTCTCCCCCGTGAAAGAAGCAAACCTTCTCTCTTTCCCTCTCTATCCGTCTCTCCCTCCCCCGTGAGAGCAGAAAACCTTCTTTCTCTTTCTATCCGTCTCTCTCTCCCTGTGAGAGAAGAAAACCTTCTCCTTTCTCCCTCTCTATCGTCTCTCTCTCCCCACCGCGTGAGAACCAAACCCTTCGTGTTATTCTAATTTATAAAGATAATTAGTAGTTCCCTATCTTATATGTGGTAGGTTATTGAAGAAATTAATTATCAGTATTTAATCTAATTTAACATTTTAAAATTTAAAATTTAATGATTTAAATACTGAAATATAGAATTTGTATGTATTTTATATCTGATTTATCTATTTTCTGGATGGCATATTTAATAATGATCATTCAAAAAATATATTTAAATATGATTAAATGGAAATTTAAATATGATTATTATATAATTTAACGAATTTTTGTTATCCCATTTTCCGTAAAATGGATTCAAACCTGATTAAATAATATTTTAAAATGAAAACTAACCAAAAAACCTAAAAAACACATAGAATTATTAAATAGAAAATAGATTAAAGCAGAAAAAGTACTGATAAATACGAATAAAAAACATTAATTCAGAAAATAATCATTTAACACGGTTAGATTTTAAAAATGTTAAATAATTTGTACTAAAAAAATGGATTCAATTAGACAAGTGAGTGTCTACTGAATAAAAAATCAACAAAATTATAACTTTTAATTTTAAACATGTTTCACTAATTTGATTTCCTAGTAATATATGCCAATCATAAATAACTATTGATAATAAATGCATTTAAGTTTAAAATATTGGGTCATATAATTTTAAAAATAAAAAAATAATTTGGTGAATAGTAGAGTGATCATCTATGAGTATTGGAGCATCATAAAATAGGCAAGGAGACCATTCACATCTACTATAGACAATCTTCATTGGGGTCATCCATTGTTATTATACTACTAAAATACAATTTTAATATTTAAATTCTCACTCCCAACAGCATATGGCTAGCTGCGATATGAAATAACTTATTCATTAATAGTAATTTTGCGTGATTTAATACACACCAAGACGATAAGACAAATTTTTGGCTGCCTCTAGATCAACAAGGATTATGGAGGTGAATCCATTCAGAGTACATTGGAGTTTGACCCAATAACTAAATAGCCTAAGGTAAACATGTTGTTCATATAGAGCCTATAATAGGAAAAAAGTCTTAATTTGAGATGATTTGGGCCAATCATTAGTAAAGCGAACAAGTTGTTAAGTACCACAGGTGACATAGGGAAAACCTGATTAAAGGAAGATTTGATCTAGTTGAGAACAACCCAAATCATGTGGGGTTGAAACCATGCCCTTAAATACTCAAAACATATGATTTCGCTGGACGTTATATCATCCATAATCCACATAAAAGAAGAGAAAGCTTGGCCCTTGAATCCACGAGGAGTTGATTGACTTCTCGTAGAAGAAGAAGAGAACTTAAAAATGATTAATAGAATTCATAGCCTTCATTGACTTCTCTTGGCCTGCAAAGAGTGAGTTTAAATAGATGAAAATAAATTATTTGGGCATTTAAAATTATAATTTTAAATGAATTTAAAAATGATTAAAATAGAGGAATGAAAATAAAAATAGGAAAACTGAATTTGGAAACATTTATGATGCGTACTAAACTCTTAATGCGCCATCTAGAGCTGAATTTGGGTTATTTGCTTGTATCCATCACACATCCTGTACCTTTGGTCCGTCTGGGCTGAGTTGAAACTGGGCTGCATCATGTGGGTCTACTGTCCGCAAACCTTGCAATGAGGTTCGCCAGTCCTGAGTACGAGCTACCCCCGGCGATCATCGATCTAACGGTTTCCTCCTTCACCTTCGCTGCCGCCGCCGCGACGGCTGCGCTCGCCATGAGCCCCCTGAGCCGCCGGCCGATCTCCTCCCCTTGAACCAGCACCCCTTCCCCTTGCCAGCTCCACTCCTTGGGCCACTCCCCTAGGCCGCTCTTCTCCATCACGCCGGCGTTCATCCGTTGGTCGCCGTGCTGCGGCCAGGCCAGCACCCGTATCCCCCGCAGCGCCGCCTCCGTCACCGAGTTCCACCCGCAGTGGCTGACGAATCCCCCCACGGCGGGGTGGGCGAGGATGGCCCCCTGGTCTACCCACCCCTTCACCACCCTCCCCCTCCCCTCCACCCGCCGGAGGAACCCATCTCCGAACAGCTCCTCCATGGCCTGCTCCTCTTGCTCCTCCTGCTCCTCCTTGTCGAGTTTCTTCGTCTTCACGACCCACAGGAACCGGCAGCCGCTGCTCTCTAGGCCCCCGGCCATCTCCCGCGTCTGCTCCGGCGACAGCGCCGTGCGGCTGCCGAAGCTCACGTAGACGACGGAGCCAGTCGGCTGGCCGTCGAGCCACGCGAGCGAGTCGTCGCCGCCGCCCCCGGCGGAGTTGGATTGGGAGTGCTCCGGGAGGATCGGGCCGATGGCGACCACCGGCGGGAGGCCGGGGACTACCTTGCCGGTGTTGAGCGCCGCCAGAGTGGCCGGCTCGAGGGCCTCCCAGGTGTTGATGACGATACCATCTGCATGGACCATCACCTTCCCATTCTCTACGAACTGGGTCGTGAAGAGATTCCCCGGGTCACGGAGCGGCTGGGGGATGGAGCGCAGGGGGAGATCCTCCGCGAGCCCGGGGATCTTCAAGATCGCCGGCAGGGAGGCGGCGGAGATTTGCGGGAAGGAGACGCATAGGGAGAGCATCTGGGCGGAGGAGGTGAAGAGGACGTAGGTTGGAAGGGGGATGGCGGCGGCGACGGGGAGCACGGCGGAGATGAGGGTGACGTCGCAGACGAGGGCTGACAGTCTAGGAGCGGCGGAGGAGAGGATTGGGCCGAGGAGGGAGGCGGAGCGGCGGATGGCCTCGAACTGGAGGAAGAAGGGGTCGGTGGAGGCCGCGGTGGAGGAGTCGAAGGGGAGGAGGGGGAACTCCAGCGGCCGTATGCCGGCGGAGGAGGCGATTAACTCAGCGACATGACGGGCCTCGGCGGCAGAGACCAGCGGCGTGGGCGTGATGAAGGTGACGCCGCAGCCGCGCAAGGCCAACTCGGCGGCGAGGCGGATGAACGGGGTGAGGTGGCCCATGCCGGCGCTCGGTAGCAGGGCCACTTGGGGAGCTGCCGCCACCTCGCCGGAGACCACTACCGCCGCCGCCGGGGGAGACATTGAACCTAACTCGGAGACTGGAAGGTAGGTAGCTCACCTCCCCCATTTGAAGATCCTGGCGGAGGTGAGCTCACCTTAGCATCACGGTGGGACCCACTTCATGCATTACGATAAATTTCGATAAATTAAAAGAAATATTTTAAGACGAAAAATGAATTTCACGGTCGAAAGATTTTTCTGTCGCGATGGTCCAAGTGCAACCTCTGCGCGACTTTCCGCCGTCAGATGTGGTGAGTGAATCTCGACCGTCCAAGTCACCGACTTCAAATTGCACGTGGCATCCATATTCCGCTCGTGTTCCTCATTCAGCCAGAGCATATTTTGTTCAGCAGCCACCAATGGGGATGGATTCTTTGTGAATTCTTATTTTGTCTTGCAGTAGATATATTGATATTGATTCTCTCACAACTCTCTCTTTCTCTCTCTCTCTCTCTCTCTCTCTCTCTCTCAACTGGGGTTCTTTCAAGGCTCTCTTTTCACCACTAAAAACATCAAGACTATCTATGTTAGTTTGTCCCTCACTTGGTTAATTCTAGTCCAAGATCCTTCATACTGGAGTTTACTAGTTCTCTCATAAATATGCATTGATTATCATGAGATTAACCACTTAATCACACAAGTTCTATCTTCTCAGAGGCTTCACCTTTTAATGGCTCAACCATGTTACTAGCACCTCGTGCTTTTTCCCAAATACCTCTCCCCTCACCATCAAGATACATTCAGCCGTGATGGAGAGTGTCAACCTTTGAGATGGATGTTACTTGGATCACCAAAGTCGAATGAAAATTATATGCATCATTCTATATTTCATTGCAGCTCATAGTGATTGAATATTGAGAAGGATGCATAGATAATCATTTGAGAGATCTCCATTGTCTTCTCAAGTTTTTTCATTCGTAGTCCTCATTCTCTAGTTGTTTTTTATTTTGAAAAGTGGTCAACCAGTTTTAAAAATCGTAATGTTGTCCCAAATACACGACAATGACCTTTGTCTTTTTTATGATTTGAAACTCTTTATTATCGTCTGTTTAATTTGAAATTTAAATTGAAGATTCATCTTTTGTCAACATTTTTTTTTCTCTTGAGGTGAAGTCTAGATAAATATGTTTGATCTGTCGGCGTCTCCACATGAGTTGATGATGTGTCACCATCTAGATTCCAAGTTTGAGACTCATGCCTGACTTTGAGATTTCGTCAAGTTCTAAATATTTCATCACATGAGTTGATATTAAACTTTTTGAACTTATGTATAGAATCTATGATGCTACATTTTGAGGTTAGTTTCAACAAATAAGAAAAATTAATTAATCTCAAAGATTAACTCTTTAGAATTGTGGCTTACATGTGACTTTGATTTTCATGAGTTTCTAAATATTTCCTCACATGAGTTGACATTAAACTTTTTATATTTATGTCTAGAATCTAGGATGTATTTTGAAGTTAGTTTCAGCATATATAAAAAAATAATTAATCTCAATGATTAACTCGTTGAATTTACTTATTAAATATAGGATCACGATATCATTAAATCTTATATATATATATATATATGTTAAATTCATATTTAACACAAACTCTTATTATATATAAAATTTAATAAATATTCAATAAATAATTTTTCATATTGTAATATCAAAACTAAGGGCATCAACAAGATATAGTGTGGGAGAGATAAATCAACTTCTCCATAAAATGTTGATACCTCAATATACCTATAAGACTACTCTTTTCTACATCATTGAGTTTATGATTCAAATCTATCAGAGTACTCATATGTTTACAACATAATGTTTAAGTGTCCTTGAAGAGGTCAACAATATATTTCTTTTGATAAGATAAAATCTTTTTCTTAAACTAGGTTACGTCAATGCTAAGGAAATATTTCAACTTTACTAATATGTCTATATCAAATTCGTTTTTCAAACACTCACTAAAATATTTTTTATTCTCATTATTTCATGTAACTATTATATCATCCACATAGACGAGAAGAGTTATAGTTCCTCATGAAGGTGGATGTTTAAGAAACAAGGTGTGTTATCTATTACTAGGTTTATATCTTACCTCTCTCACCACTTTTGAAAATATCTCAATCCATACTCTTGAAGAGTGATTGCTTAAGTCTATATAAAACCCTCTTTAATTTACATATAATGTCTTGCTTAGAGCTGATTTCATATTCTTGTAGAACATTCATAGGTACGTACTAAGGAGAGTAAGATTAAGATGATATCCATTGTATATTTGATATGGTTGGGTATAAGACCATTAGGCCTAACTTATAATTGTGAGAGAAAATAGGCCGAGTACTAGACAGAGGAGGGTCAGCCCACAAGCATATCTAGTAATGTGTCGATGAGACATCATGTATAAAAGAAGATTGAAAAGAGGAAAAAGCCCCCCCCATAAAAAGATTAAGATTAACCAATTGAGAGTCAATGGTCTCTCAGACAACACCTTCATACACTTTGGATTTTTGTGCCCTCATCAATTTGATCTTCCCTTCTTCCAACAATTTATTTTTCCTTTTACATTCAAGATTGTTGCAACTTAATATTAGAGCCACCATGGTGCCAAGGGGAACAACAATCATTTGGAGGTGAGGAGGAGGCCTGAGTGTCATATATTAACGTGTTGAATAGATGGAAGATAACCTCAGCCACCTTCTCAACCAACTAATACTATGGATGGATCGAATGGAGACCAAGTTCATTTTTTCTGACAAGGGGGAGATAGAAGTATGCACTAATGTGACTAGGCGCGACATCAAGACCAGAAGCACCAATCACAAAAGTTAAAACAATGACTCACTTGAAAATTCCCATCTTCAACAAAAAGGATATTTGGCATAATGGATGTTTCATTTGGAGTTTTATTTCAGGATGTATAGAGCTATAGAAGTTGACAAGATTCTAATGGGAATCATGAAAATGAGTGGATAAAGCTTATCATGGTACTTGTGGACGTTGGAGTTGTTTCTACTCAAGGGCTGTGAATTTCGGAATTCAATTGATACAACATTTATAGAGCACTACTTCATGTAATGTTTACTAGTAGTCCCTCAGTATTAAGCAAAAATAGACTATAAGTGAGTACGATAAATAGTTTGAAGTACTTTCAACCTTTATTTCAAACATTCCAGCACCCATACTAGAGAACACATTTCTCAATGGGTTAAGAGAAGATTTTATAGCTGAAGTTAAAATATTCATGCCAAACTATCTTTGAGACTAATGAACCTAACTCAAATGACAGAGGAGTGTGTATCCTAACAATGGGATGCATGTAGGTCAGAGACATTGCGAGTGACAATATAGATCCATATTAATAATTATATTTCACACGATCCTTTTCTTGTGAAAGTAAAAGGTTATGTCAACAACATGTATCTTCCTAATGGTCCTTCCAACCTTCTGAATATTTGAGTCTTCACAATCGACTCCCTAAAATTATCTAAGTTTCACATATATCCACATGACTACTTACATTTAAACTTTCCTAAATTTCCTTCATTAGTTTAAACCCTATAATTTTTTTTAAAAATAATTAATCAGATGTATGATTCTTTTTATATCATCCACCAGGTCAATTGAATTCCTCTCTCCACGTTGTCATAGTATAATTATTAAAAAAATCCTAAAAAATGTTCTTAGTTAATTAAAGTCACAAACTACTTAGTCTTTATCCTCTTGAGCTCAAGTCTCTATCACTATGCAAAATAGTAGATTTTTTGCATTTTTCTTTAGTGGAAAATCTTAATATTTTTTGTGTTCTAGAAACATTTAGCATCCTATTAGAGTTAGTCATTATGAATAAAATAATAACATTTATCCATAAAGTAATTTTATTTTAAGAACTATACCAGGTTTTCCTATTTCCGATTAAACAATATAACCTTTTATAGGGTGATTTTTGGGTAAATAAACTCATATGGTCTCTACTATACACATGATCTTGAGGCTTGGCCCGCCATCTCCTTCTAGAAGGTCCACATGTCATCAATTTAGTTAATGTTCTTGTTGCCTTCCGGTGACACAAATGATGTTATTGTCCCTCTTGTCTCCTTTGACCATGCCATGCTTCCCACCTCTCTCTCTCTCTCTCTCTCTCTCTCTCTCTCTCTCTCTTTCTCTCCTTATCTGTCCATCTCATCCTATCCAAGATTAGCCTAAACCTTCTAATGACATTAAACTTCTAATAACAAAATTTTACAATATCCATTTAATATTTTTTCATGTGATGCTCTAATGTAATAGACATACCAAAATAATTTTCCATGAGATGCTCTAATGTAATAGACAAACCAAAATAGAGTTAATCATATGATCTTGTAATGTCTAACATAAGTTCATTTTCTTAGCAGAGTTTTCAGACTTATTAGAATAATTAGTTGTTCCCTATCTTAAATGTGGTAAGTTATCAAACATATTATTTATCAGTATTTAATGTAATTAAAGTTTTTGAATTTTATTTTTATGATTTTAATGGTGAAAATAATTTTATTGTATATTTATATCTATTGAATGATTTTTTTTCTGGCATGCATATTTAATATTTCTCATTTGAAAATTTTATTTATTTTTAGGAATTTCGTTAGAGCAGATTAAATACAAGTTATTATATAATTTATCTATGAGTAAATTGGTGAATGTATCCATTAGTTACTAGGGATCTTTTTACTATCAAGATGGTTTTATCGTGCGACTAGAAAAATATTCGTCCCTGTTAAACACCTTAGGGCTCAATCCCTATAGTGACAAGTAAACATTGGGGATGTATCCCTAAAAAGGGTAGTCTTTGGGGGCAGAAGCTAATTAACTCATTTAAAAATATGTGCTGTAAAATGTGATTAATTTAAAACTTCCAGCTAACCAAAAATAATAGTAGCACATTAATGTTTTTGATAGTGTCACCAATGACAAATAGATTGAATTACATAGAGTACTGCTGAATATGAAGAATATATTAATTAATTCATAAAATAACTATTAAATACGTTTAATTTTTAAATGTTTTGAAATAATGTGCACCCTAAACCCTAAAAATGGATTCAACTAGACAAATAAGTGGCTAATGAATAAAAAACCTATAAGATTATAATTTTTTATAATAAACGTTTTTCACTAATTTGATTTCCAAGTTATATATACTCCAATCATAAATAACTTTTGACAAGAAATGCATTTAATTTGAGAATACCTGATTGTAAAATTTTAAGAATAAAAAATAAATTTGATGAATAATAGAGTGATCATGATGACCAAGTAATAGTTCTTGTTCCATGAGTTTTGGGGCATCATAAAATAAGCAACGGAGAGCATGCATGCCTATTGTGGAAGATCTTCATTGAGGCCATCGATTGCTACTATACTCCTAAAATACGATCTTACTATTTAAAGTTTCACTCCCAACACCATTAGACCAGCTGTTACATGAAAGAACTTGTTCATTAATAGTAATTTTATGAGATGTAATGCACACCAAAAAGATAACATAATTTTTCAGTCATCTTCAGATCAACAGAAATTAGGAATGCAAATCCATTCAAAGTGGATTAGAGTTTGACTCAAGAAGTAGTCCGCCCAAGGTCAACAAGTTGTACATTGAATGCATATATTAGGAAAAAGCCTTCATTTGGGATGATTTGGGTCAATCATCATAAAAAACCATGAGTTATTAAGTATCACAAGTGACACATGAAAACTTGATGAAAAGATGATTTGATCCAGTTGAGAAGAACCCAAATCGTGTGGGGTTGAAATCATGTCCTTAAATACTGAAAAAACATGATTTTTGTTGAAGTTATCTCATCTAGAATCCATAGAAAGAAGAAAACTCTGACACGATAAAATAAGGGTTCCTTAAGTCCACAGAGATGGTAGAGTCCACCAGTAAAAGAGATAACCTAAAAAATGAATAATCTAATTCATAATATTTATTGGCTTCTCTTCGTCCACAAAGAGTCACTTTAAATAGCTCACAATCAATTATTTGGGCACTTAAAATTTAAAGTTCAAATAAATTTCGAAATGAATAAAATAGAAAAAGGAAAATAAAAAAGGGAAAACTAAATTTGGACACATTTAAGATGCATCCTAAATTTAGGTTATTAGCTTGCATCCATCACACATCCTGTACCTTCGGTCCGTCTGGGCTGAGTTGAAACTGGGCTGCATCATGTGGGTCTACTGTCCGCAAACCTTGCAATGAGGTTCGCCAGTCCTGAGTACGAGCTACCCCCGGCGATCTTCGATCTAACGGTTTCCTCCTTCACCTTCGCTGCCGCCGCCGCGACGGCTGCGCTCGCCATGAGCCCCCTGAGCCGCCGGCCGATCTCCTCCCCTTGAACCAGCACCCCTTCCCCTTGCCAGCTCCACTCCTTGGGCCACTCCCCTAGGCCGCTCTTCTCCATCACGCCGGCGTTCATCCGTTGGTCGCCGTGCTGCGGCCAGGCCAGCACCCGTATCCCCCGCAGCGCCGCCTCCGTCACCGAGTTCCACCCGCAGTGGCTGACGAATCCCCCCACGGCGGGGTGGGCGAGGATGGCCCCCTGGTCTACCCACCCCTTCACCACCCTCCCCCTCCCCTCCACCCGCCGGAGGAACCCATCTCCGAACAGCTCCTCCATGGCCTGCTCCTCTTGCTCCTCCTGCTCCTCCTTGTCGAGTTTCTTCGTCTTCACGACCCACAGGAACCGGCAGCCGCTGCTCTCTAGGCCCCCGGCCATCTCCCGCGTCTGCTCCGGCGACAGCGCCGTGCGGCTGCCGAAGCTCACGTAGACGACGGAACCAGTCGGCTGGCCGTCGAGCCACGCGAGCGAGTCGTCGCCGCCGCCCCCGGCGGAGTTGGATTGGGAGTGCTCCGGGAGGATCGGGCCGATGGCGACCACCGGCGGGAGGCCGGGGACTACCTTGCCGGTGTTGAGCGCCGCCAGAGTGGCCGGCTCGAGGGCCTCCCAGGTGTTGATGACGATACCATCTGCATGGACCATCACCTTCCCATTCTCTACGAACTGGGTCGTGAAGAGATTCCCCGGGTCGCGGAGCGGCTGGGGGATGGAGCGCAGGGGGAGATCCTCCGCGAGCCCGGGGATCTTCAAGATCGCCGGCAGGGAGGCGCCGGCGATTTGCGGGAAGGAGACGCATAGGGAGAGCATCTGGGCGGAGGAGGTGAAGAGGACGTAGGTTGGAAGGGGGACGGCGGCGGCGACGGGGAGCACGGCGGAGGTGAGGGTGACATCGCAGATGAGCGCTGACAGTCGAGGAGCGGCGGAGGAGAGGAGCGGCCCGAGGAGTGCGGCGGAGCGGCGGATGGCCTCGAACTGGAGGAAGAAGGGGTCGGTGGAGGCCGCGGTGGAGGAATCGAAGGGGAGGAGGGGGAACTCCAGCGGCCGTATGCCGGCGGAGGAGGCGACTAAGTCGGCGACATGGCGGGCCTCGGCGCCGGAGATCACCGGCGTGGGCGTGATGAAAGTGACGCCACAGCCGCGCGAGGCCAGTTCGGCGGCGAGGCGGATGAACGGGATGAGGTGGCCCATGCCGGAGCTCGGTAGCAGGGCCACTTGGGGAGCTGCCGCCACCTCGCCGGAGACCACTACCGCCGCCGGCCGAGACATGGATCCGAATTCGGAGACTGGAAGGTAGGGGGATCTGCGGGAGGGGAGGGGGGCCGTGGTGGTACGCTGCCAGAGGAGTTACCTCCACGATTGGAATCGCCCGGTGGAGGTGAGGTCACCGACGCGAGCCGCAATCACTACGAAGGGACCCACCTCGTCCATTTCGTATCGATTTTTTTGTGAAAATTATGACCATTTTGGCTTCGTTCCAGGTTGGGAATTTCGGGAAATTAAAAAATATTATTTTATGACGAAAATTGAATTTCACGGTCGAAAGATTTTTCTGTCGCGATGGTCCCACTGCAACCTCTGCGTGACTTTTCCGCCGTCAGATTTCGTCATTGAATCCCCACCGTCCAAGTCACAAGGCTCAGATCGCACGGGGCTCTACTCCGCTCGAGCTCATATGGCCAGAGTTCATCGTTTTCCCCCGCATCAACCAACGGCCTTCGTGCACGTATTAAAGTGACCGAGTTTCTAGAAGAGGCGTCGATTGTTCTAGAAGTCGACCCCATCACCCTGCTTCTTCACGATACCTACCGTACATACCTTCCACTCTGCTAGTATCGGTCTACATTATTATTATTATTATTATTATTATTATTATTATTATCATGAAGGCAAATATTATGCAATAAAAGGGAGGAAAATAGCTTAAATGCCTTGTTATTCTTTGACGATTGAGAAGGGAAGGGCGATGTATTCTATTACTTTCCAGTGTCCTTGAAGAGGTCAATTATATATTCTATTGATAAATAAAACTTATTTTCTTAGAGTATGCTACCTCAAAGCCAATGAAATATTTAAACTTTATTATTCTTACTCAAATTATTTTATTAAAAACTTACTCAAATATTCTTTTCATTCTCATGATTTCTTGTCATTATTATTTCATCCACATAAATGAGATGATTTGTAATTTCTTATGATGGTGAATGTTTAACAACCAATGTTTTACTCTATTAATAGCTTTATATCAGATCTCTCTCATCACTTTTTCAAACCTCTGAAACCATGCTTTTGGTGATTGCTTGAGTCCATATAAAATCATGCTTAATTTATTAATACCCTTGGTTTTAATGCTACAATAGTAAATTTATTTATTGAATACTTATTGAATATTCATCGAACTTTGTGAGAGCCTATGTAAAGGTTTAATATTTCTAAGAAGTATTCAATATGTATAATTTTAATGCTCTCATTATTCCATGGCTAACAGACAAATCCTTGAGACCTTTATATATTGAAACTAATGCAGCATTCTATAGTATGTATAAAAGTATAGAAAATTAAGTGAGAACTCACCTAATAGAGCATCTAAAAAGTTATCAAAATATCAAAGTGATTGACAAATATATAAGTTAGAATTTGGACAATGATAAGTTGGAAGCTTTGACGAAGAAACACCTAGAAATTCACAAGATATCAAGTAAGAGTGTCAAAATTGCTTGTAAAACTCAAACCTTGACTCTAGACAATGACAAGCCCGAAACTTTGGTGAGAAGATATCTGAAAAATCATTAAAAGGAAGAGATCATCATCACATAATTTGGATGGTGACACATTCACAGATTACATGGAGATAATGATGGATGAAACAAACTTATTTAGACTTGACCTCAACAAAATTTTGTTCATTGACAAGAATCACATCTTCAATTAAAACTTGAAGTAAAACAGACAAGAAAATATATAGCTTTGAATCACGAGGCAAACATAGTTGGTGCATATTTTAGACAGCTAGAGGATTTTTGAAATTGTGTAACTATTTTTTAAGATAAGAAATGACTAGAGAGTATTAAAGATAAAATGAAAAAGCTTGTGAAGAGAATAGAACTAATTCCATTGTCTATCTATATTCTAACGAATATCCGTTACTCTTTAAAAAGGTTTAGCCATCATGATCTTCGATAAAGAACATAATAATACATCACATATATTGACCCACCTCTCTTGACCATGCCATGCTTCTGACCCACCTCTCTTGACCTCTCTCTCTCTCTTCTCTCTCTCTCTCTCTCTCTCTCTCTCTCTCTCTCTCTCTCTCTCTCCCCCCCCCCCCCCTAGGCCAAGTGTTCATGGGCCTTCTAGTTTTGTCTCTCTCTCCCCATCTATCCCGTCTTATCTCATTTGAGATGGTCCAAATCTTCTGATCACATTAATCCGCTGAGAAGAACATTTTACAATACCTATTTAATAATTTAACATGACATGCTCAAATGATAATGGATAGATCAAAATAGATTAAATTTTATGATCTTGAAATGTCTAACATAATTTCATTTTCTCAATTGGATTTTCGAATTTATTAGAATCATTACTAGTTCCTTACCTAAAATGTGGCATGTTCCCAAAAATATTAGTCATCAACTTTTAATCTAATTAAAAGAATCTAATTTAATTTTCTCTGATTTTAACATAAGAATTTTTTGTATATTTTATATCTCATTGAATGATTTTTTCAAGTGGGCATATTTAATAGTGCTCGTTCAACCTTTTATTTATTTTAGGAATTTAATTAGTGCAGATTAAATCTGGGTTATTATATAATTTAATGAATACTTATTATTCTGTATACATCAATTGGTGAATATATCCTTTACTTTCTTGGTACCCTTTTACCGTTAAGATGGTATTTTAGTCGGCTAGAAGAATATTTGCCCCCCCCCCAAAACCCCTTGGGCTAATTTCTGAGGTTTCCAAGGACCATCAATTATGTTTTTACAACAGTGCACTCTCCCTCAGCCTGTCCTATAGAGTCTGTTTTCTATGTTCGTGGTTCAGTATTCTGGTGTGCGAGGCAAAGAGTAACAAGACAAATCTATCCGCAACTATGTGGTTGAAGCATAATACTTCTATTCAGACAGAAAAAAAAAAAGAAACGTTGTCCAATTAGTTGAAAGGAAAGGCATGCAATATCAATGCCAAGCTACTTCTACAACAAGATAAGACATCCATTCATGCTGGAGAGGAGTACATTTCATTAAACATTCAGAAAGCAAAACTGTTTATCAGAGGTGAAGGAAAATGAATTACAATCAAGAAGGATAGACTCTAAAAATAACAATGGGGGAACTCTCTGCTGCCTGCCTGGTTTCCTCTGATCTAAGTAAACTGTTTGCTTTCTGGCAATGAGCTAGCTTACCCCTGATTGCTTAAGGCTAGAAATGAGGATCTTATTACAACGAGGATGCTAGAAAAAAGCTGTTAAGATGATTGAAAAAATTAAACATCGAGAACGCAACATTCATAACAAGAATTGCGTAGATCTACAGGAGAATGAAAGAAGCTACGTCAGCACTCCAGTCGTACTCCATTCTACCCATTGGTCTGTCCAGGAAGGACTGCTCGGTTCAAATTCGCTGCCGTCTCAGTGGATCTGTTGTGCTTTATATGTTGTAATCTGTTCAAGTTCCTGCCTTATGGACAAGGTATGTTTAGTGGGGTTACTCTGACTTCAACGAAAGCTCGTATTCAGATAACCTTGCCCGAGTTGACCGCCGCCAGAGTGACCTGCTCGAGGGCCTCCCAGGTGTTGATGACGATCCCGTCTGCATGGGGCATCACCTTCCCGTTCTCCACGAGCTGAGTCGTGAAGAGATTCCCCGGGTCGCGGAGCGGCCGCTGGACAGAGCGCAGGGGGAGATCCTCCGCTAGCCCAGGTCGGGGACCTTTAAGGTCGCCGGCAGGGAGGCGCCGGCGATTTGCGGGAAGGAGACGCATAGGGAGAACATCTGGGCGGAGGAGGTGAAGAGGACGTAGGTTGGAAGGGGGACGGCGGCGGCGACGGGGAGCACGGCGGAGATGAGGCTGAGCGCAGACAGTCGAGGAGCGGCGGAGGAGAGGAGCGGCCCGAGTGCGGCGTGGCGGCGGATGGGCTCGAACTGGAGGAAGAAGCGGTCGGTGGAGGCCGCGGAGTCAAAGGGGAGCAGGGGGAACTCCAGGGGACGTGTCGGCGGAGGAGTCGATTAAGTGATACGGTTGGCCAGCGGGATCTGGTTGGCGGTCGGTGTATGCTTTCAAACTGCTTGTGGGTCCGGTTGGCCAGTGGTCACTTGATGTGATTCTAACCCACTAGTGGGCTTGGCTGGGTAGCGAGTCCCTTCTTTCTATATATATATATATATATATATATATATATATATATATATATATATATATATATATATATATATATATATATATATATATATATATATATATTTTTTTATCTACAAAATATGAGTATAAAAATTATATTAATTTACATAAAATCAGATAATTAGTTAAAAAATCATATTAATCAACTAAAAATATTTTTTTATCAATTTTATATAAATATAAGTTTATTTATCATGATTTAAAACTTAAAATATATTATTCATAAATTATTAATTCATAATAATGAAGACTTATCACTAACTCAAATGATAGAATAATATATATCCAGATAATATAATGTATGTGACTTAAGAAAACTAGAAGAGATGACATAAATTTACTCTAAATAATTATATTTCACATATATTCCTTTTCTTGTGACAGTCAAAGGTTCCATCAATAACCCATCTCTTCCTTAAGATGGTTCCTTCAACCTTCAAAATATTTGACCATTGCTAGTTGACTCCTTAAGAGTATTTATTTTTCCCTTATATCTACCTAGCAACTTTATTTAAACTATCCAACAATTCAATAACTAATTTAAACCCTTTTTTTAAAAAAAATAGTTAATTAGATATATGATTTTTTATATATCTTCCATTAGGCCAATTGAATTCATGTCTCTGCCTCATTGTGGTATATTACTCAAAAATCCTTAAAAACGTTTTGAGTTAGTTAAACTCACAAAGTACTTATTCTTCATCTTCTTCAACTATGTCTTTATCACTATGTGAAATAATAAATTTTTGGCAATTTACATCTTAGGAAAATTTAATCTTTTTTATGTTGTGGAAACTTTTCTCATACAATTAGATTTAGTCCTTACTAGTAAAAGTATAAAATTTAGCCATAGAATAATTTTATATTAACAAAATATTATTTAAGCTTTGAATGCCAAGTATTCCTATTTATGATGATAAAAAATATAACATTTTGCAGGATGATTTTGTAGCTACATAAACTCATAGGGTCTCTACAATACACTCACAATCTTCACCCTTGTCCCAGCATCTCCTCCTAGAAGCTCCACATCTTGTCAATCAATCAATGTTCTTGTTGGCTTCCAATGAAGCAAATGATGTTATTGCCCCTCATATCTCTCTCTTTTGACTGTGCCATGCTTCCCTCCCATCTCTCTTGACCACTCTCTCTCTCTCTCTCTCCCCCCCCCCCCTGTGAGAAGAAAACCTTCTCCCTTTCTTTCTCTATCCATATTTCTCTCTCTCTCCCTCCCTCCCTCCCCCCTTGGGCTGAGTGTTATTGAGCTTTCTAGTTCTGTCCTTCTCTCTACCCATTTGTCCCTTTCATCTCATTTGAGACTGGCATAGACCTTTTGATCACATTAAGATATTGAGAAGAAAATTTTACAATGCCTATTTAATATTTTTCTGTGAGATGCTCTAGTAATAATAGACAAACCAAAAAATAGAATGAATCATATGATCTTGAAAGAAATAAGTTCATCTTTATAGTAGAATTTCTTAGACTAATTAGTAATTCCCTACCTTAAATGTGGTAAATTATTGAACATATTTCTTATCGGTATTTAAACTAATTAAAAAGTTCGAATTTAACTCTTTTTTATCATTTTAACAATTAAATCAACATTTTTTGTATATTTTATATCTAATTGAATGATTATTTTCTGACAAGCATATTTAATATTGCTCGTTAGAAAATTTTATTCATTATAGGAATTTAATTAGTGCAGATTAAATATGGTTTATGTTATAATTTAACGAATATTTATTATATGTATATGTCTATTGGTGAATGTATCCCTTAGTTACTTTGTATCCTTTATTATGGTCAACTAGAAGAATATTTGTTCCCACACTAAACCCCTTGGGGCTAAAACCTGAGGTTTCCAAGGAGCTGTACCGACGTGTTTAAACATTGGGGACGTATCCCTAAAAAGGGTACTTTTTGGGGAAAGAAAACTAATTAACCCATTTAAAAAGACTCTTTAAAGCTTTCAACTAACCAAAATTAATCATAACACACTAAAGTTTTATGATAGTGTGTCCAATTAAAAAGAACTACTAAATAATTCTGAAAATACGTTAATTAATTCAAAAAATAACTACTAAATACGTTTAATTTGTTTTAAATGTTAAATATTTTTTTATTTACCCCAAAAATTGATTCAATTAGACAAATGAGTGGCCAATGACTTAAAAAACCTATAAGATCATAAATTTCTTATTTAAAAACATTTTCACTAATTTGACTTCGGAATAATATACTCCAGTCAAGATAACTATTGACCAGAAATGAATTTAATTTTATAATATGCAGTCATAAATTTTAAAAATAAATTTGAGGATTAGCACACTCGTAACGATTACCAAGTAATAGTTCTTGATCCATGAATTTTGGAGCATCATAAAATAGGCAAGGGAGGCCATCAATGTCTACAATGGAAGATCTACATTGGGGCCATCCATTGCTATTATACTGCTAAAATACGATTTTACGATTTATTCATTAATAATGATTTTACGAGATTTAATCTACACGAAAAGATAACTCAAATTTTGGGCCGCCTTCGGATCAGCAGGGATCAGGCAAGCGAATCCATTCAGACTGGATTGGAGTTTGACCCAACACCCGTATCAACGGGCGCCTCCTGGGCCCCGTCAACTGGCCAAACGTCAATGGTCTCATGCAGGATGTACGGTCGAAGGTCAACGGGCCGTACATCGTACGCCAATATCAGGAAAAGACTTCATTTGGGATGATCTGGGCCGATCGCCGGATTATGTAGGTCTGCTCTTCGTGAACCTCGCAATGAGGCTCTCCAGTCCACCGGCGGCCGCCGCCCGAACGGTCTCATCCTTCACCTTCGCAGCAGCGGCGGCTGGGCTCGCCATGAACCTCCTTAGCCGCCGGCCGATCTCCTCCCCTTGAACCAGCACCCTCTCTCCTTCCCAACCCCACTCCATGGGCCATTCTCCGAGGCCGCTCTTCTCCACCACGCCGGCGTTGATCCGCTGGTCGCCCAGCTGGGGCCAGGCCAGCACCCGTATCCCCCGCAGTGCCGCCTCCGTCACCGAGTTCCACCCACAGTGGCTGACGAAGCCCCCCACGGCGGGGTGGGTTAGGATGGCCCCCTGGTCGACCCACCCCTTCACCACCCTCCCCCTCCCCTCCACCCGCCGGAGGAACCCATCTCCGAACAGCTCCTCCATGGCCTGCTCCTCCTGCTCTTCCTTGTCAAGCTTCTTCGTCTTCACGACCCACAGGAACTGGCAACCGCTGCTCTCCAAGCCCGCGGCCAGTTCCCGCGTCTGCTCCGGCGACAGCGCCGTACGGCTGCCGAAGCTCAAGTAGACGACGGAACCAGTCGGCTGGCCGTCGAGCCACGCGAGCGAGTCTTCGTCGCCGCCGCCAGAGTTGGGTTGGGAGTGCTCCGGGAGGAGCGGGCCGATGGCGACCACCGGCGGGAGGCCGGGGACTACCTTGCCGGTGTTGAGCGCCGCCAGAGTGGCCGGCTCGAGGGCCTCCCAGGTGTTGATGACAATGCCGTCTGCATGGGGCATCACCTTCCCGTTCTCCACGAACTGGGTCGTGAAGAGATTCCCCGGGTCACGGAGCGGCCGCGGGATGGAGCGCAGGGGGAGATCCTCCGCTAGCCCGGGGATCTTCAAGATCGCCGGCAGGGAGGCGGCGGCGATTTGCGGGAAGGAGACGCATAGGGAGAGCATCTTGGCGGAGGAGGTGAAGAGGACGTAGGTTGGAAGGGGGACGGCGGCGGCGACGGGGAGCACGGCAGAGATGAGGCTGACGTCGCAGATGAGCGCTGACAGTCGAGGAGCGGCGGAGGAGAGGAGCGGCCCGAGGAGTGCGGCGGAGCGGCGGATGGCCTCGAACTGGAGGAAGAAGGGGTCGGTGGAGGCCGCGGAGGAGGAGTCGAAGGGGAGAAGGGGGAACTCCAGCGGCCGAACGCCGTCGGAGGAGGCGACTAAGTCGGAGACATGGCGGGCCTCGGCGGCGGAGACCACCGGCGTGGGCGTGATGAAAGTGACGCCGCAGCCGCGCGAGGCCAGCGCGGCGGCGAGCCGGAGGAACGGCGTGAGGTGGCCCATGCCAGCGCTTGTTAGCAGGGCCACTTGGGGAGCAGCCGCCGCCGCCGGTGGAGTCATGGATCCGATCTCGGAGTGTGTTGAAGGTGGGGAGCTCTGCGGGAGGACAGGGCGCTGGGGTCGTGACGCGGCCGGTGGAGATACCTCCCTCCCATTTGAAGCGCCCGGTGGAGGTAAGCTCACTGACCCGTCCAATCACCACATGGGACCCGTGTCGCCCATATTTTCATAATATGATAAGTTTCGTAGCTATATTTTTCTGAAAATTATGACCATTTTGGGAATGTTCCGGATTGGAAATCTCGATCAATCTTTAAGACAGGTGGGACAGATATTCACATGCTGTGTAATCTTACCGGCAGCTCTACCTACCTTCTGTGCTGTCAGATTTCCCACCGTCCAATCTTCTGTGCGGATTGGTAATCTGCACCGTCCAATTCACCTACTTCAGACAGGTTTCCGGGCGCCCTGCCCTGATTCCGCTCAGGCCCGGGTCAGATTCATTAGATAACAGCCTGTTGAGTTTGAGCGGACGAGCTTCCTCCACGTTTCTGTTCCCCAGGCCCTCCATCGAGTTTCTAGAACAGTTGGCTGTTGTTCTAGAACCCGAAACTAACTTCATACTTAACCCCAAAACTTTGCGATAATTACCATATTATGGTCACGAAAGGCGAATACAATGCAGTAAAGGGTGCTAGTTTGAGGGGAGGAAATATGTCAAATGACTTGTTGTTATTTGACGAGGAGTGAGAAGGGTTGAAGGGTGGCAAACTCTCTTTATAGAGAGAAAGAGAGAGGTGTTAGGACCAAGGGCGGTAGCAAGCCGGAGACAATGGAGGTGATCTCCTTCTCGTACGCCGTCCCGCTGGTAGTCCTGGCGGCGACCGTCGTCTTCCTGGTCGTTAAGCTCGCTGACCGGCCATTCAATGGGCGTCGGCCACCGGGGCCGGCGGCGCTGCCAATCATCGGGCACCTACATCTGCTCGATCGGAAGGTTCACCAGTCGTTCGACAAGCTCTGTAAGAAGTATGGGCCGGTCATCAGTCTCCGCTTCGGCTCCACCCACGCCATCGTTGTCTCCACTGTGGAGGCGGCGGCGGAGTTCTTCAAGAACCACGACCTGGTCTTCGGGAACCGCCCCCAGTCGCGGGCCTCCCGCCGGTTCGCTTACGACTCCGCCGGCTTTGCGTTCGCGCCCTATGGTGCCTACTGGCGTTTCGTGAAGAAGCTGGCGATAACGGAGCTGCTCAGCGCGCGGACGGTGGAGCAGCTCCTGCCGCTGCGGCGCCAGGAGCTGGTGGACCTCCTGGGAAGGCTACTGCAGGCGGCGGAGCGGAAGGTGAAGGTGGACGTGAGTCACGAGCTGATCAAGATGACCAACAACACAGTCGCGCGCATGGCCACGGGGCGGACCTGCGCGCCGGCGGAGGGGGAGAGCGGAGACCCGGAGGAATCGATGAAGCTGGTGAAGCAGGTGGCGGAGCTGATAGGATCCTTCAACCTTAGCGACCACGTATGGCTGCCCCGAGGGTGGGATCTGCAGGGGTGCAACCGCCGCATCGAGGACGTCCTCCACCGGTACGACACCATGATGGAGAGGATCATCAAGCAGAAGGAGGCGACGCGGGGGGCGAGGAGGGGCGGCGGCGCCACCCTGGATCTACTGGACATCCTTCTCGACTTGTCGGAGAACAAGGGCGCCAACATCAAGCTCACCAGGGAGAACATCAAGGGGATTATTCTGGTTAGCGGCCCTCGCTATATTGCATAGTATGTATAAAGTTTTACTACTACCATATAACACTAAAGCTACTCTTCCGTGCAGGACATCTTAGTGGCGGGATCAGACTCGTCGGCCGTGACGTTGGAGTGGGCGCTGACGGAGCTCATCAACCACCCGGAGATGCTTCAGAAAGCTCGGGAGGAGGTGGACAGGGTGGTCGGCCGGGAGAGACTGGTGGAGGAAGCTGACATCTCCGGGCTCCCCTACGTGCAGGCGGTGATCAGGGAGACCCTCCGTCTCCACCCGGCTGCGGCCTTCGTCTCCCGCGAGTCCCGCAAGGACACCACCATCTATGGCTACAACATCCCCGCAGGGACCAGCCTCTTTGTCAACATCTGGTCCCTGGGGAAGGATCCAAGCCAGTGGGACGACCCGCTGGAGTTCCGCCCGGAGAGGTTCTTCTCCAGTGCTGACGATGGCCAGGAGCTGAAGCAGCAGCAGCTCCGCTCCCTGCCGTTCGGCGGCGGGCGGCGGATCTGCCCCGGGGCTGGGCTGGCACAGCAGGTGGTGCACACGGCTCTGACGGCGCTGTTGCAGTGCTTCGACTGGCAACACGTCGGGAGGCAGGACCTGGAGGAGGGGATTGGGCTTGTCGTTGCCAGGGCTAATCCACTGGTCTGCGTCCCCGTGGCCCGGTCCAATCCAATGCCGGCCAACCGTATGGGATTCTAGGCTGAACTCGTGTAATTTTGCTCGAATAAAGGCCTTTTTCCGCGAAAATCTGTCTAATTTTCCGCGAGTAGAGGCCTTTTTAGGTCAGTTCTTGGAAAAATAATATGCCTATTTCCAAAACCGCATCCACTCCGGCATTCACACCTGGTGAAGGGTTTTTAAAAGAAAACTGTCAAAATTAATAAAACATAATTCTTTTAATGAAAAACCTTACCTCATATTTCTTCATGACGGGTTTGCCGTTAGTCACCGTTGGGTTGCTTTCCTCTAGTTTTCGTTATTTTTTTAAAGTTTAACCCTGTTGCACTTGGTGAACATGATTTTTTTGCCTCATTAGATGTGGAAGTTAAAAATAATGATAAGTGGCCAAGTACAGTTGAATTTACTTCTTTTTTTCTAATTATAGTATGATTTAAATATATTTTTTCCTTAAAAATCAATAATTGTAAAACCAAGTTGCTGATTAAAGTATCTTACTTTACATTTGACTTATGGAAGGACCATTTTCCTATAGTGGTTGGATAATCACAAGTACTAGAACCCAAGAATAGTTTTCTTAGAGTGCTTCATTTTTTTCTGTTAGTTAAAGAATAATAATGTAAATACCACATCAACTAAGGTCAAATTAATTTTTAGAATATATTTTATGAATTATTATATAATTTATATTTAATGATTAACTTATACTAATATGAATTTCCAAGGTATATATCATTGAGAAATATTTTAATTGATACGGAACCGAAAGAAGGGAAAATGTAATTAATCTTAGAATTATTCAAATTCACAGAGGAAGATGTGGCTTGATAATGGACTGATATTATCAGGCCCAATAATAGTCCCATCACAAGTAGAGGTTGAGTGAAGAGAGGAGAAAGGTGGGGCAAACTCTAATGGGAGCTAGGGCACTGAGCCATGGCAATGGTAAGTGTCCTTCTATGTGATAAGTGGAGGTGGTTGTAGGGGCACAACAACAATGGCATGACAGCATTGGTGATGGCACAATGGCATGATTAGCAGCCATGGCTGGTAAAACACGGCAAGCTAAACCTGGTGATGTCCATGACAAGCTGAGCATGCAATAGTGGAATAGCATTCAAGCTTTCTCTCTCCTAAGTGACATATGGAACTAGTCAAGTAGTGGAGAATGGAAATTTATGAAGTACATTTTTGTCTGAATAGTCTTTCATTGTCTTTGATTTTAGTGATCCAACTATGCATGATTAGATTTTTCACTTGTTGATTCATATTCATATTTAATTTTGTGCTTGAGTTTGGTTTTATCAGCTTTGTTTTTGTCCTTGATTGACTATTGGGGACCATTTTGTTTTGAATGGATTTGAATGTTTCCTTAGTATAGAAGTGATGTCCATGATTTAATTCTTATGTTGAATGTTGTTTCATCAGTACACATATATATTCTCTCCCCTCTTGTTCCTTCCCCCTTCTCCTTACATTTCATTGTTCCTATCTTCTTTCTAATGAAGATGTAGCAACAATGACTAGAAAATTGGAAAAATCAGTTTTTTACAACTCTTTTATTCAATGAATATTTGAGAATGGAAGTTGACTTTAAAGAATTTGGTACTTATCCCTAAGGATTGACTTGAACTCACTATAATTTTAAAGCTAATTCCATATCCTAAGTTTAGTTAAATATTAAAATTTGATATCTTTTAATGCAATCACTAAAAAATAATTATTGTAGATGTAGTTAGTGAGTCAAACCATTATAAAATATAGTAGTGTATTCTAAATGAACTAAGTAATCTAACTACTAATAAATCTCTATTTTCATGAGTAAGTTGTTAGCTTAATGATATGTTTTATGTATTAACTCATGATAAATATTTTTTTTATTTATCTTAAATTGAGAAAAATATTTTTTACATAGTGAATATCAATTTTTGATTAATTGTGTGATTTTATATAATTTTTATATTCATGCTTTCAAGTTAAAAAAAATTAAAAAACTAAGGTAACACGTTGATCAGCTGACGCTTGATAGTGAACCCTATAACCAGAGGGGGATTACTCAAGTTGCTAACTCAATTAGGAAGGAGCTATGAGCTGCCAGCTCAAGTGGCTCAAATATCCATCACAAGCACGTGTGCATCACATGGACTTTTTTAGTGAAAAATCACTAATGACAAATGTTTCCCCTATTTGAGTTTACATTTTTTCATATGGAAAGAATCAATAGAAAGAGTGAGGGAGATGGTTGATTGTTGATTGAATCTTCATCAATAATAAATATGGATCTTCAATAGCATATGATGTCAAATTTCAAGTAAAAAAATTAAGCTTCTTAAAGAAAAGAGTATCTACTATTGGTTGATGATCAAGCCATCGTTAAGAATAGGGGGATCCACCAAGAGACTTCTTCTTGTCTCTTCAAAATGCCTCATTTGTAATATAGGCTCAGGAAACTTTAATTCAAATTTATATGAAAAATAATCAACAATAAGTCTTCATTATCACAAGTTAATAATTAATTTATATTATATTATAAGTTTTAAATCATGATAAATAAACTTATATTTGTGTTAAATTAAGAAATAGGTGTTTAGATAATTAATATATATCTTTAACTAATTATGTCAATTTTTATAATTTTTATAATCATACTTTTAGATAATTAAATAAAAAATAGAAAAAAGGGGACCCATTGACTAGTCGAGACTAGCACATTGATCAAATGCACAGTTGGAAGAGACAAGCCAAGGGCTTGAGTGACTAAGAAGGACCAATCAAGGCACATGTGCATCATTCCTCTTCCATGTCACTAGAGGCTAGTCGAGCATGGGGCAAAGAGTGGTCATACACACATGGGTATGTGAAGAGGTACATTGAAGATAAAATTGACATTAATATATATATATATTCATCTCATACTTTAGAAAATAACTAATGTGGGACTAAACCCACACCAATGTTCGTTGGTAGGTTTTTAACATTTTAATACTAAAAATATCCTTATATTATAAAAAGAAAATAATTTATAATGTCACTAAGTAAGGGTATGTGGGCAATTTAATAATTTTTTCTTACAAAAGCAACAACCAACGAAGATTTGAAGCCTACTATGGTCAAATTTCACATATTTTACTTGTTTAACTTTCAATTTTTCTATAGAGTGTTGGTCAATGATTAAGTCACTATAATTGTGCACTCATTGACAAAAAAATCATCTCCATTTATTCATAGATCATCGTAAGCAATTGACCAAGTATTTTGAATACAAAAATCATGAATTGTTTAATGAAATCATCTCCAATTGATCAACGAATATGATATTATTGAAAATAAGGCAATTCACCAAAAGACAAGTCGTTGTCTCTTCATAACATACCAATGTGATGAAGAGCCTCCTACTACTACATGAATGTGAGGATAAAGCTTCATAATACGTACTCTATTGATGTCCAACTCATCCCTATTGAGTGATGGCCGTTAGAGATTCAAACACCACCAAACTTTTGTTATGTCGGGTGACAGTTGTCAAAGATGATCCATTGACCTATTTCATTAATTTTTGAATTTCACAAGAAGATTTAGAGATTTTTCACATTACTAATGTCTAAGGAAAGCCTTTGAGGCTATAAATGTCTACCAATAATTCTTCCAAACATCTAAAATTCTGACAATCACCGCCACAATGCTGGAATTCTATTTTTCCTATTTTAAACTTAATTTTTATTTAAATTAGTGAGATTTTTTGTGATTTTAAGTTTCAAAACTATTATTTAGTAAATTATAATTTTTACAAGTCTAAATTTGATTGATTAAATTGTATGTTATTTTTTAGCAAGAATCATCATACGGTACTTTATTTCTACCCAAATCATACTTGTCAAGGTACTAACATCATCCTAATGTCTCTGCCCAAATTTTATTTTTTTCATAATTTTTTAAATAAATTTATCTTCATCATTTAATATACAAATTATAAAAATAAATATTCTTTAAAATTTTCTTAGATTTTACCAAATATTATCTTACACCCTTTTGACTGATAAGAAACATTTTCAGTTTTTTGGAGGCTTTTATTAAATTATAATTAAAATATTTATACTGAAATACTTCAAAAAATCTAATATATATTAATTTTATAAATTTATCATTTTTATAATCTATTCTACAATGATTAAATTTTCAATAAGGTAATAAGACGATTTGAAGTTTGGAAGATAAAAATGTCACTATTGTGTATTTCAGAAAATAATAAGTATTTGAATGAAGATATTGAACATTAGAGATCTTGTAAAGTCATAAAACTATTAGAGGTCATAAGCTTATTTATCACAAAAGGCTTGAGGATCAAAAACTAATTGAATACCTGAAAATTCAAGTCTCCTTAAGTTGTTCTTGTTGCAAGCATCATTGTCGCACCAAGACGCCATACCATCTTTTCTAGCTAAGGTAACTGGGTGGTGGGAGAAGAGTGTTTTTGACAAAAGCACAAGGAGTTAGTAGCCAATCTTGGTTTAGAAATATTGAGTCTTCAAGGATATGAACTTAAGGTATTTGGGTGGCTGATCCTGTGAAAATCAGTATTTAATTATTAAGACAATTAATGAATACTTGAGAAAAGTTCTCCCTAAGACTAAACATAGTTAGGTGAGGGTGAACTAATATAAATATTCTTGTGCTCTTGGTGAGAGCATTAAGAGTATAAGTGTGTCATCACATCTAGTGTTGAGAGCACACATGTTGATTTACCTAGTGACAACTATACATGGGTATAAATTAAGTTAAATCAAAAAAATCACCATATATTCTAGAAACTCTAATTCACCCCTTTGTGTTCAACCTAGTCCTATAGTTTCAATAGTGGTAGCAACCCATTAGATAGGAAATCGAGCCTCTCATTCCCTCTCCTATAAAGAGGGGTCACCTTTTGCTCATAGAAGACACCAAGAGGTACCAAGTGAGCCAAGTCCCCTATACTCCTCTCCCCCTCCCCCCTGTATTCTCAAATTGGAAGAGAAGTCTTGTTG